TTCGCCATTCTCATTGCATCTATTTGTGCTCTCGCTGGCAAAACATGCCACTTCTCCAATCAATTCTGCATGGAATTGAATTGATTTGTGTATGTGAGGTGGAAATCGCACGGCGCGAAGAGCATGAAAAACACCATTAACTTTATTCAATTAATGGTGTGCGTGGTTGTGGGTGGACAATTGAATTTAGGCAATATAGCGTGTATATCTGTTGACCATTTTGCCATCTCAATTGAATTTTCGCGGCAATTGGTGATTTTGGTGTGTGTGAAAATGAAATGGCGTGCAATTCACAGGTGCACACAAAAACACCGCATTTAATTTAGCGCACAAGAGGAGGGACGTGGAAGTGGATACAATTCAGAGATTTCCACGCGTCTTTTGTTGCCAAATCTCAATGCACGCGAGCAGAGGCAATGCATTGCAATTGATTTAATCCTTTTACTCCGCCAGTCAACAAAGTTCCCGGGCGATGGCGAGTTGATTTAAGGGTGGCACGGAATGCTAAAAATTTCTGTGTTAACAAGTGAAATTTATATGGTTTCTCGTTCACAACAAGATTCTAAATTACCACCCAAGTCTGCAAAGTCCCAAATCTTTAGAGAGAATTTTTTCCCTGTAATTGTTCTATTTACCGTGTCTCGGCGCTTCAGATATTTTACTTTTCCCACACGCTGGCCACGCTGTCTTGCCGGAGAGGAAGTCAATAAATAAGAGTTAGCCGGAGCAAGAATTTAATGTTGTGTAAGGCTCTGGTTTAAGTTAATTGGAGTTCAAAGTTTATAAGTTATCGTGGTGGGAAGCCAAAAGGCGTGGATGAGGGCGGACTTTCTTCACTGCTGCAGTCAAGTAGTTTCCTCCGAGGGCGCTTGATACTGCACAGAGAGACTTTCCAAAGGGTGCACATTGGGAAGTTAATTAAGAAGGAAATCAGCATCATAACTTCATTTGACTTTGCTCCTCTCTCTCGCTCTCTGTCTGTCTTTTTTCCCCAAATTGCGCGCCTTCTTTTGCGAACATCCCACAGTCTGGAAAATTCCCTCCGAAGGCGAGTTTATGACACGGTTATTTCGCACTCTGTTTGGAAATTTATTTGATGGGCTTCCAGGTAGAGCTAAATCGGTTCATTCATTGTCCAAATGACAGCAAAAGAGCTCCACAGCTTACCAAAAACATTTATAGTGAATTTTTGCTACATTTCAGTTAAATTCCACATGGTTGCATTCATGAGGATTTTCAGCGACGAAAGCTGATTGATTTTTCTGCGCACTTGATGCATCGAATTATTTCAATGCAACACACAGAGTTAATTAAATTGACTATTAAGCATGTGAATAGAGCAAAAAAGCCTCATTCAATCGCAGCTCATCCATATTATTTGATCCCGAGAATATCAGTGTTTATCCATCCAATTGATTCTGTACATTTCAGCAATGCTTTTTATTACATTCAACCAAACATCACACGATTGAGCACAAAATTAGATGTACAGAATCATCCGTCCATATTTTATTCATTATTATGTATTATTGTAAATTAATATTCCAAACATGAAATATTTATGCACACATATTTTGATTTGAGTTTTTGTTAGATTTCATCTCTGAAAGCTTTGATAGTTTATTAGCCGGGCTTTATGGAATGTTGTGTGCATCGAAGTGGAGCCAAATTAAAATAAAATGGGATCTGGATGAGCCAAGGGGAAAGCTTCATTTGATGTGAAACATTCTTTTTCATTCTGATCCTAATTCTTGTACTGATTCCGACTTGATTACTATTGTAAATCCTTTTTAAACAATTGCACGAGGCGCCAGAGAAGTCGACACATGCAGAACCTCATCATATCCATGCCCTTGGCAAGCTGAAGCTTAAGTGGCTGCTGAAGATCTACAAGGAAACGCTGAGGAGTGCGAAGAATACAAGTGTGCATAGTAATTTTTTCACATCCTCCAGATTTTAATTCTTCGCCTGGATAGAGCGCTATGTTTAAAATTCTATGAATTTTAAATCGCATCCTCACCTCAGACTCACTTTGTCAGCCGCAAGCTCAAGTGTTGGGAAGGGTATCAGAAATTGCAAATGCTTTGTGGCGTGAAGGGAAAACAACAATTTCTTGCTACTTAAGCATTCAAGTCACAGGCTTTGCGGCATTTTTCAATACTCATCTTCATCACGAGTCCGTCGTGTGTGTGCGCCGTAATCTGATGCTTTCAATTTTAATAGTTATGACACGAAAAAGCTCTCGCTATTGAGAAAAATCTCACCCACTTTTTCGGTGAGTGCGCGCATTCCGAATCATTTTATATGGCGGAGCCTTTTCTAGCTATTCTGCATTAATTTCTAACTTAAATTCCCCCCCAACCGAAGGCATTGATCTGCCCAATTGATTTTCCAATGAGCTCCAGATCCCGATTCACATACCTGTGAATGTGGGTCAGACAGATTCTTCGCACAAAATCACACTGCCACCAAAATATTCAGTGCCCCACCGCCATTCTTTGCTCCCTTTAGCATATGGGTAAGTTTATAATGTGGAAAACGATGAATGATTTATACTTTGACTGTAACTCAATAATTTATATATGGATATCCAATTTTTCCTCCACTCCATGCAAAACTCTCGACAATCTTTTTTGCCATTTTTCCTTTCATCGCACCTTCACTTTGGCGCATAACAGAATTTTACGTAAAAATTGCCCACCTTTATGGAATAAAATACAGAAGAAAAAAAAGGTGGAGAGAGTCAGGTAGTTTGCGGGAAAATCTCCTTTTTGCATACTTTGTATTCAATGTAAATTCACTCAAGAGAGTGAAAACGAGCATAAGAAATGCCGAATTATTGGAACCATTGAAACCCACTTCATTCCACAATGAAGGTCTCTTTGGGCATGTGAAACAAATTGTAGGATTTTGCAAATTGTCCAAGAGTGAGTTGAGATTTTAGTGTTTCAGGGTTTAGCTAAGAATTCAAATATATGAAGGGATTTTTGATCGTATAGTGAAACTGCGAATTGCTTTTGTAAGTTAAAATATCAGTTAAGACGATTAAATTCACACAAAATCTTCCCTTCACTCACAATTGAGAAGTAAATCGATTGGCGACAATATCATGGTGGAATATCATTTGTGTGATTTGCGAAGAGGAGGAAAATAAATTGTACGGAGAATCAATTGCAAATTGGCTGTGTGGATTTTTCCTATCGATCTCTCAAGTGGACTCTTGGAAGTGACTCAAGAGTGAGTAGTTTGGAAAGAATTGTTCCTCCCACGATGAAATTGTTAGTAACTCACTTCCGAATCGCATCTCTCAAAGTTATCCAACCTGCTGATTTTCAGATGTACAATGGCAAGAAGGAACTTTAGATGGGGAATCCGAAATAGGATTAGGGACAGCGAAATGTTGTGGATTTCATTTTACCTTATATATTTTTTGCCTCAAACTTCTGGAATTGTCAATCCTTTTGTGTGTGCGACACAAAGTGGGCTCTTTGAGAGACGGTCCAGAAGATGAAAAGTCACTTTAATCTCGGGGCTTTTTCAACGCTTGTTTTCTCAGACAGAAAATATTCATTATTTCCTCTGTCGAGATTTATGGCGAAACGAGAGGAGTGTGTACTTTTTTGCGAATGGGCAAATGTTCCCATTTGCATATGCCATTGATTTTTCCTTCTCCATCCACTCGTCGACTTGTGGGGCGGGGGGAAATAGTTGAAAAGATTGTTAAGAGAGTGCAGAGGGATTTAATATAAGATTTCTCTCCATTTCCCATTCGTCTCGTCCAAATAAATTGACGTCTCAATGGGATCAAATCAATTGAGATTCCTGCATTTATTAGGGTGAAATATTTCTCGATATAATGCTCTATATACACATAAGGGAGAATATACTTCGATGTGATAGAAATACCTTCATTTTCCCTCGTGCAGGGCTGAGCAAATAGCTATGGTGAATCTTCAGGGATTCTTTCTGCCCACCTCTTCCGCACCTCGCATCTGACGCAGGAATGCAGCGCAATGCAATTTGATGCGAGTTAAAGCTCCTCCATTGCCACTTAATAAGGCGCGTAATTTAATTTTTCCTGCGCGTGTAGAAAAGTCAAGGGGGATAATTGAAATTAATTCCAGCAGCGCGCTCATTTTCCATCCTCCTCGGCGTCACTGGGGAGTTTTTTTCGCAATCAACACATCTTCAGGCGCACGGAATGTGGTCTGGGAAGCTCTCGCTGTGTCATGGATTGTGCTTCTCACCCCTTGGCAAATTTACGCTGTAATATTATTCACTTAATAACCGTGTGTTGGCTTTTGTGCTGCTAAACTGCGGGTTGTTTGTGGTTTTTCCTTCTCGCGGATACAGACTCCGCGCGCCCTCCTGGCGGGCACTGCTTCGCCGACAAAGCCACCGGAGAGGTTGAGACATGATGAATGCTGGCAATGTTCTCGTTAATATTAATAATGATTATATACAATATTGCTGAGTGTTGCGCGCGGTGCTTTTTGGCACCTTCTTAGTGTCAAAATTAATTCCTCTCACATGAAAATCTCAAGTATAATTTAATAGCTGAAACACTTTACAGGTAATTCAGACAAATTTCTAATGAATTTGCAACGTGCTTTTTGCCACCGCAGTTTGTGGCAAGCCATCAGACAACTTTTCATGCTATCGCTCTTTATGGGAAAATTTCATGCCATCCGCTACACCCAAAGTTCACCGGAAAGAAGGCAAATATTTTGTAAATTCCATTAAGAGACATTCTTCTGAATGAATCTCACAACTTGTTGATCGCAAAAGTGACTTCAAATACCTACAAAATCTTCCTCAATAATTATCTTGTGCAATTTTGGGAGTCAATTTGCTAAGAACCAATTTACAAAGTCGACTTCGAAGGCATTAAAAGATAATCTAAGAAAATGACTCAGATCACCCAAGGCTTAATAAGATACGATAAGAATTATATGATAAAAAAAAATGGTTATTTGCAATATTTTATTTAATTTCTGTTCTATAAACAATCTATTACTTCTACCAAAAGTTGTTAAAATTGTATTTCGGGCAATGTAACTTCGATCGTTTTTCCATTTTCAACCATCCAAACACTTCCGCTTTTGCCGTTTTGCATGATTTGCACTGACGCTTTTCCAACTTCTGCTGGGCTTTGATCTGGAAAACTTTTTTTCAACATATCTAGCTTTGCTTCGCTCGACATGAAGGAGAATTCAGGCTTAATGACTTTATCGTACATTTGTGATTGAGTTCCAGCTGGACAAAGAACGAAGAATTTGATGCCCAAATATTCGCGTTCGTGAGCCAAAGCCCTCGTGAAAGCAGAAACGCCGTGCTTCGTTGCGCAGTAAGTTGGCATAACACTCACTGGTGTTATGCCAGCAACAGACGAAATGTTGAGGATCATCCCGCCTTTTCCGTTGCCTTTATCCTTCCTCATGTGCTCAAGAGCAATGAGAGTTGATCCAATAACGCCGCAAAGATTCACTTCCACAACCTTTCTGTAGATCTTCTCATCGAAAGTTCCAGCGCAATTCACCACGATGTCCAGACTCTTGATTTCCTTCACGAACTCTGCGTAGCACTTTTCCAGCTGCTCATGAGAACTCACGTCCACTTGGAAGTATTTCACGGACGCCGAAGGGAATTTTTGCCTCCATTCGGTGACAACTTTGGGCTCTGCTGCGCTAAGATCGAGGGCCGCAAGATGCTTCACTCCGCTCTTGAGGAGCTCCTCGCAAATGGCCCCACCAATCGCGCCAGTTCCGCCTGTCACCAACGCACTTTGACCGAGAATAGACATTTTACCGACTTCTTCGACTCGCAGTTCAATTCTGACTGTGAAATTCTTTGGAATTCCCGCGAATGTAAGCCGTTGCAATGAGATTTCACTAGTTAGTTTATTTTTGTACATACAGATAACTTATCGCAGAGCGAAATGCATATCTCACAATAGAACTGATAAGTTGTAAGCTCTTATAATCTATAATTTCTTGGTAATAGCCTTTTACCTTCCCTGAAATTTATACTTATTAAAACTCATCGGAATCTTCCATAAACGCAGAAAAATTGACGTTGTAACAATTACAGACATCACAATCTGTTGATAATGGTGAAAACACAGCATTTGTAATTTGTAATTTGTCCGCGATCATCTCTTTCTTCCCCTCGCGTTTCGTGTATTTTCTTTCCTACTCGCACAGTGGCTGTCTCGACATGTCAGAGTCGGACGCTGACAGAGTAGGAAAGAAAATACACGAAACGCGAGGGGAAGAAAGAGATGATCGCGGACAAATTACAAATTACAAATGCTGTGTTTTCACCATAAGTATGTTTAGAAAGTACTTGTGATAATAAAAAAAATGATAACCGAGGATTATGTGAATGTCAAAGTCATTTAATCTTGGACTATACAGCTATTCATCTGCGTGATTGTACTTAGTTTGCTTCAAGAAGTTGCGCAGTGAAGTGGAGAAATGTCTTTTGCTCCAAAAAGTGCTCTGGTTACCGGTGGAAGTGGAGGCATTGGATCTGCAATCGTTGAGGAACTCCTCAAAAATGGGATTAAGATTCTCGCCGTTCTGGATATCAGTCCAGAGGAACCATCCATTGTCCAGGAGTGGAGGAAGAAATTCCCCGGAGTCACTGTGAAGTATTATCGAGTGGATGTGACTTCGCAGGAGGAATTGGAGAAATGCTATGCAGAATTCGTGAAAGAGGCCAAGAACTTGGACGTTGTGGTGAATTGCGCGGGGATCTTCAATGAGAACATCGCCAAAAGAGTGGTGGATGTGAATTTGGGTGGAGTTATTCTGTCAACCATCGTCGCTATTGAGCATATGAGAGCGAACGGGAAAGGCAAAGGTGGAGTTATTCTCAATATTGCCTCAATTGCTGGTCTTGAGCCATTCGGCATGGCGCCGACTTATTGTGCCACGAAACACGGCGTTATTGCCTTCACTCGAGCCATGGATCACAAGCGTGACTTTCTGGGCATCAGATTCCTCAGCCTCTGTCCGGGAACCACTGACACGGATTTGTACAATAATTGCTTCAAATTGGCATTCATGCCGACAAAAGGGCTGGAAGACACTGTCAGAAGTCTTCTCGTTTTGCAGACGTAACACATTGAAACACAGTTCTCAGAATCTTTGGATGATATTGTCATTTCTCTTACAGTTGCGAGGACGTTGGCAAAGCGGCGCTGAAGTACATTCAGGAGGGAAAGTCCGGAAGTGTGTGGGTTATCGATAGTGGCAAAATCATGGAATGTCCTGTTAAAGACATCAGACTTTAAGTCTTCACAGTCAGCCTTAAAAGTGTTTCAGGGGATTAATACATCATCGATACATTTGTCATCATTGTCTCTCCGAAGTACAATAAAAGCACAACTATTAGGTTGGCGGAAGGAAGAAGCAAACATATAACAGGCAATAAAAGCTTCAAGCTTTTTCTCACTGAACTTTTCACTCACTTGAATTGTGCCACCTTCTCATGTTGCGCTCACGCTCAAGTGTTTTTGCTGGCGGTGTGTTTTGTGTTGGAAACAAGACCACAATAATGTTGGGTGTAATATATAGTTGCAGCCTCATAAACTATGATTGATTATGAACTTGTGCCGTTGACACTTTTGAAAAATGACCAACAGCAACCAGAGGGCAAATATTTGTTGAATTCTGGGCGAATATGCCATGGAGAGATGAGTTTTTGGGGCCATGGGAGAATGGCATCGCACAATGTTGATGATAGTGTTTGAGAGAGTGAAAAATTTTCATACATACAAAACACACACGCATTTCGAGGACGCGTGCAAAAAATTAGCCCCAAAATTCACCATCGCGATGCCATAATGACAGATTTGAAGCACACAATAATGCGGGGGTAATTAAAATTTTTCCAGCCCTCTTCACACACACACGCACGCCCAAAATGCACTGTAATCAAACATATTGCATTAAAACACATTATTACCATTCACCCTGAGTCACCATCATTGCAAATAACCGCGCACACTAAAATGCGAAAATTTAAAGAGTAAAGAGGACGTCAGTGGATATAAATGACAGGGCCTGTGTAGCTTTTATTATTTTCAGTTTTAATTAAATTTCTACTCCATGTTATAATCAAGTATCAATATACTGACAATAATTGCAAAACTCATTCCCAATTTCAAACTCAATTGCATTTATTAACAAATATTCATCCGCTTTCAGCGCTGTATTTTTCATACTCCGCACACAATCCACTTATGTGCACACATACATAATACATATGTATGTCCTGAGGAGGAGTAAAATATATAGTTTATGGCTTGTGGCGGAGGCTAAATTATGAAGAAGAAGAAGAAGATAGAGGATGAAATTGTGAAACAGTAAAAGTGGCCAATAAAACGAAATATTCATCATCATTGAAATTGCCATCAAATTTTATTGCCTGCGACAAATGTTGGAGAATTTTGCATGTGTTTCCCAGAGTGAGAAGAAAAAAATGTCTTTCAATATTCACCCCCACTCCCCCTCATCACCTATGATCTCATGAAAATGCTCCTCTTCGTCGCACATCGCTGTCTTCTGCTCCGTGCAATATTTTATAGTGTCTCTGTCGTTTATCAATAACACGCTTCATAACATATCCACAAAATGATCATCTTCCATTCCTCGGGCGCATTTCTCACATTCCCAGGCAGCTCCTTGCGCGGGTGTGCGAAGGGGAATTTGGGGACAGCGCCGAGCGAAAGGGCCAAAAGGGACTTGCACCTTCATTCATTCGCACGTTACAATAATATAGTGATGTCATAATTCAAAAGTTTATCACTCAAATGTACAAAAAACATACGTGATGTGTATGAAATACAACATTTTATCTCTCTGTCTTCTCTCTGCCCTTCCAACATATCTTTTTGAACTTTCATCTCTCAACACTCACCCAATTTGACGATGCGAGAAAGGAGAATTCACCAGAAAGGGTCAATCAAGAAGATTTTCCAAGTACTGAGGAAAGTGTGTTTTTGAAAAACAGAGATAAAAGTTTATAGGAGATTCTAGGATCATTCGTTATTTGGTAGCGAAAGAGGAAAATTCCTTTTAATCATGGATTTTATTATTATTATGTCTTCTGAACTTCCGAATATTTACCAAATTCTGTTTAATTGTTGGTCACATATCCTTGCAAATAAAATAAGTTCTTATCTATCTAACTAGTGTTTGAGATACTTGCTGAGAAACACTGCCTTTCTCCGCAATGACAGACCCTTTTGGGCAGTGCGAAACGAATTGCTCTGCGAAGCTCTCTTTCGCTTGCTCACAAATATTATATGGAATTGTGATGTATTCAAAGTGACTCTCATCACCATTCTTATTCCTATCCATGGTATCCCAATAAATAATATTTGAGTGTGAACGAGCGGAGGGTGAAATCATGGTATCAGTTGGAGAGCAAAGGAGATATCAAGTGGATAACTGGCAGATCCCTTTGAGAGCTCACACTGGCTGTTCGGCGTGCCCAATGAAGAGATAAAGTTGTTTGCATTTTTGCCCCATTTTTATTTCTGCTGCATCGCAAATGGCATCATTTTTTGGCACAGCACCAAACGACCACCACAGAGGAATTCCTCCCAATGCAGGCGCGGGTGAGAAAGGTCTTATTGATTCGACAGGGAAGGAGAGGGACTCATAAATAAGATAAAAAATAATGCAGCGACCCTCGTCGTCATATTTTACACATCATAAATAAATTTCTCGTATAAATGTATCGCGCTCAGTGAAATAAATATTGCATAGACAGTGAGAGAAATCTGCAAAATGAATGTGTGTTGCTTTAACATAAGATTGCGCGCCTTTCTTTCTGTTTTGGGCGCGCACAATGTTGAAAAATGCTCCAACGCTGCGAGACTACCAGACAGAATACTTACATGAAATGAAAATTTAAATTATAGATTGCAATTTCATGGCATGGAAACACAAAATACACCCCAAATTGCACACAATTTTATCTCACAATGGTGTGCTGAAGAGAAATGAGAGGCGATATTTTGCTTGTGTGTATCATTTTTAGAAAATATCCGCCCAGACAGACATTGGAGATACATAATTTCTCTGGCACAATTCAATTTTCTCCCCATAGAATTCCAATATGTAATGCAATAACATTTTTTTATTCTTGCTATTTTTATAAAAATCCGATTGTCCTTCGGAGATGCTTTACACAACAGAAACTCCCACTTTCTGAGAAAACGTATAAATTGATTTGCTGACAATTGATACATGATTTGATATTTTTCTATTAATTTTCCCTGTGATATCAGTGGACAGAGGAAGTGAATTGATATTGAACTCTTCCTCTAGCTCCTCATAAAAGGCTGAGTGGCATGAATTTGTAGTATTAAAGTGGATTGCAGCATGAAATTCAATTAATCCGATATGGAAAGGAGTCTTTTCCTAAATTTGCCACCATTGGTTTTCCTTCGCAGCCATTTCCACTGTCTCATCATCACTGAAAAGAGCGGAAGAGAGAGAGAGAGAGGCAGAGCTGTTCCAGTTCAATTGAAACATAGGCTATACAATTGTAGATACAGCATACGGAGCAATTGCACTCGTGCAGTGTAAATGCTTTTTTCCTGTAAAGTGATTTAAATCCGAGCGATTTGTAGCTGAAAATCGACCAGAGGTTTTATAATGGTCATAAATACTTGATTCTCCCGCCTGAAAAGTGGTGAAGTTGGCCACAGCCGAAGGGATGTTGGCTGCGAGGTGGAAAAAAGATGGCCCGATAGTGGCCAGACAAAACTATCGCAATGAGCACGAAATGGCCCAATGAGAGGAGCTTCCAAGTGTGCCGAATTGAAACATCCTCGGACAAAGGTGTTTATGGCTTGTTTAGAATTTCCCATGGCTTGAAGCTCCCCCTCGGACGCGGCCAGATGCCGAGATTTACGACCGTGTGGAATGGGATTGTGCTGTGCAACACAAATCTAAATTTAAAGTTCTCCACCTCCGCCCAACTCTCTCTGGACACTCGCTTTTTTCCGCCTGTCCCGCAATTCCCATGGCCTCGCCCGGCTTGTGAATTTTCCAGCAGCACTGGGAATTTTCAAGATATATCACCACAGATTTTTCGCCTAAGCACAGAGACAGTGAGCGTCCATTTCACAGCTCATAATGGAGATGCGACAGGGCAGTTGATATCACAGCAATTCTCCTCTTTTCCGACTTCATCAGCTCATGAAAGGACAATGTGATGCTCCTGCTAACTCCGAAAAAGTGTGATCAACTTGAGACATTAACACAATCCTCTGCTAACATTCTAAATATTAATTGTCTATCTAATTTCGTGCAGCTTTCCTTCTTGTCATATGCTTAGCGTCTTATATTTAGCGGATTTTGAGGGCGAATTCATGCTTTTCCTCTCTACGATTTACATATATCAAAGGCATATTGAGAGTACAGAGACGAGGCAAAAGGTGAGCTCTTAATTAATTTCCAGGGAATTTTCTGTGAAACGTGAAGCAAAGTGCATTCTCAATTAACCAATTTTCAACGTTTCCGCGCTGAAAGTGGAACACCAAAGAAATTTTATTTGCTCCTGTGTTCAAACTGCAGTTGACGCTCTGGGAAATTTCATTGATTCCTCATCTTGAGTCCAGTGCCATGAAATTTCCCTACAACGAGAAATTAGTGGAAAATTCACATTAATTGATTTGCACTTTTGCAAACTTCCCACCTTTCGCTCTATAATGTGATTGCGTGAGAATTTTGTCAATAAGGGCGATAAAGTTTGCCGAAAAAATTCTGTCATGGCATCTTTGCACACACCAGAGAGTGGATAAAGTAGAATATTTTGTTCACTTGCACCCGTTGGCCCTGGATTTTCGCTGCATCTGTTGAGATTGTAGTTTGACAAGGAGAATCCGAGCGAGAAGCGTCATAAAACTGATTCACTCGAAGGCGAGAGTGGGCTTGACAAAAACAGGGGGAAGAATGAGAAAATCCCTTCATCCACTTTCATCTGCCAGGGTATTTTTGCCCGCGGCGTGAAAGGTTCTGAGGTTCCCTCCACAATTTCTCACCCCGCGCAGAGAAAAAGCTCACATTCTGGGACAATGGCGACATGGGATAAAAAGAGGTTTAGAGCCAAGGAGAGAAGTTTCCGCGAGATACTCTCAACTCCGGTGGCAAAGTCAGCAAAACCTATGGATTACGATGGTGTCTGCCCAATGCGAGGAGCTGCTGGGGAGCATATGAGCATCAGCCCAACACTTTCACCCACGAGCAAAGGAGATGCAAAAGTTGTTCCATCCTCTCCGCCTGCTTGTGTACTTTGTCGTCTCCTCCAGAGATCGTGAAAATGCTTTATCAAGTGTGTAATGGTGTCGTAGCTCAAAGCCATTGAAGAGTGGAAAATGTTGCAAATACACTGAAGATAACTTTCACGTTAGGCAATTTAACTTTTTTAATGACTATCATTTTATTTTCACTCTCTGCATCCATGAGAATCCATTGGAAATTTTCCACCAATGCCTTCTGGCTAAAATCTAAAACCCACCCACACTCTAAAATGCTTCCCTCTTGAGTTTCCCCCTTGAGAAGGGTGTGTGTGTGTGGCGGTGGGAAAAACTCCATCCTTTGAGGAAGTCTCTCTCCCTTTTCTCCTCCACACCGAAAATGTATCTCAATTTTCCCGCCTTACCAAGTGATTGCCATCAATTTCTGGCAAATTTTTACACCATTTCATTCCATTTATACATGCCATTTCGTCTCCATACACTTTGAAAGATGTCCCAGACAATTTCAGCGCTCTCTCGCATCAAAAGTGTCCCATTGCCTTTTTTGGGAACGGAAAACAACACAGGAAGAAGAGCCAAAGTGCTGCGGATAAAGGGAATATAAGCTCGACCTCGTCCCTCAAAAGCACCGGACGAGCATCTGAAATGGCGTGTGAACAACTTTATGTCTCACACTTTTCACATCTAATAGCTCTATTTTTGCATACAATATAAGGATAGTTTTTCCCTCCTCCCCTTAAACTGTGTGTCTTTTATAACGAGTTATGAAAAAGCGTAAGAAGAAGCTTAAAGCATTTAAAGTCCATCGACGTAATAATCATACTTCAGATGACAACAAATTATCATTCGACCATTAATGGGCCTTATCTCAAGTGAAGTAAAATCTTATCAGTGCGTGATAAAGATATTGCTGAAATTATGTTCATTTCTGATCATCTTCTCTAATATTAATAAAATAGAAAACATACAACGACATACAAATGATATTCCAAATACCAGCAAGATTTTCAACGCTCTTTACGTAAGCTGTTCACCTCCAAATTCACTATTATACACAACTAGATAAAGTAGGTTATAAATTCACAGCTTATCTAACAGACATAATGACTGTGGAGACTAATATTGACTTTGTAATTGTGAGAACTCTTCAGTGCAGTGTGAGACATGGAACTGGCAAGTTTGGAAGACTACAAAGAAAGGGCTTGGAAGTTGCTTCCGAAAAGCCCTCTGGACTACTATAAAAGCGGAGCTGGTAATGAGTATTCTCTGCGTCTCAACGAATCTGCATTTGATAAGTGAGTTGCCACAGTGCGTAGAAGCTGTGGAGAAGGAATTTCATTAGTGTGCTTCATTGCAGAATCCGGATTAGACCGACTTTCATGAAAGATGTCTCCAAGAGAACAACAAGAACCAGCGTTATGGGTCTCGACTTAGACACGCCAATTGCAATTGCGCCCACAGCAATGCAAAGAATGGCTCATCCGGATGGCGAAGTGGCCAATGCCAGGGCTGCAGCTTCATCTGGAGTGCTCTTCACGCTCAGCACCATCGCGACGTCATCAATTGAGGAAGTCGCTGCGGCCACGCCGGAGAGCAATAAGTGGTTTCAGCTGTACATCTACAGGGACAGGTTAACTCAATTGCTGAGATCTTTGTTCAAATCGCCTAATCTCTGTGTCTGCTTTTAGGGAGCTCACGCAGAGCCTCGTGAGACGAGCTGAGAAAGGTGGTTTTAAGGCTATCGTCTTGACAGTCGACGCTCCACTCTTTGGACTGCGCCGATCCGACATCCGGAACAAATTCAGCCTGCCGAGTCATCTGCAACTGGCCAATTTTGTCGGCGAGAAGGCGACAGGAGTGCGACATTCTAAGGAAGGATCCGGGCTCATGGAGTACGTCAACAAGCAATTTGACGATTCCATTACTTGGGAGGATCTCAAGTGGCTGGTGAAGTTCACCAAGCTTCCGGTCATTGCCAAGGGAATTCTAACAGCCGAGGACGCTCTCAGCGCAGTCCGATGCGGCTGTCAGGGCATCATTGTGTCGAATCACGGGGCAAGACAGATCGATGGTGTGCCGGCGTCGATTGAGGCTCTGCCTGAAGTCGTGGCCGCCGTGGGAGACCGCGTGACCGTGATGATGGACGGCGGAATTCGACAAGGAACGGATGTCTTCAAGGCTTTGGCTCTGGGCGCGAAGTTGGTGTTCGTGGGAAGACCTGCAATTTGGGGATTGGCAGTCGATGGACAGACAGGCGTTGAGAACATCCTGAAGATTCTTAAGAAAGAACTGGACATTTGCATGGCTATAGCCGGATGCGCGACTGTGCCTGAAATTACAAAGAGATATGTTGTTCATGAGAGTTTCTACAGCAAATTATAAAAATTACCAAGCTTGATGTATCAGTTGAACCGGAGTTTTTGACATAAAACACAATTTTTTAGGTCAGAGTGTTGCCAATGCAAGTTGTCACAATGGTCCTTGTTTCACACTGAAACTGCGTCCAATTACCACACTTTCCTGCTGACTTACCTTCCCGTCTGCCATACAAGTGTGGCACATTCAGATTGAAGCATTGTCCAATGATGCTACATTCTCTCCGCCACAAGTGACGACCAGAACTGGTGGAGTATTAATTAAAAGTTGCAAGCACACATCATCAAATTTTACTCGCTAAAATCATAATGTTTTACAATTAATAGTTTTCACAACACTCTCAGCATCTATTTACACTGTTGCGGAAAACTTTCACAATATGACATTTTATTTGTTGCCCAAATGCACATTTTCCAACCACTCTCGACTCACACACAACTTCCAGTTGACTCCGGTAGATGTGCTGGTTGCGCTGAACCATTCAATGAACAAATCTCCTCTCTGGTACTGGCTTATGTGTTGTTCTCATGCCACGGAAAATATGCAAATAATCAACATTAAATATACTCTGGTGGGATATTGTGGAATTTTGCGCATTCACTTTATCCCCAACACTTCTTTTCCCATCTCCGCACATCCCAATGCTCGGGATGTTTTTGCTCTTCTCCTCAGTCGAGTAGCATTGGAAAAACAGCAGCAAAGTTATTCATTGCAATTGCATATAAATAGAAGAGTCAGTAATTCAACTAGTGAGCCTTATCACAAATCAGTTGATAAAACTCTGGGATGAACCGAATGGCAAAATTCTGTGTTTGTATGCGAAATTAATCTCTTCATTCCACAGTCATTTGTGGGTGAGAATGAGAGCGATAAGGCGAGCGAAAGAATCTAATGCTGAGAGGGGGGAAAATTAAAACGCATTAAAATAAGAAACCATAACCCCTCTTGAGAGCCCCATTGCGCCCTTCCCGTGGCTGAAAGGTGGCAGAGAAATGACAAGAAAATCAACAAATTCACCCCCATAAACATTTCCTCTTCGTGCCAAAGTGTCTTGAATGCCATCTCTTCAAATTGGGTGTGAGGCGAGAGAGTGTGAAAAGTCATCCTTTTTGCACCAGCCAGAAAACCTTTAATTACATCACCAGGAATGTGGCTAAGATGTGCCCAGGAAAGATGCTCGAAATGGTGCCATAATAAGTTCCCTTGGTGAGGAAGAAATGTACTGAAAATTCACATACAAGAGGCGCATTTATTGGTGGGAAAAGGGAGAGAGAGAGAGAATGAGATGAAAATGACATACCATGAGTCGTGTTTTGTGGTCCAATTTCTGGTACGAATAATATTTTAATTAGAAACGCCGCACCCTCGAAAGAATTGCTAAATTCAACGTGAAATTTTCAACCTCATCCCCAACACGCAGTTCATACATAGATATGACTCTGTTAACAAAGTGAAGGAGGAATATTTCCACACGGGAATTTCCACTGAAGAGTCACAGAAGAATTTCAATACGAAATTACACCAAGGATAATGACTCCCTCGAGCGCTAATGTTTGCCAAAAATGAATTCTCCATCCACAGTGCCAGAGATTACGTGTCATACATGCAATTCAATGCGAAAGCTTTTCTATTAAAAGCTTTCATCGCTGTAAAATTTCCCTGGTTGAGCAAAGCACTGTGCGCGTAGATAAATGGAAAAGATAGGGGAGAGGCGCTCACCATTCGGAGGGAGGAGAAGAGATTGATAAAAACCCTATCACCACTTGAGCTCGGCCTAAGTCCACTCCGTCTGTGATCGTGCAAGATGTCTAACTTGACAAAATAGACAAGAATGGATTCAGGGAGGCTGAATATGACGAAAATGGTATTTTTATGGTTCTTAAATTTCCTATTTGTTAATTTTGGAACGCCAAAATATGTCAAGCTCATAAAAGCGTATGCACAATGTAATCAATTGGAGTTGTTCAATTATATTCTTCAAGTCTAGACGCGTCTTTTACTCGCCGTCATTCCTTCCGCTTCATTATCTTTGTGTATAAAAATGCGGAAAACTTAATAGCTTAAATTGTTTTTATGACAAAACTGACAAAAGAACATGCAAAAATTCTCGCTATCGGTCACGCCGAAAAGTCAAAGTAAGTATTTAGATATATTCCAAGGGAGAGATAATATTTTGCTGCATTCTGTTTACCGCTCCGCTTCACTTTCACAATTTGTCACAATATCACAATATCTCCCCCTTTATGCATTCATTTCTGTGCGATAAGATGCGAATATATAAGGACCACTTGGCGAATTCGCAGTTCAAAGTGAAATTTTGGATAAAGTGGTGAAGTGAAATCCTATTCACAATGTTACGTATTTTGGGTGTTTTGCTATTTGTGGCTGCTGTGGTGTTCAGTCAAGATCCTCCAGCTCAGTCTTCAGCCCATTTGCAAGATGGCCAAGACCTGAATTCTCTCTCTGCGGTCAGTGTGCATAAGTTGAATGTGCATTTTGGGACAGTGTCAAATGTGAATATTTCATTCGTTAGACGGAAATGATTGAATGGTATGAATACCCTGTCGAATCGCACGTCGTCCAGACCGCAGACGGATATCTCCTCACCATGCACCGAATTCCCCACGGACGAGCTGAAGGATCTGGACCCGCTCCGGGTAAGCCTGTGGCTTTCCTGCAACACGGACTTCTGGGCTCGTCTGCAGACTGGGTGGTTATTGGCCCAGAACGAGCGCTTGCTTATCTTCTCGCTGATGCAGACTACGATGTTTGGTTGGGAAATGTTCGGGGAAACACTTACTCTAGAGCCCACAAAACTCTTGATCCGGACCGCGAACCGGATCGCGAGGAATTCTGGAACTTCAGCTGGCACGAGATTGGCGTGTTCGATCTTCCTGCGATGATTGACTACACTTTGGGGCAGACGAATCAGAACAAACTGAGCTACGTTGGACACTCTCAGGGCACAACGACTTTGTTCGTCATGCTTAGCCTTTGCCCAGAGTATAATGATGTCATAAAGTCAGCTCATGCTTTGGCTCCAGTTGCATATTGTGAACATTTGAAAAGTCCATTCATTAGAGCAGTTGCTCCGTTTGTGGATGCTATTGGTAAGATCTTTTTATGCATATTTAATGTGTAATATAATTATATCACAAAATTCTCATTTTAATTATTCTTTGTCTGGTATTTTCTTCTCAGATTTGATAACAATCTTGCTTGGCATTAATGAGTTCGCTCCCAGTACCCAAATGATGCAGATGGGGGGCGAATTGGTGTGCAGGGATGAATCGCCTGTCCAAGAAGTGTGCTCTAATGCATTGTTCCTAATAGCAGGATATGATTCAGAACAATTAAACCGGGTAATTTTTTTAACCACTCAATTACTTAGAATCTGCAAATCCGCATTTACTGTGCATTTGCAGTCACAACTTTCTGCCATCATGCATAATTCTCCTGCTGGAGCTGCGACTCGTCAGCTTCTTCACTATGCACAACTTATTAACTCTGGACAATTTTGCCAGTTTGATCATGGACCAATTGGCAATATGGAAAAATATGGTTCCACAGATCCACCGAATTATCCTTTATCTCAAATCACGGCTCCTATTGCTCTTCACTACGGCGCCAACGATTGGTTGGCAGAAGTTGTTGATGTTGAGCATCTGCGAGATCAACTTGGAAGCCTTATTGGAACCTTCCGTGTACCGCTGGACTCTTTCAATCATATAGACTTCCAGTATGCCATCGATATCATAGAATTGGTCTACGATAACCTCATTATTCTGATTAAAACATACAATAATTGAGAGTATTCCAATGAATTTCCGAGGAACGCACAATAAATGATATCCGTTCACAAATTTCTCAGTAATCAAACAATCAACGTCCTTTTAGCTGCAAATCGAGTTTGGTAAATTTTGATACATTTCTAGCTCACCCACAAGCTAAACTGAGCGATTGCTTATGTCGTGTGCTTTTGAATCGACGGTGCGTCACGCAATTCAAACTTACTCCACGGATGGCGGAATAATGGTGCTCTTGAAGGGATGCCATTGAGGAAATTTCGCCCCCGGCAATTCTTTCCATTGACTCGGATTGAGGGTGAAAGATTGCTCACGCGGAGTTGGGGTAAACGAGCCAATAAAGTGTATACTATAGAGTAAAAATTTTCAATTTGTCACATTATTCTTGAGTGCCGATTATGGAATTTATGCATTCAATTGAACACGCGTAGGAGAAGAAAAAATGTTAAGCTCTCAGCGAAAAATGCACAAAGCAGTTCTTAAAGTTTCCTCAAACTCTACAGATAAAGGCAAGGATAAAGGCGATTTAGTTTACACAACAGACTTTGCATTATCATGCTTGCTATCCTAGTGAAATTTATGCTCTTTGTTTGGTTCTGCCAAACTAACAATTTTCCTCTGAACTTCCACACACACACACGCTCACCTTCAAGTCCACCCTCAAATGTTTGCATTTAATTAATCCCGGCCTCGTGAAATTTAAGTCTTTAGCAGGCAAACATGCAATTGTATATTATTGGTAATTGGGAATTATCTAATTTGTCGCCATTTTGCGTCAATGTGTATTTGACAACAGGTCCCTCGGTGGTTCAATGTTTGGTTGCGCTGTAATGTTTGACAAGCGGAACACCCTCACAAACCACCCACTCGGCGTTTGCGTCTCCAATTGAGTCCCCAGAGTCGTCACCAGAAAGCTCTACCTTTTCCAGAAAGGTGTGCTGAGTGAGAGTGGCTGGAAAATTTGCAGATGATCACCACAATTTCGCACTCGCCTCATTTGCATGAAATTTTGTATGTTTATTCTGTTAATTTCGTGACCACATGAATCTCCAACTCTCATCAACACAATTGAATACAGTTCCCACACTATTCGCTGTGTGTTAGTTCAAACATGCTCTCCAGAGACTCATTCACGTATTATGCAATTAAATCACTGGTGAGTTATATACATGTAGAATATATGTCGATGGCATATCGTCGGACCCAAATTGAAGTATTGCAAAGCCATATTCACTCATATGTGTTTAAGCCTATTCCACGATAACGATTTTCACTCAATTTTGCGGAAGATCTTTTGTGATCATTGTGAACACGACGATATTTGCTCAACTTCTGATCGATAGTGCTAAAAATCGCGTGAAAAACGCACCAAATGCATTCGAAAACTATTAATTTCAGTCAATTATCTTCAACATTCTTTCTTATCCATGAAGTACAGCCGAGACAAGAGCACGAAATTGAAAAATTCTCCAAAGACACGACAGAGTTGCAGAGGCGGCAACAAGAGGGAATCTGCAAAGTTTCTCGTCTGTGCACTAATTTAGTCCTACTCTCAGACGGACTACATTACGACCACCCTCAGCTTCCCACCCTCCGAACACATTCCAGATAGTCTTTCGGAAACAATTACATTTCCACACTGGAAATTCCTGCAACTTCCACACGAGGAATGTCTAGGGTATTCTCTTGAATACATCAAGGAGCAATTGAGATATTTCACCCAATGTTGTGTAAACACCGAGAAAATAAGTTTCGTATTTCATCTCAATTCCGGCCACGCGGTGGAGGAAAAAAAGGTCTCGCAGAAGAAAATTCAGCATCGTGCGTCAAATTGAAAAACAAAGTGGAAGTGAAGGTTTCACCCGAAAATAATTTTACGAGGCATTAAATTTCAAATTTGCAGATTTCCTCTGCGCCTCTCGTGTGATTTCCCGCGACACGGATTCCTTCCCTTCCAGCCATTTATATTCCCTATTTTGCAGCTCACGTGAAAAACATCCACCTAATCCCCGACAAAAAACTTAACCAATAAAACTTTATAATCGATTCGGAGCCGAGAATATTGTTTTCTGGGGGCTTTTGAAGGTAAGATTTGAATATTTCGTCCATGACAAGTTCTGAATATTAAGGACGCCACAAAGTGGAGTCAAGGAGTGGAAAAAAATGTCACGAATCTTTTATGCTAGGCGTTCAAATGCAAAATCCATCCCTAGATATTGAGACACCATCTTCGTCAGCACAGAAACTTTCTCTTCCCATCTCACAATTTATTTATTAGTTGCTCAGATATAAAATTGCTGTTTATCTCATGTTGCTTTGGGTGAGAAGACTTGGCAAAGAAAGTGATGTTTTTGCACTGATTCGCAATTTTTTCATCCTCCCTTTAAACGCCGCGTTTGTGCAGTCAAAGTTTCATTATTTAAAAATAAGTTTAATGAAGTTGGTAAATCGCTTAGGAAGGTGATTTTTCCTCGGGCAAATTCAATTGCTTCCGACACAAATTGCTTTTCTAAGAATGTTTAATCACCATGTCAGAGGCTGGAAATACAAGACTGTATGGAACAAATTGTGTGAAGAGGAAAAATTCTGCAGAACACAAAAAGCGCAATACACAAAATATTCCTTATCTCTCAATGACACACATGAATTAAAAGTGTTAACAACTTTTCTAACAAAATTATATTAAGAATGTTCTAAAAATATGGATTATAAAAAGCTGTTTACCCGCGTAAAAGTGAGTTCAAATCTATTATAAAACCCATACAACCTTGGACTTTGACGCGAAAAGCAACATTAATGTTTTTCTAATTGACTGTGTCTGACTAACAATTTATATAAAAGCTGCTCTACTTTGAATTGAATACTCAGTACTTTTCATTCGTAGTTCAATAATCATGTCTTTTTCCAACAAGAGTGCTTTGATCACAGGCGGAACTGGAGGAATTGGTGCTGCAATTTGTGAGGATCTCCTGAAGAATGGGATCGAGAATGTGGCTGTGCTCGATATGCATTCAGAAGAACCCGCGATAGTCAATGAATGGAGGAAGAAGTTCAGTAATGCCAAGATCAGATATTTCCAAGTGGACGTGAGTTCTCATGAGCAGCTGGAAAAGTGCTACGCAGAGTTCGTGAAGGAAGTCAAGAGTCTGGACATTGTGGTGAATTGCGCGGGAATTTTCAATGAGAACATCTACAGAAAGGTTGTGGAAGTGAATCTTTGTGGCGTTATTGGATCAACTCTCATCGCCATTGAGCACATGAGGAAGGACAAGGGAAAGGGAAGAGGTGGTGTGATTGTCAATATCTCCTCAATAGCTGGAGTCTGTCCGCTGAGTTATATGCCAACTTATGGCGCAACGAAGCACGCTGTTGTCGTCTTCACGCGATCTTTGGCTCATGGACGTGACAAAATGGGCATCAAGTTTCTCACACTTTGTCCCGGAGGTACGGAAACTCCGCTCGTTGATCAGACTTTCAAGGAACCCTTTTTCTTCGAGATGAGCGAAGACGCTATGAAAGCACTTTCAGCTTCGTATGTTTTGCAAAGGTGAGATTTCCTGAGATTTCTAGCGTGTTCTTCGTGAAGTTCATCATCTCTCTTCCAGTGCCGACAAAGTATCTGAAGCCTGTCTTGAGATCATGCGAGAAGCTGAGAGTGGCAGTGTTTGGATTATCCAGAATGGAAAGTTACAAGAGCACAGCGGAACACCAATTCGGATCTAACTTATATAAAAAAGCACAAATCCGCATTTTGAGTTTTACAAAGAAGTTTTTCAATTAAAACAACACAGAAGAAGAATGCAACTTCTGGTGAAAATCGATTGAAATGTATCTTTCTTGCATATTGTTTTCTTTCAATCTGAGAAAATCCTTTTAGAAGACGAAAAGCCCCACACTGAGACTGCCTTTTCACTTTCATTTCCATAATCTCTTAAGATTGAGCACAAATCCTTTCACAGCATTTGTACAACACCCAAATATTTATGCTCTCAATTCGCTTCACTTTGATAAAAGTTCTCAGATAGCGCATAACTTTGCTAGTTGTCTCGATTCCTCTCGCGAGAATAGAAGAATCTTCTGTTAAAGTTTTGAGCTTGAAGCAATTGAACGGAAGATGCGCTAATCGAAAGCAGAGTTATTGGCCAAACTTGCTAATCTTTAACTTGTTTGACGGTCTGAAAAGTGTGACAAGAAATTTTAGAGTAATTCATAATATGACCACCGAGAATTACGTTGCATAATTCGTAAATTATCAGCATAATGGCCTAATGAGGTGATGATACTGCTAAATTTCGAGCTATTATTGAGTTATTATCCCATAATCAAGTTATTTTCCACACGGCCACTTCAGAAATGATATTAAGCCGACTTTTATCGTAATAATGAGAGAAATTAGAGAACGAGTAAAATATATCTGTTTAAGCACTCAAATTTACTGCACGCTTTTTTACGATTTGTGAGATTAAATAAATTCATTAAATTACTTTAGATTTTGCTTTGGGATTTTCAAGTTGTATAAAAAATAATAAAATATCACATTCTTATCAATTCTATTGTGAGAAATCACCTAATAATTCGATGTCTTCGCGATGGGATATCTTTATTTGTATTTTTATGTACGAAATAAACTAATTGGAGAAAGATTATCCCAAAGAGCTATATATTCGCGGGAATTCCAAAGAATTTCACAGTCAGAATTGAACGCTTTGTCGAAGAAGCCGGTAAAATGTCTTTTCGCGGTCAAAGTGCGTTGGTGACAGGCGGAACTGGCGCGATTGGTGGAGCCATTTGCGAGGAGCTCCTCAAGAGCGGAGTGAAGCATCTTGCGGCCCTCGATCTTAGCGCAGCGGAGCCCAAAGTTGTCGCCGAATGGAGGCAAAAATTCCCTTCGGCGTCCGTGAAATACTTCCAAGTGGACGTGAGTTCTCATGAGCAGCTGGAAAAGTGCTACGCAGAGTTCGTGAAGGAAATCAAGAGTCTGGACATCGTGGTGAATTGCGCTGGAATTTTCGATGAGAAGATCTACAGAAAGGTTGTGGAAGTGAATCTTTGTGGCGTTATTGGATCAACTCTCATCGCTCTTGAGCACATGAGGAAGGACAAAGGCAACGGAAAAGGCGGGATGATCCTCAACATTTCGTCTGTTGCTGGCATAACACCAATGAGTGTTATGCCAACTTACTGCGCAACGAAGCATGGCGTTACCGCTTTCACGAGAGCTTTGGCTCACGAACGCGAATATTTGGGCATCAAATTCTTCATTCTCTGTCCAGGCGGAACGAAATCTCAACTTTACGATATATTTTTAAAGCCTGATTGCTTCTTTATGTCGAGCGAAGCAAAGCTAGATATATTGAAAAAAGGTTTTCCAGATCAAAGCCCAGTAGTAGTTGGAAAAGCCACCGTGAAAATCATGCAAAACGCCAAAAGCGGAAGTGTTTGGCTTGTCGAAAATGGAAAAACGACCGAAGTTACATTGCCTGAAATTCAATTTTAACAAATTCTGGTATAAGTATTGTTGATATCTTATAAAACAGGAATAAAATGATCAAGTTATTAACCAATTTTTATTAAATCATTTTCATCGTTTGTCCTACAAGTCAAACTGCTGAGAATATCGCAAGGATTAAAAATCAAACAATTGAGAACGTGATGACGAAAAAATCCGTGACGATAGTTTCGAGTTTCAATTATGAGAAACGCGGACGTGCGCCAGTCATATTCCGTTCTATTGCGAAATGTGGAAAGAAATGAAATTATTGGATTTCACGTGTTCCAGCCGCCCACTTTCTGCCCCATTCACTCCTTACAAACAGCGCGCAAACAGCGAAAGCAGCTCCTGGAAGACAGAGAAGAGCGCCAGTCTTTCTGTGACTTGTGATGGTCTGATGATCATGCTTGAGTGTTTGCATATATTAATGTAAATTTCATTGGATGTTCATTGGGGAGAAGTGGAATTTTTTACGGTGGAATTTGATCAAAAGAAGATTGCAAATGGAGAATTTCTCATGATTGAATGGAATATTGAAATAGTCAAGATTTTGAAATCAACTCGCGACTTTTAATATTCTTTCCCATTTCGTCATGCAAATGCAGATGGAATTAGAGCGTATACTTTGTGCAATTTCTACTCAACTGTGTATTCACCTATGGAAATCACCTCTGTGCCTAATAAATAATTACCAAGATAATTACTCTTACTCAAAAATCCCCTAAAGAGGATTTTCTCTTGTCCACAATTTAGAGCTTCGCATGGGAAAATCGTGTTGAACAGCACAAGAATCGCCGCAATGAAAGACGAATTTGTCGTCCAAGATTTTCTTCAGAATGCCATTTCGCCAAATACCGAATAATGAATAAAGCAATTAATTTTCAATTGCTTACATTTTAATTAAATCTCAAGCATCGCGCAATGAATAATTAAAACTGTCACACAATCAGGCTGAATACTCCTTTTATTGCTTTCCTATTACAAAATGAATCTCATTGTGCGACGCGCGCGATGGATTCTTTTATGTGAGCTCAAAAGTTGACACAGGACAAATTTGTGTCCTTTTCATTTGGTAAATTTTCTTATGCTTCACACTCTCTAAATGGCACGCGGCGAAAGCTCGCGATGGGCGGAATCTCGAGGGGGTGGCGAGAGATAAAATTAAAATCAATTTATCGTCATGTCTCCAAGCAATGCTCACGTGGATGGCAATTTAGGGAAAACGGCAGGACTTCAGAGCTCGCTCTTCCACTGGGTAATTGCTGAGTGAATGGACAGAGGAGAGGGGAAATGCATTATGTTGATTATATTTGCAAATATATGTTTTCCAGCAATTTCCATATACTCATATTAAATGAGAGTCTCAAGGATCATTTCTGTGTCTTGCTATTTGCCATCATCCACCCTATAATGCCATGAGAATGCACACAATAAGAGCTCTTTTCTGCGCTGTTTTTTCTCTCCTTTTTCCATCTCTCAGACGAGAATTCTTTCTCTACACCTCACAAATGCACTTCCTAATACTCTGCGACGAACTCTTGACCTTCTTTCTAATTACAGGGCGTTCCACCCTCGCGATTCCCGCCCATCGTCGCGCCACTTAACTTAGCGTTGAGAATTATACACAGTCTCTCTGATGGTATAAAGTGGGATAATTGGATCGTGTTTCAGCGATTGTCGCGCTTCTATCAACGTCACCGAAATCGCATTTCGAGACAAGTTCGCGACACGGCGAGAAAAATGCACCCAAATGCGCTTCGCGCGCCAGCCAGACAAGAAAATTGAACTCTGTTCACCGCGGAATTCCGCCCACTTCGGCGGATCCTGATAATATCCGACAGAAATGTGCAATTTTGGTGACAAGTGTCATGATTTGACTCACAATATTGAACAATGCGATCATGAAGGGGGAAATGGGCGGGAAAGTGACGGAAAGCTGATTCAATTCACCCGTGTTTTTGGTAATTCTACATAAAATCATCCCGACAAGACCAAAAGTTTTTCACATACTAAAGAAGAAGCGACAAAAACAGCTTTGTTCAGTTTCAATGAAAATTGGAAATTCAATATAAAGCTCAATGAATTTGTATGAGAAACGAAATATGTCTTGAATAATATATTATTGTTAATTAGCATTTATTTGATTCGGAACTGTAAAACTTCGTCATTAAATATCGAAATTTACATCAAATGTCATCGAAAAAATACGCAACAGCATGAATTTAAGAACAAGATTTTCCCTTTATGCATCGCGCTATGAAGAAAAGGATACTTTCTCAGCATGTTCGGTGGAAAAAAAATTCAAGCAATAATTGCAGGATGTTGGTGAATATTTTTACAGTTGCGCCTGAAACGGAGCGAATGAAAGGAAAATGCCAAGGAGAATAAATTAACGTCAATTAATTTCATTCTTCTTCACCAACTCATTTTCCCTCGTCCTTTCACATCTCACCAGTTGCAATTAAGAGTGATATATGCTGTGAAATAGTGAAATGTGTCGGAGGAAGAAATAGTGCGCCAAGAAAAATTCTGATGGGCGGAAGTGCGCCGCGAGGGGTGAAAGTGGTGTTTTAATTATTTTTCTTTGATGGCGAATTTCCTCACGGGAAGCTCTCAAGCGTCTTTTGAATAATTTCCCTATTTGAGAAAATTAATAAATGGATGGTGATGAGGTAACCCCATAAACCTTGCCACTCGACGCGCCGTTCTTTGCCTCCGTCTGCAACTCGCAACCTTTGAGCGACTTGCGCCACCGGAGAGACACGTAGAAGAGGTTGGGAGGCAGGAAGGGAAGGTGAAATTAGGGAAATTAAAAATAAGAATTAATCCTATTAGGAATTATGGAAAGTGTGTCTAGTTTTTTCCCCATCTTGGCTCTGCTCTCGCTCATTGAGTGAATTCGTGCGAGCGCAGAAAAGGAGATTTCAACCAGAAGCTTGGACTTAAGCCTCCCTTCCTCACCACAGAGCGATACATATTTTACTCAAATTCCTGCGCTTCTTCGCCATGGACAAGATCGCACAATGTCCTGTTTAGATTCTTGCCATCTGCGCAAAAAAGGGTCTTTATCTGCATCCTTCCTAAGTCAACTCGCCGTTCGCCTCTTTCACCTTTCACTTTATTAGAATAATTCCGTAATCAGACTCCGTCTAATACAAACAAATACACTCCAGCCCGGCGAAGAGGTGGAAATGCAACCGTATTAACGTGCCACCGCCCCAAACTGAACACCCAGAGAGTCTCCCAACGTGCGCACAAATGTTGGCCTGGAAAATCCCATGAATTTTAAATTGTCTGGCGCTTCCATTCAGATTAAGTAAAATTTTCACGGCTCTACTTTAAAATTCCGCTCACTGAGAGTGTTTGTTGAATGGCATGGAATTTTTTTTCACTATTTTACAGAGAGACTTCCCCCCCCCCACCCCACCCATCGTTGGGTGACTAAATAAACAAATTCCCTCTTAGCTGGAGCTCCAATTCGCCCGCCAAAGTGCACAAAGTCTATGCATTTTTCCGCCCCATGAGAGCGAATATGTGGCCTAGATTCCAGACACTGTGGCGGAGAGCCTGGCAAAAGGAGGAAAAAAGCTTCCACCTTCATTTTAATAAAGGCGCTCGGGCTCTTCTTTGAGGCAGACACACACACCGCATGCTGAAAAATTTATTAGTTTATCAAGATGCTCTCTAATTAAACTAAATATTTGCAGGTGAATTATGAATGTTTAATTTTGCAATATGAATTTCACATGGTGTGCTTCAGGAGGAGCAAAAGCCAGAATCTAAAGATCAGTGATATCATCCAGACTCTTCAGGATTCAATATTCCTGCATTACAATTTATACTGCAGTTCCTGATATTTTAGGTGCCTTTTCATATCAAATTAGACTACAATTTGAGTCATTAATGTTTCGCACTGAACTGAGATTATTGTAATGACTTCACAGTAATTTATAGAGTTGAATAAGGATACAAAGAAGACCAATAATGAACTGAAGAAAGCCACGAAAAAGGATAACAATGAGGAATGTATGCAAAACCTGAAAGTTTCTGGTAGAATCTTTGTTTTAAATCCATAATTTACTGTATTTTAGACTCTTTCTTCATTCTTCAGTGGTACAAAAAAATCACAGAGGACTTTCCCAAACCTCACCTTTTTCCCCATCAGCCACGGTATTTCTGCGTGGGGAGCGAAAAGAGGGAGAGGAGAAGGTGAAGTGTGAAAATTCCATTCTCGCCATTCCATTGTCCTGAAGCGGGTCAATCGTCTTGCCTTGATGACTTTTTAAGGAAGACGAGACGTGGAGGTGCGTGAAGGATGTGCTCATTGTATTTATAAGACAATAGCGAAAGTCCCTCGCCAAATATCGGTCAGGAGGAAGGTGTTGAAAGGGGAGAAAAGGAGGCGATGAAATTTAAATGGGACGCCAATTCGAGTCCCACAAAGACGACCTGTTGGAAATAAACAAATTGATGATAAATTCTTGGCAAGATTCTTGGCAGTCAGTTCGCCAGAGAAGAAATTCCACGAAAATGCTCCGGTGTGAGGATGAAGAGTGAGAACTGTTCGCATTCTGCCACCATTCACTGTAATGCCTTTCCCGCCAATCGCAATCGCGCTCCTACTCGCTCTCCCGTCAGTGTCTGGCAGAGGGCGCTGCGGTGTGTTAGGCGGCAAAATGCCGTGCGAAAAATAGTGGCTGTCATCGGAGAAGTAAACAAAAGACGCGAAAAGAGAACAGCGTCCAAAATTGCACTTTCGTGGCGCAAGCGGCGTCTCATTTCCTGGCTCAGACGGAAGCGGTGGTTGGCTATGAGCAACAGCAACAAGATCTTCTTGGTGTTGATTGCGATATCCAGCGGTGCCCTCCTCATCCTCTACAGCAGCAATGACCTCTTCGCCCGGCCCATCTTGCGCACGTTCTTCCCCGCGACGCCCTCCGGAGCGCCCCCGGCCGAGGTGGCCGCCCTCGTGGACACCCGCGGCGACATACAGCGCGTGAAGTACGTGCCCAGGGGCGACAATGCCACGGAGCACAACATCTTCGTCATCTACACGAAGGAGAACTACTCGAACCTGCTGAAGAGCAAGTTCGAGCTCTTCCTCAAGAGCCTGCTCAAGTTCACCACCATCGACCTGCACCTGCACATCATCACGGATGAGAAGAGTGAGCTGTCTGCGGAGACGATGCTCAAGGACCAGATCAACAAGTACAAGAAGAGGATCTTCTACACGCTGTACGACGTTGAGGACTTCGCCGCGAAGATCAACGACATTGTCTACGTGATGATGCCCTTCTTCAGCTCCCACGCGGGCTCCTACTACAGCGACTCTCTCTTCTTCCTCTCGCTGGGTCTGCACCGCATCGTGGACCCCAAGATGACGCAGGCCATCCTCATAGACTGCGACGTGGTGTTCCGCACGGACGTGAAATACCTCTTCGAGCAGTTCCGCCGCTTCTCGCCGGAGAACCTCTTCGGCCTGGCGCCCGAGCTCACGCCCGTCTATCGACATATCCTGTACAAGTATCGCGCCACATATCCCAAGAGCAACTTTGGCAATCCCTACTACCCAGCGTCGCGGCGCAAGGGCCAGAAGATGGGCTATCCGGGCCTGAACAGCGGCGTGGTGATGCTGCAGCTGGACCGCATCCGCACGTCCAAGCTCTTCGCCGAGTCGCTCAAGTTCGACAGCGTGAAGCAGCTGACGGACAAGTACGCGTTCAAGGGTCATCTCGGCGACCAGGACTTCTTCACGCTGCTGGGCCACGAGTTCCCGGCGCTGATCTACCGCCTGGACTGCGTGTGGAACCGCCAGTTGTGCACGTGGTGGAAGGAGCACGGCTACAGCGACGTGTTCGACCACTTCTTCCACTGCGAGGGCAAGATCAAGCTGTACCACGGCAACTGCAACACGCGAGTGCCGGAATGAGAGACAATACTCCTCGCCTTCACGCGCCCTTCTTCATTTCTCACATTGCAATTTTGTGATAATTGTCTCTAGAGTCGTTTTTCCATGAGAATCTCTGAGAGTTTGCCGTGTCTTCCTCGCAAGGATGTTGAGAGGAGACAGAGAGAGGAAATGTGCAATTGCGGAGTGAAGGGAGAATTTCAGAAATTCTCCCAGTATTTATCAAACAAACAATGTAGGATCTCTAGAGAGAAAGAGGGAGATAGAGTGAAATGTTCCATTCTCGACGGCAATATCGAGCGAATAGTATTAGATTTTAGTGGAAGTTTTATATTTTAAACATTTTTAAAATGCATTTAAGGGCGAGGCAATAATTAACTCTATCGAATGGCCTATAAATCTCACGAGCTGGAATTTCTCGAGCATCTCCAGTGTTTCTAAATAACGCAAATTGGCCTATTTCGTTGATATTCAGTGTAATTCGTGTGAACTTAAGTGAATGGGAAATTTTTAGCTCTTTTAAGCTAAGCTGGGCTCATTAATTGCAATAATGATTAACACTCTGAAGATGATTCATTGGCATTTATCTTTAGTCTTGCGATAAGTATAGTGCAATCTGGGATCGCGCAGTCGAGTCCTTGTGAACTTGCCATGATTTGTGATATGGCAAAAATGTCCATTTCGAGACTTAGTGACTCAAACATTCCTTTTAGAAGCCCGAAAGTGGTGAGAAATGGAAGATTTCACTCTGCAACTGAGCAAATTATATCAAGCTTGCGTTTAGGACTTTCTTATGTGAAAACATATCCGATGAAAATAAATACAAAAATGAGCGTTAGCAAAAATTAGGGCATTTTGCAATAGAAAAACTGAGAAAATCCACATTTCACGACGAACTGGAGAATTCAAACGGTGAAAGCCAGCGCTTCTGGCGGGATTTTCTTGAGTTAGAGGAAAAGCGATGAGCGCCGAATTATCCAAGGTGGATTGGAAGCCAAATAATGTTTTGGCGGCAGAAGTTGAATGATGACAAATACTGGTTTTCTCTTACTACAAATAGCCAGAATTTGCAAAACACAATAACGCAGTGGATAAAAAGTTGTCTGGAAGGCAACAATGTGGTTGAGAGAAGAAGACAACTCGCTGAATACGCAAGATAAGGTCAAGTAGAGATGAGAGATGTGAAGTGGCAAAAAGTCAACTATCAAATATCTCTGTGAATACGTAGAATTTTGACGCAATTCCTGGAAATAACACCAAATCGGGAGGTAAAAAAGCAATAACAAGACTCTTTTTGTTTAATTAAAATCACATAAAATGGATTTTATTTAAAAAATACTACATTTCCATCAGAATTCAATCACTCATCTGATCGAGGAAAAGTTTATTGAATTCTCACATTGATTAAATAAATTGTTAGGGTATGTTTTTTTTTCTTCAAAATCTGTTTTCACAATTAAAGTATAATTTCTCTCAATTAATATACGAACAACAGAGTGACAAAAAGATGCTCTCATAATAGATCAATGAACTCTTCCAACGACAAATTCATTCACTAGTTCTTTTCTATCTAAGTCCTTAAGATTAAATATAATCTTACAATGGTATATAAAGTCACTTTCACTTGGTATCTAGACTCCCTCTCGTCGGTTATGTACAGGAAGGCACTGCATTTATCGTGTGTCGATTTTGTAAAAAATATTTCTCTTGTTCTACAAATTTGGCGCTTTTCATCATGATACGATACATATATTGAGAAGGTTTTTGAGCTCTACTCCTAGAACGCCTCGGCGCGCCGCCCCGGCCAATTTGGGGGGCCGCGGCGTCTCGGCAGCGGAAGTCTCCTTTAGTGGCTCAGCCAGTGTCGCAGCGCGAAGAGTGTGCAGGAGGCGATCAGGAGTGACGCCAGAGGATGATGACTAAATGCAGAATTGTCCCCATGTTCGTCATGCGCCGGACGCTCATCAGTTCCTGCACGGAGAGACAGAATTCTTAGCGACTCGCGCGACTCAGAGGCTGAACACTCAGTTGCATTATTGCTCCGTCGAGGGGCGAGGAAATCGGCGCATTGCATTTAAACACACCCACGATTTCCTCACCCCCAAACTTGAGGATTGATTCATGCAGATTTTTGCTCCCAACATCCAAAATCTTCAGTCTCTATCGTGAAATTCAACACAAATTCATAACTCGTGATTCAGTGCTCTTGGAAAATCGCTCGCACAGCATCAAAAAAAAATATTTACAGTGTCTTTTTTTCTCTGTGCAATGAACTCGTGTGGGAAATGCTACACCTTTTTTCCGGGAAATAATTGCACACACAATTTTGACTCATCCTCCAAAATCCCAAGTTAAGTGAATCTATCTAAGACAAAAAAAAAACGTTAACCAAAACCCCTGCAAAAGATCCTCAAGGTCAAAGAAAGAAAAAAACACCCTCAACAACTAAACATATTTACAAAATAAAAGAGAATATATAAATCATAAAACGTACGTGAAGGCTGGCCGCAAAATCTTCGATGACAATTTTAATGGTATAAAATTGAGGACATTTTTTAACACACAAAGAACGGGGTTAACTTCGGAGACTAAAGCCTGCAAAACGGATTCATGCTGAGTATAACGTGATGAATAAATCAAAAGGGACTCCTTATCGTAAATCATAGTGTAAGTTCTTTGTTAGGTGAGTAAATTAATTCTCTCACATTGTGCGCCTCAGGCAGAATCGTGCTTTTCCTGAACTTGCACTTCTAGTGCAAAAAAGAAGGCTTTTCACTGACTTTTCATGCAAAGAATTGTGCTAACAAATCAACAAAGAAAACGTGTGTGTGTGTGCAAAATATGTGCAATTATTTCACATTCAAACTCTTATTTAAGGTGCAATTTTGTTAGGATCAAAAATATACACAGTGCAGTGAAGCAATATTTTGCAAAATTGCGTGCAAATATATCAGAAAAACGTCAAGAGTGGCATAAAAGTGAGTGAAGAGTGCAGGAAAATTAATGGTGTTAGTGTGAAAAGAGATTTCTAAGACTATTTTCCTATTAAGGTTAGTGAAACCGACTTATTCTGCAACGAATTCGTCGACTTTCGGATTTGAATTTGAATTTTTTTCAACTGTCACTGTGACAGCGAATTTAGTGATCAAAGTTGAAAGATGTTGATCGTTATTGTATTACAGTTGTTACTGGGCTTCTGATGATTTGATGTTTTCTGTTAGTAAATATTTGTATTTAGTCAATCTTTTTTAGGCACATGAGGGAAAGGAAGGTTTTAGTGACAGTTTACAGAGAATTATTGTTACTTAAATACAGAAAATTACCGGTGAGAACGTGTACTTTTGTCTTGTGACTGAGCTAATTGTGCCAAGTAATGTTCTCATCAGCAATTTGCAGACTCTATTTTGCTCAAATTTGCTAGAGGATTAGACATCCCAAACACCTCGACAGCGAGTACGGAGACTCAGAGAGTGAGAGAGAGAGATTCTGAGGGCAAACGAAAGAGACATTTCTCGTACACAAACAAGAGAGCTAACAAATCCACAATGAACACGGCAAAATGACGAAGAGGTATAAATGGAAGACTTGTGATTAATCGAGGAAAAAATTCAAATTGCCGCATGAGCAAAACTCTCTTCTCAACGCGATTGTCGGTTCCACTCACCTCCGGCATCCATAAGGAAATCGTCATCGATGACGTCATGGGCGCCGTGCGTGTGCTCAGGATCGGCGATAACATTACCTAGTGAGCCGAAGGACGCCGGGATGTTCTTGCAGCCGAACCACCAGTGAGCCGTTGGCCGCGGGAAGGGCGGATCCGCCGCGTCCACCTGTCAAGAAGTCAACATTGAGTAAGGCCGCTTATCGCACTCGTCCACCGCGAGTCTTATCGCGGGGCTTTATCGCCATAGTTTTGCTCCACTTTCCGTGCGATGATTTCATGGGGAATATCAGAGATTTTGGAAGGCACAGAAGTTCCATATTTGGGGGAATTTCAATTAATAAGCACGTGAGATTTCTCGGAAATACAGAAACACTTCGGAGAATCATATAAAATTCTGCCGTGACTCAAGAATTGGACTCACAAGAGAGAGTCCGAAGTGGGCTAATTAATGAGAATAATCTCTCTTGATTCCTTTCACAGCTATTGGACTCACCGAGAACGTCCTGTCGTTGAATCTGTAGTACTTGTTGTCCTTGAAGAAGTACGTGTATCCGTTGGTGTACTGCAGAGCGGCGTCGATGTTGTTGGGAACGCCCTCCCAGTTGGAGATCGGCTTTGGGTACGTCGACTTCACCGGCGGCCTCTTGAGCGGATCGAAGCGCCAGAAGCGCGTGCCCTTGTAGAAATAGATCTTGCCATTGCCGCCCCACACGAGGGCCGCGTCGAGATTGTCGGGGATGCCGGTGAAGCCCTCGCTGATGGGCTTCGGGTAGTCGCCGTCCACCTGTCGGCCGTTGTATCGCCAGTACTTGCTGCCCTGGAAGAAGTACGTCTTGCCGTTCTTGTACGTGAATGCGGCGTCGATGTTGCTGGGCAGGCCTGGCCAGCCCTCGGAGATGGGCTTGGGATAGCCCTCGGCCACGGCGTTCTCGGTCAGTCGGTAGTACATGCTGCCCTTGAAGGCGTACGTCATGCCGTCGGCGGAGTTGAAGATGGCGTCCATCTTCGCGTCCTGGCACAGTTCGTCGTTCACGCGGTGGACGGGCGTTCGTGGGGTGGTTCTCGTGGGCGTCGTGGCGCCCGAGCTGGTTTTGCGGCCGTACAGCGCCTGGATGCCCTGCACGTCGTCGGAATCGAGTCGGAAGTGGGGATCGTAGCCTCTGTAGAAGGGCGCCATGAGGGCGGACCGGACGTCTGAGTGACTCAGTCCAAGAGAGTGTCCGAACTCATGAGCCGCCACTTGGAATAAATTCGTGCCGCGCGTGCTGCCAATTGTCCAGTACTCGGCGTCGTCGAAATGAGCATCGCCGCCGTAAACCGGGAAGTAAGCATGCGCCAGAGTGCCTCCAGGACCATCGAAAGGATCTCCGTCACCATGTTCGTTCTCCTCAAACCTGAGTTGATGAATAGAATTGAGAAGTGCGTATTTATTATGATTGCAAGGTCAATTTGATAGTCATTATAAATCGCAATTGTCGAAAATAACAATTTCCCATTTATCTCATGGAAAATCGGAAATTGTTTTGTTGCCACAAACAATTGCCATAATGATTCACACAAATTTAATATAATGTGGATCGGATAAATTCTCTCGATTCTCACAGTGTAAAAAGAAACAAGCTTTTAACCCTTTCAATACACATGTTGAAGCATTTTTCTCGCCTTTCGACTCACTTATTAAATATGTATACCAGGAAAGGCGGGACTCTCGTGCGAAAGGGTGATTTATGCTATCTTGTCGCTCCGCGGGTGTCATAAATCATATGATTTTGGAACAATGAAATCTTTCTGCTTAATTACATCGAACTGATGACTAAGAAGCAGTCATGTTGTCGCAGATTAATACAAAAACATGCTCGCATGAGATCAGTGAAGAGGATGCAAATAACACGAGGTGTCCGCAATCAGTCGCGATAATCTCCTGATCGCAGAATTGCACGCAAAAAGTTGCAATTAATGCAGATGATAGGAATGCTCATAGTCATCCCTGGCATCATTTGCTGGCATGCGGCGCAAATGAATTTCACCCTGAATTCCATGAAATGTTCCGCGTCAGGATCTCCAGTGAAGATTGTCAACCACTCACCTTATTTCAATGTGCACCGGATTCGTGCGTTTTGGTGTAAATGTGAGATCTGTATATTCACTCCACACTGCGAAAGCCTTCGCGATTTCCTTGTCAACGTCTGGCTTGTTGAGTCGCTTCGGGTACTTGGAAATTCGATAGGTGAGTGCTTTGACTTTCCATCGACTACCTTGCAGGGCGTAGCGCTTCGACCGGGAGTCCGTGCCAAATCCCACTTTGTCTTTAACACCACACCTCGGCAGTGTCATGAGCTCCATCGTTTCGGCGTCTAATTCGCCTGCGAAGAGAATTGAGGGGGTGTTTTAGCAGTTGCGAAGACAATTAGAGCGATTATATTTGTTGAATTCCACGGAAGTTATTTGGATATTAAATTATCGGAGCTACAGTGGCCACAAATTGAATAAGAACAATTTGTCTACGGCTTTCTTGCCTTTCTAGATCAAATTCTTAATCTTTTAGCGAGACTTTAATGAGCACGCAAATATTTAGACTTCAAATTAAAGAAAAGAACGAGAACAGTTAACAAACAAGAACAAGAGTTTTAGGCAATATGTACAAATTTAAGCTCAAGTTAAAGTTTTTAATTATCTTTAATCTGGTGGTTAAAATTCATATCTTATGACAGAATCTGAACAGCAATAAGTTGGACACTTCACGTGAAGAAATGATTTTCTTTCGATTTTCTCACCTGTGACATTGAGTCCGGCGAAGCCTTGGAAATCTTGGATGGCCTTCGTCCATGTGTCTTCATCCAGCAGTCCACCGCTCGATGGATTTCTGGCAGAAGCGGGCAGGTAGCCGAACTGTGACAGATAAATCTGCAAAAGAAGTTGTCTTATCACAAATACTGTCTCTAATCACCTGAGGAATTTATTCACGAGGTAAACACTGTGCTGCGGAATTTATCATCTTCGCTCTCGTGATTGTCTGTCTGGAAAAAACCCCAGACAAATTTATTTGCTGCCCTGCACATGGCGATTAGCACTAAATTGCAAGTCGTAGGAGGATTATTCCCGGTGCTGGACTAGATAAATCACCTGGGCAATCATTCGCAGCTATCTATCGCCTGTTTTTCCGTATAACTGAGATTTTTCTTCCGATATCGTTTAACATAAATTAAGTGCTGAGCATCAGTTCGCGATGAGCGAAGAATAAACACAATGAGCAAATCCAGCGAGAAGACAGTGATGAGCATGTTTGCATGCTCTAATGAATGTATTCAAACTGGCAAAAGATGCACTGCAATTTTTATATTTCCCTCCTTTTGCAGAGCTCAAGGTCTCGCGCGCGCGGTGCATTTTTTCACATCGAACTTGAAAAGCTCCAGCAAAAGTTCCACTTAATTAATATGTTTTGTATTCTTTCCAATATAAATATTCTTTAGCATTTTTCTTTTCACCATTGTGCATTCACACAACATCTGATGAATTATGAAACGTGAATTGAGTGATTTTTATGGTATAGATTGTTAAATACAGTTAACTTCCTCAAGTGCGCGATCTTCGTAGCTCTGTGACTTTTCAAGTGTTTCGACTTGAATATGTTTATGGCAAAATCTGGTTGCTGACAGATTGGACACACACGTCAAGTACTTAATTTAGGAGCTATTTTTGTCATATCTTTGTGCTGACATTATGCGATTGTAAATTAAATTAGCTAAATTGCACTCATCTTCAACTGCGCATTGTGGCCAAAGTTCATTCATGAGCAATTTTTTTTCGTGTATAATGATGGAAAAATTTCCATAAATTTTCCCTCAAATTGCACATATTTAGAGGTAGATTTTTCTAGAGTTGGAAAAATGGAGGAATTATACAAATGAGGTGAGTTCGAATGACTGTCACGTTTTCCACACATCTGAAAATACACTGCAAGTTCATTCATTTTCACTTTCAATGGCGCGTATTTTTCTCGCATGCAGAAAATCACAATTTGTAGTCACAAACGCACGCGTCTTGACCACAGAACAGTAAAGTGTGAAAAGTGTCAGTGTGGATTTCTGGAGGAACTCTTCATAGTGTTGCCGTAAGAAGTTGTAGTTTTGCTAGTCAGTGGAACTTTAGCAATCTGCATATTGATTTGTATTTTTATAAATTAAATCATAAATTGATATTTGCAAATATATGGACATTTATCAGGCGATAAATGTTCTTTGCATTCCAGCAGTGGCTCATCTGCGACTCAGGCGCAAATGTTAAATGCATTCCCCATCGATAAATTATTAATTGAGACAAAACATGGCACTTTAGACAGGAGCTTACGACACGGCTGACAGTAATGAAGGAAGCGTGATTACGTGTTGAGAATCGAACGCCAAAGGGTTGTTAATTGTGGATATTTATTTAAGTTTAATCACTATAATGTAATTCAGCGATTTACTTTAAGTGATTCACGGAGCGTCTGTTTATGCAATGGATCTCTATTGTAAATAACTCTCCTATTCTGCTCTCTTGGCAGCATCTTCCACACTCTGCTGACTTGGTGCTGAGCGATCTTTTGGGTTCTTGACCGCCTTCAATGAGACATTCCGTGATTTGTGGCGGCGGTGCAGCTGAGAGGGATTCGGCGTGGAGAAGAGACCCAGCAAAAAAACTGCACAGTGGCGATTGAGGGGCCGATGATCCCAAAAATAAACCACAGTCGCTCTGGTCAGACGAAGATTAAACAGTGATTAACATTCACCGCCACACTTCTTGCATTATTCATTGTTTATCTATGTGCCACGCTGCCGATGGAGGAGTGAAGGGGTCACGGGTCAAGTTTGTCCTCTCAAATATTCGGTGGCACTTCCCATTTGAATATCTCTTGGCAATTTCTGCGGCAGCATTGCAGACGATCTCCAAGTCAGGCAGATCGAGATGTTTGTCTTCCAAGACTCTTCTCATCCCGGCAACTTAAAATTCTCAGTATGTTCGACTGTGATGGGTTCTTTGTCATTTTTCTTTTCCTGTGAATTGCTATGTTTGTCTCCAATGGGAAGACACTTATTCCTAAACGCAAAATGCTCTCACATTAAAACGCAACCGCATTTTATTGCCGTGGAACAAACAATTCCACATTGATAAGTTGTCAATCAATTATCCCATGTGACAAGTTCGTGTCATTTCCACGCACATAATAATTTAATAATACGAAGTTAAGTAAATGCATTGAATTGTCTGTTTTACACTGAAAATTGTCGGATGGCTTTGTCTTGGCTCATCAATCACCCGGCGTCTCCACGGCAAGATGCCGCTCCGCGTGTCATTGTTACCGGGAAGTGCAATTAATTCATCCCTGGCAATTTACACACAACTAATCCATATTTGCTCACTGACGAATAAATTACCCAGGCAATTGATTTTACTGCGCCAAGAAGATCAGAGAGCATTATTTCGGTGTGTATTCAAAAATACTTTGTGCTGGAAATGAGTCAGAATTCCGTTCACTCCGTAGCTTAATAGATGATTCATCCTGCAAAGATATGTGAAATTGCTTTTGCATTTGCACAGTGTGGGCATTCAACTGACCATTGAGTATTGAAGATGCTGTGAAAAATTACGGCGAATTTCGTTATTGACTTCAGACCGCTTAGATTGTTTATTTGTGGTTTCGGAGGCAAAAAGAAAATTGTTTGTACAAAAGATTTAAGCACATTTCACTAATAAATTTCAGCTTACAATCTTCTGGCACATGCTATTTTGCATGGCTTTTCATTCACAAATTCGTCTCAATTGAGAGATTTAGTGTTGATGAACATCTTAAATGATTCTCGAGAAATTCCTCTTTTGTTCCCCTCATAAAATTGTGCCTGTAGTAAAGTAAATTTGCCTTTTTTTCACTTCGTGGAAAATTGAGAGTGTGCCAGTGAGAAATTGCCTGTTTGGTGAGTTAAATATCAGTGAAAAAAGCGCGGAAGGTCGCATCGCGATTATGAAATCATAGGCATGGGATGAACTTCCGTAGCCACTACACCTGATAATTCCACATCATTACAGCGCTGGCATATAGATTTTTTCGCCTCAACGTCCGTCATTGGGGCACTGCTATTGTCACGGTCAATACCGTTTTCGTCGTCCAGCGGCGTCGCGAACATGGCACCTATTGGCTGCGGCTTATTCATGGGATTTGTGCATGAAAAAATTCCAGGTGAAAAATGCCGGCAGCGCTTTGTGAGAAATGACACACGCATCATCACCCACACGCCTGAGAGGCACGCAATTTGTTCACAGAGCGAGAGGAAGTGGGATTTCTGACATTAATCACAATACGCAGGAATTTTGCATCGGATCCAATCGAATCGGAAGACGCGCTGAATCAATTTAAGGTGGATCAAATTGTGGGCGGAAGAATTTTAGACATTTCTCCGCATTGATTCATCTTGTATACATTTCACTGTGTGCTTGCCGGTTAGTCACTCGAAAAACAAAACAAAATAATAATGAAGAAACCAAATCCAATTTGTCAGCTATTATTCTCGGTAATTCACTGTGAATTCACGTGAATTGCAAATGGGAAATCTAACAGGTAATTAAGTTGGATGTTAACATGAGTTAATTATTCCATGACGAAATGCCATAAATACTGCAATATTCTGCGCTGAGCTGTTAAATATCTCGTCAAATCTTGCATCAAAGACAAATAGGCACTTTGCCAAGGCACTTATTCTCCCCTTTTCTGCAAGCTCACCACTTGTTTGGAGACAAATCATGAAATTATGATGATATATAGGAAATGATTGTCACACTTCAATTTTTCCAGTCCGGTGATTTACCGATCAAGGATATTTTTGGCCTTTGCAGAATACTTAATAACAAACCATTTAGAAAAAAAAACCGCCCATACACACAAACATGCGAAGAATGGAAGATTATTATACACTTCATGAACATTTTCGCTACTCATAATTGCACCTTGACAAAGAAATCATTGTTCTACCGAGAATGAATGTGTTTTATTGGACAGTGTGACGAAAAGTTAATAAATCTGCTTCTCATTCTGCTGGAAGGGCGAATGAGAGAGAAAAAATCTCATTGCCTGATAAATTATGCAAGTTCACATCACTTTCATTGACACTTTATGTGTCTAGCAATGTTTTGATAACCAGGCGTGGATGGTTTTCCTATCATTCTGTCTGCGGAGGAAGTGTTACTCACAGAAATAACACAACGAAAATATAATGTTGATAGGAGATTATGGAAAGAAGGGGGAAAAGCTTATTCCAGCCTTTCTTTATTCATCGAAGCTACTCACGAAGCATTTGGATAAACTTATTGGCCTCAATTTGGGGTGGATGAATATTGATTCGAGAGCTAATTCTCCTTCAAGTGACAAAGACACTGAAAAGCGTGTCATTTTCCATCGTTTAGCGCCAAATTTAGCTCTGAAGCGCGCGATCTAGAATCTGGTCATTTATCTCTTGTGTCAAGACTCCAAAAATATAATTCCTCTTCAATTGCGCCGAGGGAAGAAGCTATTGACCTCCACGCGATGCTTCTGAGTACACAAAATCCACCTTCCAGCGAACGGCGCCCTTTTGGGTGGGTTGCCTAATGATTAATGCATATCTAGGACAAATCAGACCCCCTTTAATTGCTGTACATTCACTTTTTTATTTCCACCATTGCGGTGGCATTTGAATGTTGGAACTTTCTCCGCGGCACGCAAAGGAACATTCTTTGTGGCGAGTTCATGAGTTCTTCTCCGATGATGGCGGACGAGAAAGAAGCCCGCGAGCATGCAAGGAGACGCGAACTCGCCAACGAGCAACGACCTAGGACATTGAATGGAAATTGAGCTTAATTATTGAGAGCGTGTGGCGAGAAATATCCCTTTGTTCGCCTTAAAATAGTCGTTTTTTCCCTTGGAATCGTGGAATTGTCGCATAGTTTGACGGTAAATTGAGGATCTGATAAGGAATGGGAGAGAAAGTGGTGCAAATTTTATGGTTTTTTGCCTTGAACTTTTCAATATTTTGACCTTAGAGAAGTGTAATTGCTAATAGCATTGCCAGATTGTTTAAGTTTTCTCGTTTTCTCAAAAGAAAGTTTCGCTTAGAACCCTTAGGACTTCTAACCTTGCTTTAATTTGAAATCATGACTTTATTTTGATGCCACACATCATTTAGGGCCTAGAAATTGCACTTTCGTCAACACCGATGATAAGAGATTTTACAGTTTAGCAGCAAACAGACGTCTTTAACCGGATGGAATCTGTTTTTGTGACGACACACGCTTTACTGCTAATTGCTTAATTGAAGTCATCTTCTGACTAAATCTCGCAGACAAGATTAAAGTCTGATGTTTTCGCCGCAGCAACACAGAAATTCGATAAAACTTCCAATACGCCAAGAGTATTTTTTGTCCTTTCTTGCGGCGTTACTGAGAATTTCTTTCGCGGTGATTTGTGAAGCGTGAAAGGGGCTGCAAATATACATTCACAATGTCTTGCGGAAAATCAATGAGGAGAATATACCACTTTGTAAGCTGGTTCTGTGGCAAAGTATGCAAATAAATAGCACAGTGAATATTTATGGCGCTATTCATATATAGAGTGCATGGAAATAGATGATATTTGTGCATACTGTCATTAAAATAATATGCTTAGTGTCTGAAGTCATGAAGAAGAAAGTGAGTTGCAAACAATGTGCAAAAGTTTGGGCAATTCTCGCAATTCTCTTCTGATTGATTTGCGTGATTTTGTGCGGAAAATATTCAAGGAAATCCATTGCAAAATACAACCACAATGGTTTCAAGAACTCCAACTTTACTTTCTATTGCAAAAAACTGTCAATTATAATTCATTTTGATAGCAATCGCGCAAAGCGTTCAATAAAACAGTGCCACATTTTTTTGCGTTCCTCATTCGCCTCTGCGTGAAGACCTTTTAATCAGTTTAAGTGGTGAAAATATCTGGCTTTTGAAAATGAATATGTAGAGCAAGAGTGCTTCTGAGGAAGACTCTTTGACCTATGCTGGTGAGAAGGTCAACATGTGACACAATCGTAATGTTTCCCGTCGTCTTTTCTCGCTCACACCCCAATTTTGCACCCCCAGAGACTCAAAATACGCTCTCGTCAGCTGAAGTTCAATGCTTAGTGGAAAATTTCCCAGAAAATGTCTCAACAATAAGCATTAGAATTCACATCGTGAATTCATTGCGTCTCTGCGATGGTCAAAGGTGATAATGATGATTTGTGCTTCGGGTGTTTATATCAAAAGCAACTAATTACATATTCGATTAATGTCGCATGATTCTCGCGAATTTATGTTTATTTCTGCTATTTTTTTCCACCACAATCCACACATTGACCACACTTCCTGACAAAGCCAGTGTTTTTTTTGGGCGCGCGAAATACAAGATGAGAGTTGAATTGAATTAAAACTTTTATCTTTTTCAATAAGGCCGAGGGAAACGACTCAATTGCTTTAATTGTAGCCCTGTCGCACATCTCTCTCACAATGCTCTTTCTTTCCTAATTAACCCACAAGTTGTAGGATGGCTTGCATGCACAGGGTGTGGCAGAAATCGATATGTGTACTTTTTAAGTCGTGCTGCTGATGTTAATTCAAGAGGGGCACTTCAGTGCAAAAGTACAGAGCCGAAGAGAAGTCGAAAGAATGCTAATGAGACTAATTTCCACCCCTTTTTCCCGGGCGCGGCCAACAAAGAAGGGGGAAACTCCGAGACTCACCTCAGCTTGAGACGTCTTGGAAACAGGTGCTGCGTGAATTGCTGCAATCGCCAAGGAGACAGTCAAAACAAAGCGGCAGGCACGAGTGGCTGATATGTGTCGCATCCTAAATGGATTTTCTAGTAAATGTTTCACCATGATTGCTGAAATGAGACAGAAATCAATGTTAATTTTCACTTTCAACAGCGGCGCGCGGAGAAATAGCGTTTACATTGCAATTAGGCGGATGTCTTTTCAGTTCTGCAAATTAGGTGAGGATATAAAAACAAGTCAACTGTGCGGTCGCGCATAATGCGAAGCAATACAAAAGGTGTTATGATTTTTCTGCACTACTAAAACAACTTTCCGCCCGATTGGAGTGTGAACCAATGGTCATATCAGTGACACACTGACGAAATCCACACGTTGGCACGTGGTGGGGCCCCATTATTACACCTTTTCTCTCTCTCCTTGTGATGCTGTGACAAAATGCATAGATTTTTGCAAAATTCGCGTACAGAACAGAGAAAAAAAGAACGGCCCAACTCTCCGCGAGGCGCGACAAAAAGAGTCAGGTCAATTACATAATTATTGGAACTAAATACATTTCACGCTTCATTTGTTGTCAATGACTCCAAATTATATAATTTAATTTATTTCAAATTGCTCAAAGCACACAAACAACGGCAAAATGTGGTACAATGTTGAGGCACAGTGACTCCCTCGCAATTCACCTGAGAGGACGGCTCAGATCGCAATCGTCACGATAGTGCATGTGGTAATTTTCCTCGGAATGTATGACAACAACTGATAGGCTTATCGCGAAGCCCGATGGACTCCTCCGCACCTCGCTTTTTGAGTCAATTCATATTTGCTTAAGGTATCGAGCATTTTCCTGTGGCTTTCCTTTCCGATTAGATAGGGCGCGCTCGAGGGTTAACCTTCCGTTTATCGAGCAAATTGACACACTGAAAATTCCCCAAAAGTCTATTAAATCGTATTTGCCTTTGGCTCTGTTTGGGGGGAATTTCAACCAGACATAACAAGTGAATTTATTCCTCAAACTTGAGAGTGAAGTGTGAGTTTGAGGAAGAGCACATAGAATATTGATGAAGAATTCAATCAATCAGAATACGATGATTGAGGACAGGTTTTCCAACTTTTGCCCTCGTTTGCGACAATATTTACGAGCTGATTGTCATGAATCCTTTCTTACTGGTTGAAAGCCACCAACATAAGTGGTGTCAATATCCTCTGCCCAATGAAAATGCCAGGGGAAATTAGGTCGAAGTGGTTCAATAGAATTCTTAACTTCAGAATTGGCATCTAGTCAGGAAATTTGTCAGACGCGGTGTTGAAAAATATTCCATTTTCAATTTTCAGTATTTCTGTTTTCGGCACTTTTCTCCAATTGACCGACTTTGTCTGTCTGCGCGTATTTCCTAGGAAAAGTGCGGCAGTCAGACTCATTAGGAGTCGATGCTTCTGTGTGAATCACATAGAAATTTTCCTACCAACACGAGATCACTGTTTTTTGCTCCACTGCGGAGAGATTATCTGGTCAGAATTGCTTTTATGCAATGAACAGTCCCTCGATTTGTGCGCCAATCGATTTCCCGCGCAATTTAATCTGGGAATTTCTGGTGTTTGTTATACGCGCGAGATTTAAATCATATTTGCATGAAGTGTGATAATTGGAAGTGTGTGTGAGGTGGGGAAAAGCCAGACCCGTGTGCGTTCTGGTGCAATTGGAAATTATCAATATGAGGTGGACACAGAATTATGCTGGAGATCGTGAATAATCAGTGACTCATAGGAGTGCCACTGAGCTATTGGCAGTTTTGTGACTGTGAAGGTGAGTTTTATTATCGCATCAAGGTGTTTTCGGCTTCTATACATTATGTATAGTCCGATCGAGATGTGATCTACAGTGTAATATCAGAGATTTCATTTTGCATATCACAAGCAGGTTTTTCGCCACGCTGACGCTCGCGAGACGATTGGTATTTTGGCATGCGTATTTTGGGACTGGAATTTCCTCACACACAAGCGACAGGTCTGGAAATGTTGCACAGAAAGTCCGCAGATGATGCGAAAATATGTCTTTTCCGCACACTTTGCCCGGAGAGAAAGAAACGTCCTCGGATGAACGTAACAAAGAGATGCATTTCATTTTGCCATCATCAAGACCAAGGAAGTCTCTCTCGTGAGATATCACAACACTATCTCGCTTGGACAAAGGCAAACTATAAATATGCATACCACACTTTGTCTGTCCCACACTTTGGGAATATTAACACTGACGCAGAGCGATTAGTGGAAACTGATCTCGTTCGCTGAAGAGATGCTCTTGAATTTCCCCATTCGCGATTTGTAATGGAATGACTCTCGTAGATTCCGGGAAATGTTTAATGTTTGGCGACTCACAGGTTAAACAATCGGTGAGCTTTTTAGCACTCCTATCGGAAGCTCAGCAATACATAGACAAAGTGATAATGATAAAATACACTACTCGTGATTAATAGCAATCCAATGAATTGAGTGAGAGAAGTTTTCCACATTTTTTTCCGGACTTATATACAAGCAATTGATGGTTTAATTGGCGTGGTTCATGGCGAATGAGTTGAAAAAGCATCTGACAATGTTAATGGAGAAAAATCTGCTGCAGACTCACCTTATAAGTAAAGAGTTGAAATACTTGTGTATCTTGAGGTATCACCACTTTTGTTGCTCTTATCAGCTAAATTCGGAGTGTTTCTCATATACAAATTCTACGGGGGCAGAAGTTTAGTGTCCAAGAGGAGGGTTTTTGGCCTTGGTCAGGATACTTTTTTCCCTTCAACTAATATTGATTCTACATCACTTTGCTGCCCTCACTTGCGCGCGTAAGTTGCCTCTTTCCCGTGGCAATTCGGAGGCCAAATATTGTAGACTCCGCTTATCACTTTTTTATATTTGTGGGGAAAAGGAGAACTTCTTTATTGTCTCATTTCACCACATCTGTGCACCACATTTGGATGAGGGAATTCTCTTGCTTTGTCGCGTTCTGTTGGCAGAGGAATTTCTCTTGTTTTTTTCGCAATCACCTTAAAATCATTTGGACACACCAATCTCTGTTGCTTCGCGCGATATCTTATCACATACGCCAGCAACCGCAAGTATACACTTCTCTAATGTTCTGTGGCCTGATAAAAAGACTCTGGGTGTGATAAAGTGGCAGAGGAGAATTGTTGCAATTGTCCCACCTTCTCAACAATTCCACAAGTATTGTGAATCTGTATGCGAAAATCTTCCTGTTGGACTCAACGGGAAAAATTCTGGCAGTGTCGTCACACTAATTGATAAAACCCGAAAAGAAAAATACGCACGAATAATCTCGGTCTATTATCACTGCAGTGTATCTGCACGATAAGACTACTTTGGAGAATACTTCAATGGATGGGAGAATACTTTAAAAAATAAAAACTAAACCGCCTTGCTCTGAGACACGAGAGAAGTGATGCAGTCAATACGACTTCGCGATCGCGACTGAAAAGCAGAAATCAAGCGAAACATATTTTTATACCGAGGTGACGTTACAAGTGTATAGTCGTGTTCAATGCGAAGTCTCTCACGAGGCGCCTCAACACACTGCCATTCACGTAAAAGTGCCCCCAAGAGACTCACAATTAGCTGATGTGCCCTCTTGAGCATTAGAATCATCACACATTCCAGATGCATCCTTCTGGCCAGCCATGCTCCACTTGGCCATCCTCAGCCCGGGAAACTCTCCAGAATTTCTGCCGAAACCTCCGCCACATCGACTGCCGGAGGGGAAATGCGTGACTCATGAGCCTGTGTCTGACTTCTTTCTCTCTAGCCGCGAACGTGTGTTTTCTTTTTCATTCATCAATGCTGAATTGGTGGCTCTCGCGAGCAAAAAGACCCCAAAAGTTAATTCGACAAATAATTGATATTCAATTAAAACCATTTCCTCGGGCGTCTTCAAAGAAACAATATACCAACAAATGCATCATTATTGTATTTAATGGGGGTTCGTTTCGAAATGTATCTTTTTCTCAGGCGTGCCACAGGCTGTGAAGGTCAATTTTGGGGATAATTTAGTGATTGTCACAAAGGTGGACTTTCCGTTAAATTTAAAATTCTAATTGTATCTCTTCTCCTGAAGAATAAGTCACAGAGTGAATCCCCATTGAAGAATTTTATTGCCTCTAAACAACATTTTCAATTGCTTGCTTTGCACCCGACGAAATATAGAATAAATATTGTTGAAAATGTCGAATTTACTCCATCCAAAATTGATTGACAGGTATTTTCGTCTCACGACTATTGAACTTCCTTTGGTCATTGTCTCAGTGTGAAAGTCAATTAATTGACCATCAATAAAATCGCGCACATTTCCCCGAATGTTCTCATGAAGTGCATAAAAAATGGAGATAAAAGCAGCAACGCCAGAGGAATGCGATCATGCAGACAGGCTCAATTGCAAACGAGATTTATTGAGAAATGCGAAAAAGTCACACTTTGCTTCCGCGGAAATTCACTTGCACTCATTGCGCTGGGAGGAGCGAATTCGCAAGATGCCAGATTGGAAGATGGCGAAGTCATCGGCAGAGTTCATGTCCAGGGCCATCAGCTTCTCTGCCGCCAGCGGATGCCACTCCCCGAAGGAGCACGCGGGGTTCATCTCGCTGTCGTAGTAGTGACAGCGCCCGTTCAGCCTCACGGACGGGATGTATTCCACGACGTCAATGTACGCGCAGAGCGGTATCAGCAGCGAGATGCCCAGGAAGCCAGAAGAGGGCGGATTGCGTCGAATAGGCGTGGGCGCGTAGTCCTGAAGGGTCTCCCAGAGGCGCCAAATGGAGCGCGGATCGAGGATGTAGAAGTTGCCGCGCGAGGCGTTGTCTAGGGAGTAGAGCTGGAAGTTGGTGAAGAGATCGAAATCAGGCGCCTCCAGCCACTCCTCCAGCGTCGAATTGTACCGACATGGATCCCACGCCGCGATTGTGATGTTTCTGAAGATTGGCGACGTGAGGAATTGGAATTCAGCCTTACTCACCACCTGAAAGAGCGCAAAAAGGCAAGTGTATTGAAATTGAGGCATTTCTCCGGTCGCGGAGACAGACACACTCAGAGGAATCTTCAAATTCCTCTTGAGACGCGTCCGTTGAATGAATCATCTCTAGTTGTGTGCATTATCATCATAAGACTGCGATCAATTCTTTTCCTCCTATGCCATACTTTATCTCTGCAGATTTCCAGGGAATATAGTTTCCACTGCTGCGGAAAAACGTAGCGTGTGCAAAAGTGCAATAAATAATCCATTAACTTTTACTCTTATTTCATGATATGTGAAAATTAACAAGAAAAACAAACCCGTAAGCTCAGGAGTGCGTTTTGCGCCTTATAAACTTCGAGTGTCTGTGATGCAAAACGACCATTCTCTGTCTGAGACTCTTTTTCTTCGTGATATTGTGATGGAGAAAAAGAAGATTGAATAATGTTTTCACAAGTGACAATTCATTGAGGAGCGATTTACACAATTGCACGGCTGGTGGAGAGACACTTTTCGCACTGCCCATAATAAGTAGCTTCGCGTCAAGGATGAAGCATAAGATAAGACGATGCTGCATTCTAAGTCTCACCTGACTTACCTGAGAATTTATGAGTCTAATTGTTGTCTTCGTGCCAACATCGACTTCGAATCCTTCAGTTGGCGCATGATTGAAGCGCATCACCAAATCATGTAGATCTGCAAAGGTTTTCAGACAATCAATCGATCATTTCTCGTGGGTTTTTGCGGTCATGGCAGCGAAGATGGGATTGTGTTTCATTTTAACGATCATTTTTTCCATGAACGACTCCTGCCGCCCGGGAAAATTGGGCACTTCGCTCAACACTTCTCTGAGGATGACTTTGCGGAAGTGATTCACTGCGCGCCAATGCAGAGATTCAGTGTCAAATGTCGGTTGGAGAGAGTGTTCAACAATGCTCAACCTTGCGGGATTACCATAGATGAGAGCGCCCAGGAAGAATGTCATGTGTGTATTTAAGGGAAAAAGAGAGAACTCACCAATAAACCTGCCTAATTTGGAGTTCGCCAAGGATCCGGCGCTGGAGACAACAGCACAACTCTTGATGTTCTGCTTGTCGAAGAGTTTTCTCTTTGGCACTAAATCAAACAGCGTCAATCGCTCTGACATTTTCATGAAGTCTTTCCGTCGCAGTGTCTTCAGTCCCGCCCTCAAGATGCCGCACATCGGAGACTTCAGCCTCTGTCGCGGCTTGTAGGACACATTGTAGATGTTCGGTCCTTCCTCGGGATTCTCCTTGGCCGACTTCTCCAGCGTTTCCACGATTTTCCGCCGGAACAGGCGCGTCTTGTTGCGACACTCTGGCGTGTACTTCTCAGAGCAGGTGAATCTCAGAGAGTCCAGAGCGAAACTAGAGGGCTCCCGAGGAGTGGCGAATTTGGGTCTCCAGGCAGATCTTGTGTTGTTCTTCGCCGGATGCTCTTTTCCAGGGACAATAAACTTCTCACTCGTGTTCTGCATGTAGTGAAAGGCGCTGCGAACTTTCCGCAACTCAGCCACGACTGAAAGGTCAGTAACAAATTATCTATCATCTATGCGCTCTACAGCTCTCTTCTCGCAGTGCCGCGAACGCGAAGCTGTGCTACACACCTGGAGCTTTAGGCGGTTCGTGCGCATGCTGGCGAAAGCTCGCGCTGGCTATTGGCGAAGCCTCTCTGTCGGATGAAAGTGTGAGTGGATAGAGAGTGAGAAGGAGGAAGAATGCTTGTCTCGAGAGCATAGCACTGAGGCTTTTCCCGTCTCTTCTCGGCACACAGAGTTGTTTTTCTTCCCACGTTCACCTCACACATGCGTCATGCAATCGCCACTAAATTTTCACGACAATCACACCAATTTCACTGCCAAAATCACTTTTTGCATTGGATCTGTCTGTCTGGAGTTGATATGCATTTCCTCGATGACAAAGAAGACGAGGAAATGACTATTTTTCAGGTTTCACCAGAGAATTCAGAAGGTGCGAGCGGAATGATTGATGAGCAGATCCTGCAGAAGAGTCAATTCAGAGAATGTTTGTGTTTAAATGCGGCCTGAAAATGCTGGATTTGTCGGGATGTGGGAATGACGAGGAGGATTTTCACGTGGCGGATTGAGTGGGAACACGAGAGAGAACGGCAAAATGCGTGTCAACTGACTCAATTCACCTAGAAATTCTGCCTAGGTCACCTGGAGCGGTGTGGCGAGGTGACGGATGACAATCAACTGAAAGGGAATCTCTCATCTCGTTCACCTTTTCCCCTTTTGTACGCACCATTTCGCCCCAGCATGACTCTCGGCATTATTATTGCCCTCCTCAATTGGGCCACAGTCGCGTGAATGGCACTCTGAGGGAGCGATAGGAGATAAAATGTAGGTCAAGAATCCGACTGATGCCACCCACACAATAATTACACAATTCAATGGGGGTGAAATTGTGTCAAAAAGGAGCAAGAAGGAGAGCCACCCCGGGGGGTTGTTCGCAAGGGAATTTCATCCCCGGCTCGCTCGCTTCGGTGGGAGGTTTGCAGTGTCCCGGATTTCAATGCTGTACTGCTTCCTTTTATCCCCTTTAATTACTCAACTTCCACTCCTTTGGCTTCACCTCGACCAGGGCCAGGGAATCAAGTAGCAACTCGCCGAGACGCCCCAATAAAACCAAGAGTGATTTTTTTTCTAACATTTTAATGCTCTTGAAATCGAACCAACACGTACATATTTTCTTAGGTATAATTAATTTCTTTTCTATTACCATACGGCTTTCTTCTCTTATTAAATACTACTGGTTTTTCTTCATTTTTTGTGTTACAATATTTCATTTCTCATGTGTGTGTGTTGTTTATTTTCCTCTTACTTTTGTAATTTCAATATAATTATTATTTCCTTTCATCTCCTTCCACCTTTATAATTATGGGTAATTCTTGTCATTTCAGTTTAAATATTCTGTTCACCAGTTTCACTCCCTAAAATATCTTTCTATTTTAGTTGTTTTTTTTCTCTTTTATTATTTGTTAAGTGTTTCATCATGTCACTTCATTTTTTCTTTAATAATATTCAATATAATTATGCTCATGTCACTAATGAAATAAATAAGAGTGTTATTCAGTTATTTCTTTCATTTTTTTTGTTTATTCATATAACATTCATTCGCATACTTCAAATATATAATTATTCTTTTATATATTTAGATATATATTTAAAATTCAATAATTCAATGTTATTTTTAATGTGTTTTGCTGGTGAATGTTTTCATGATTTTTTCGTGTTGTTACACTTTTTTTTAAGGTATATTATCCGAAGAAATGTTAGTGTCATTCTCGAATTTACTTTAGGAGAACTGTTAGCGCATTTTGTCAATGTTTCTTTGTTAGAATGGAAACAGAAAGATTTAAGATTTTTCCCTCTTATTAAAAATATTTCGGATTCTATTGATCCATCAAGGTCTTCGTCACATGTTGTCCATTAGTAAACTATAATAGAATATTTCCTCTTGATTTCCCCGTAGCAACTATTCAACATATAACACATAATAACTCTAGTACCCATGTCTCATTGCGTGAAAATGAGATTTTAATTAGTTTCACTCCACTCTTTTCATTTTTTAATTAATTACTCTATTAAATTCTTGGACTCACTTCTGCTCTCTCTCTCTCTCTCTCACTTTCTCTCTGTCATTTCAGAATAAGATTATACGTGAATAAATGCTTCATCCGCTGGTTCCGATCATTTTCTCGATGGGTTATTTTTACTCTTCTTTATTGGCCTTTGCTTTCTTGTCAAGCGCTTTGGCGTCCCTCCTTCGGACGCACCCAAAAGGAAGTCCTTCAGGTGCGCGATGTCCCCTAGAAACACCATTGCTTGCATTTAGGCCCACATTGCATTAGACATCTCTCTTTCAATCAGTTTCCCGTCAAAAAACTCAAGACCCTTAACATGATTTCATCCAGTTGTTTTTCTATTATTCTTCTTACTTTATGTTCTATGATTTTTTATAGTGGTTTTCTTTTTGTTTTCTGCCTTCTCTCCACTTGACTAAGTAAATATATCAAGAACACGGTTTTTAGTCCAGATAATATTGAAAATAAGTTACACCTCTTCCATCCCCTTAATCTCTTATTGTTAGTACTCTTGTTTTTCCTCTCATTTTATTTTCATTAAAAATTATAATGTCGCGTAATTTTCGTCATTACTACTAAAAATGTTTTTTTTTGCTTTTTCCTTTTTTCTCGTTATTTAAAAATACTATGTGCGTTACTCACTGACTATAACGATTTATCAAGTGTTTCATTTATTATTATATTTCATCAATTGTTTTACATGATAAAAAACATTTTTGTAAGAAGTTGCGTTGAGAATTCAGTCAAGAAACTTAGTTTTTTTTCATTAAAGAAAGTCTCTTTTGGCAACGAAATTTTGGGAAGGTTTCACGATTTATGTTTTACATTGAAAAATTGTTTTTAAAGTCCACATTTTTGTCAATAATAGCAATAATATCCTTTGTAAATAATAAAGAGACATTTTGTTAATTTATTCAGGCAACTAGTCATGTTAACTATTTATATATACACACCTCAATGTTTTATCTTTACTCCAGTATAAGAAACATCTGTGTTCTTCCTTCTCGCCATAGTTAATAACAACTCACTGTTATTGTTGTTCACACTCTTTCAATTTTTACGTTTCTCGTTACTTCATTAATTCATTTTCTTCATTTTTTTTTCTTCTTTTAATATAAATATAGAATATTGCATCTTAAGGCTCAACGGACGATTCCCATATTATGTTAAAATATTAGCTTCCACTTGAAAAATTTATTCTGTGAAAAAGTATAAATTCCTTTATTTTTATTGAAAGTCACCAAAAATTTGATATTCCTTTTTCATACAATCCTTAATTTTCTTTTCTCTTTCTTTCTTTCACTCTCGTGCAGGAGAGATATTTCTCTGTGTTCACAAAAAATGTCTTCCTTTGCCAGTTTTCAAGCCCCTGTCAAATATATCAAATGCACGATTATGAAGTTTGCTGTTGATAAGAAGTTTCTTTTTTTTTATTAATTATCCATTTAAAAAATTTTACCATGCAATTTTGCACATTAAATCGTCATAGTCAGTTCTATCCTTAATTACAATATAGGTTCTCCATCATCATTAAGTCTACTTACACTAACATTTCCACCCTTCCGTTCTCCATTTGTTAGTTCAATGCAGTTGTTTGTCAAACAAAAATCCTCAGACCGATGAGTGTGATGGAATTTTCAAAATGAAAGTGTCTCTAAAAGCACATTTTATCACTATTTTCATATCAATCATGCTACTATGAACCCTTGATACCTGTCAGAGCGGTTTTTTTTATTATTTGCTTCGTTACCTCTTTGTGTTATAGCTTTTATATTCGCGCCCGTTTATTCCCTGTTGTGAAAACCTTTCTATTTTATTTCGACGTCCACACAGAGAGAAATCCTTTGAGAATTTGCGACTGCTTATAATTTTGCCTGAAATTGATTTGACTGAGTGTCAAAAATGGTTTCAATAAGTGCTGTTTCTGTATTCCTGAGATCTACAATGATTATTCTGCTTTGTGTGGACATTTCTCTCAGTGCAGCTCAATTGTGGTCTAATTGAGTGTCTCTGTTTTACATATAGTGTGCATATTCCTGTACATAAACAATACGTAGTCTTTAGAAGGATAAATGAGTAAAAATGCAAAGATTATAGGGGATATTTTGAAAAAAAGAATAATAGTGATCATGAGGGTTGTTATTCATAACACTGTCCTTTCAATATAGTAAAATAACTACATTTTATCAATTATGTTTTACTTTATCAATAGTAATTGGCAGTTTCATTTGCAAAATATTCATCTTTTTTCTCATTTTTTTTGTTACGATTGAATGTCGATGTTTTTCACGCTGTTTCTTTTATACATATGTCAATGATGTTAATTTTTTTCCATATGTTCATCAATTGAATGAGAGTAAATCAAATTGGTTGTTGTAGCGCAATTTCAGAACTTTTCACCTGGGCTTAATGAAAAATAACCTCTGAAACAATTAAGGACTGCTTTCAATTCATACATACATATGTTTAATTCTCACCCGCGTTCTCATGCACCTTCTATCTTAGTAGAAGCATTGAAAGTTTCCTAGATTATGAATTTTTTTTTCACTTTTCTAACGACTATTTTTGCTCGTGTTAAGTTTCAGTTAAGTTTTTTTTCTTTTACATAAATTTAGTAGAATCCTTCTCACATGTCCTCATAGTGTCTAGAAAGCAGAAATATTCTTTTCGTGTGTGTAACTTTGGTGTTGTGTATTTTCCTGTTTTTCTCTCTCGCTAGTACATTTTTTCTTCTTCAAATATTTACTCTGGAAATTGTGAAAATAATATTTGTCACTGTGTTACCCTGTAAAATGGAAATTACAATGCATTTTTAGAGGGTAATTTTTCTGCATTCATATTTAGTGTCATTTAACTGACGAATATATTTCATTCTGGATAAATACTCTACAGCTTTAATCGACTTCTCGTCACCACTTCATGAGTTTCATGTTTGTCTTCCTTTTTTTTCCACTGAAATAACTATGTAAATCATTCTATTTTCAATATTAACTATGACTTTAAGTTATTTTCTATCTCTTGCAAAAAGTATTTTTGCTCGAATTTGCATGTTTCTGGGGATAGGAATTCTTACATGCTAATTAATCCGGGGGGAGATCGTTGGTAAATTTTTCTTCTTCTCTTACAATTTCTCTATCATGACAAGTTTCTTTTTGGCTCTGCTAGTCATTTATCCTTTATCGCCTTTACTATGTTCCTTTTTTTCCTGTTACAACATATAAAGTTAGTGAGTTATTCCTTAAAACACAACTGATGCCTTATTGTTTTGTTCTGCGACTCTGAAAGTTTCATGTCATCCTAGTTACTTTTGTCTCTACACAAAATCATAGGCAATCGAACCGAGGGAACATATTGATTTTTCACTATCATCAATATATGCTGTTTCTTTGTTTCTGTGGTTTTTGTCTGCTGCAATCGTCTCCCTATATAATGTATTAGCTAGACTGCTGAAAGTCACACTGTGACGATGTGATGCTGTCTTGATAGCGCGTAAGTGAATTGCCCTATGACGAGTGGATGTTCTGCGAAAATTACTTTGGAAGATGTGATCAAATTAGCATCTGAGGTGTTGATAAGTTTGTTGCACGATACTGTTATACTGCACATCGTCACAATGCATGAAATCTAATGTAAACCTATCGGCCTTTTCCACACAATTCATTTTTTTTATATCTACAACAATATTAATTTTCTCACTAATCATCATCTTTTATGTTACTCTTTTTCTTTTAATAATTTACCTATTGCCTTAAGATTATTTTTCTTTTAATTATTAATCATAGACTTGGTTTTTTATACGTTAACAATTTTTCCTAATATCTCAATCCACCAATTTCTTCCTCTAAACCGTACAACTTAAAACACGGATTCATCAACTTTGTCCTAAATGTTTTTCTTCTTTATCATATTTGTCATGTTGTCTAAATAAATGATTTTAGTTAAAAGTAAAATCTATTGAAATTCCTTGAGTGCATATTTCACACGTTTTTGGTATCTAATGCAAAAATGTCTTATGCAATAAACTCTCGGTCAGTGTGACAACGAAAAGTGTCCATAAAATTGAAAAGAATGCTACGTAGAAATGTCCGATTGTGCTATTTTTCACATCTTCAAGTTCAATAAAATTACATGTTCACACATATGCAATAAACAGCAATTGTTATGTTGGTTTTTTTCTCTTTTTAAATACTTTTTTTTTCTTCATCTTTGTAAAAATTGACGGACCAATAAGAATTTTTCATTATTCTCTCGCAATTATTTACAAGAGTCCTACTTATACATATTTCTTCTTGAGTACATCATAATTTTATATATTTTTTCTTCCTTTTGTTGTCTCTAGCATTCCCTCAATCTTTCACATATACACCGTTAGTGGTAAAAATTACACTGAACAAAACCATTGATGATTGTACTGAAAGAATGGGCATAATTGTGAAAAGGCAGCAATGGAAGTTGTGATTCTCATATCAAATCATAAAGTTCACAAAGTCTCTAAATTATACGTAAATCTCACTGGTGAAGGTATGAAGAAATATTGGGGAATGCATGCATTCCTTCTACAAATTCTGAGATGAGTATTTTCACAGAAAATTTTCCGCCTTGTGCAACAAATCACTTCCATTGCTGCGTTCCTTCATGTGAATGATCTTGAGGATGATATTCTAACAAAACATTTCGGCAATGCGATTACGACTCTAAAATTTTCTTTGTTTTTGTCTTTATCTAAAAACTCACTTTTTTCACTTCAATATTATTAATAATTTCTCTTTTCATAATGTTAAAATATTTTTTTTAAGTTTCATTTCATTATTAAATGATTTTCCTCTCTGTCATTCTTGCAACTAATCAGTGTCTCTCGGTAAGTTCGTTCAAAGCACGTCACACGAGTAATTTTTTTTTTATTTTTAAAATATATTGTTCACTTTTTGTTAGTTTAATTTCTTTCTCCTCCTTTAACCATTGTTAAAATTGTCTCTGTGGGCTCCTTTGCATCCACATGGCAAACATGTTCATTAGCTGTGTCGGTTCAAAACATTTATTCGGGGTGGTTCTCATCGTGTCACGTTTGACTATAAGCCGGCAAGTTGGGGCATGTGGTGGCTGATCCACAGCGCCGTGGCGAGGTCCACGATCACGAAGACACCTATCGTCCATGGCAGGTGCGTGAGGAAGGCGGACGTGACGAGCAGCGAGACCACGACCAGCCGCACGACACTGCTGGGCACGGGCGCGGCGGCCGGCGATCCGGGCCGGCCTGCGCTGCCCTCGTCCGCCGGCGCCGCGGTGTCGGGCGTGGGGTGGGCCCCCAGCACGGAGGCCGCCATGGAGGTGAAGGATGGCGACGCGTAGTAGGGAATGGGGCACCGGGCCTGCGGTATCGTGGCCACGCTCGTGGTGCTCTGGCAGACGGGCAATTGCTGTGGTATCTCGTCGTAGTCGTGCGTATCCGTGTCGGCCATGTCATTCCGCGTCTTTTGATTATTGTGTTTCGTATTAATGTTAGGATTACTATTAGTAGTGTTAAGATTACTATTAAAATTAGATGTATCATTATTCTTATGCTGGATGGTTGTTGGTAAATCACATTGTGAACAGAGACCTTCGCCAGGTGAGCCGCAGTACCAGTAGCAACAATTGTCTGGTCCATTGTTGGACTTGTAGAATTGCTCGCCAGTTTCCGGAATGTTGGGATCTGTGGCGGCGAGAGAATGATAGAGACACACATGAGTCACACCTCAAAAGCGCCCATCTGCGCGCTGCAAGAAAAACATCCCTCGGGGCAAACTTTACATTTCCTCGATAAAACACTTGAATGCTAATTGAAGTTGTGCTGCCAGATAGCTCAAACAGTATGCAGATAGCCCTAACCCTCATGCTCCACAAAGCACTCCGCATTATGGGCCACTGCTCATCCGCGCTACCCCTATAGGTCAACTCTCCCAGAGAAATTAATAATTTATTCCGCCAGTACGGGGGCTTGAGATTTCAATTGAGAGCATTCAAAATTTCTTCGGTAAATTACACACTTTCATCCGCACACCTTCGCCCCAAAGTGTGTGTGTGCTGTTTGCTGTCTAAACAAAGCCTCTCTCTCTCTGCCGTCCAGTCGCTCCACGAGTGGCATCAATTTGAGATTCAAAACAATAAAGTCAGGGGACTCGTGGCCTGGAAAAGGCTAAACTTGCCATGTTTCCCAACAAAAAGAATTAGCAAAATCTTCTCTGACTTTTCGCAAAATGCCAAGGGTTGTGTTTTGGGGTTCTTTCTCTCTTCTGTATTTATATGAGAATTTTAGATTTTCGACAAGTTCGCAAATCTAATTTGGCCGCTGCCGAATTTCCTGCAGGTGAGAGAAAGTTTCTGCGTGTCTGGGAGTTTTCATTGAGAGTCATTATTTGAGTATTGAAGATTAGGTCCCTCAATTTTCGGTGGTCTTAAACGCTTTAAGCGCGCAATTGAGGTGAATTGAGAATCTGCTGAGCAGCGAAAGTGGGGAAGAAAATGAGTAATTAATCTTGCATTGGACACAATTTGTCCCGCTGGTCGTCTGGAGGGACTTACCTAGGCAGAGAAACGTAGGCTCCCCTGCGTACTGGGTCGGATGGGCAGGTGCGCGATCGCCTGGCAGCATGTAGGGACACTTCTGCTCAACCGTCTGGCACACACTCAGACATGGCCGTATTCGCCTCCTCGGAGTCGCTGTCTTCGATTTCCGTCTTGATCTGAAACTGCATTTAGTTAGAATCGCAAGCAGAAGGCGACAGAGAGAGAGAGAGCGAGTCAACATTACCGTTTGAGAACCTCTGTCAGTGAATTTTCGTCAGTTTCACCAAATCTGTTGTGATTCGTCTGGATACTTCTGTCTACCCTTGATTTGGCTTCAATCTTGCCTCCTTCTGTTGTCTCATTATGCTTCACGTCCTTCATTTCGGCGAAATAAGGTATCAATGTACTGCAGACCCATCTTCGATATGCCTCCTGTTCGGAAAGTTAATTGGATTTAGTGTCGTTTCGTCATAATGACGCCGCACTCTCGGGTCAGAGATCATGTCAAGGGACTCTGTGTGCACCTGTGCGAGATGCAAACAGGATATTGTTGCAGATTTATCAACACTCCATTGCCAATTAGCCAGTCATAGAGCTTTTTCAATGTCACTCAACCTTGATTGATGGTGAGGATAATATCCCGAGATATTTCTCACTCATTTCAGCCTCATTTTGACTTTATCAGTGCAAAATATTAATCAATTGAAGCCAATCAGGGTGGGTGGCGCGCTCTGGCCATTATCCTGACGGCGCGCAAAAAGGCGGAAGAAAGGCAGAGAGGAGAATATGGGCCTGGTAAGCCTCCCCTCGGCCGACAGTGGATTCCCCGAGCTCAAATACAATTTAATTGACAAATTGATTCACTCCACATCCCCGACCCCTACATCATTTGTCTTTTATTGAATCACGTTCAAAAACCTATTATAAATCGCTGGCAATGGAGTGGCATCATATAGTGGGAGTCAGTGAAGTGTTAGTTTAAAGTGCAGCCGCGCAAAGGCTTTAGGGCCGCGCGCTGGCAAAATTTCACAACACTATACATATTGTTGTCCCTGTGCCGACAATCGTGGCATTTGGTCATTCATCCATGCCCGGAACACTGTGGCGGATATGGATTTATGACAAATGCAGGGGTGGAGCCTTTTCCACGAAGGGCGATCTCGGTGTGTATTTGGCACAACAATAAATAACTAATCAAATAAAACGAATCCAACTAATTCCATTTCACACTTTCACCAACACCATCGTCATGGATATATTAAATTATATTGACAAGTTAGGTGTCTATTTCTAAGCCAATCTCAAAGTGGTAAACAATCCATAAAGAGAGGACCATTGGCAAACAAATATAAATGCTGTGGGGCACTTTCGATACCTCGCGCGTCGCTCTTGGGTATATAAAGAAACGCATCATGGAGCATCGAATGGATGAAAATTGATTTTCATTAAATACTTGAGCACACGTGCACTAAAACGAGGCATGAAACAATCAATTTTTCCCTCAGGCACACCATTGCTGAGCATCCCTCGCGCGACTGTGGGAGACTTTTATCGATTTTTCCATCTCCTGCGATGCTCCCTGACACACTTAAGATGGGGGCAAGGAGAGCATGGTGAAATAACAATCTCTCTCGTGGCAATTATCAAAATTAACTTCATTCCTCATTAATATGATTTTTCGTTTGGGCCAATGCTGAAAAGTTGCCGATTTTTTATCCATAAATAATGATGGAAATTTGAGAAAAGATGTATCCATCGAGAGAAGCAACTGCTCTTCATGGCACAATTGCGATTTTCTCAAAGCGTGTCATCTCTCCGAGACGCTGAAGGGATTAAAATTTCAAAAGATCCAACATTTCAAGAGTATTGTGTGAATATAAGGAAAAATTTGGTAAAATATGTAAATATCCAAGATGAAGGGAATTTTGAGAAGAAATTAAAGTATTTCAAAATCAATGGAAAAGCCAAAGTATATTGCAACTTTCTCTAATTAGGTTAATTTTGCCTGATTGAAAGAAAATTTCATGAAACATTCAATCACTAAGTATGACACAATTTGAGTTGCAGAGGGAGGAAATCCCTCGGCGGCGTGTTTGTGACAAATGCAATTGTCTGCACAAGTTGAACTTGTGCACAATTATGCAAATCGTGAATCTTACAAGTTATTGATTTATGATATAATTCGTTGGGTAATCCTTGCATTGACCACAATGTGCACTTCTCACCAGCACGGCTTCACCTCCAGTAAGTCATCTGCAACATTAAGTCTATGCCGTGTTAATTGCTAACTCAGAGATTGTTTATTGTTTACCATTTGGCTCCCCCTCTGCACATGCACTCGTGCTCCACATTTAGCCATCACGTGGTACATCTGACCGGGAAACTCTTGGACGCGCGCGGTGTTACAAATTTCAATCAACGTCTATTCAGATGAATAATTTTCATTAGCAAATGGAATTGCTGTCGAGGAGTCTTTTCATTTTAGAGAACGCCCGCGACAAAAGCCATAAAAGAGGGCATTAAAGTTTCTTGGCACGTCTCGTGAATTACTTCACACAAACACACTATTTGGGGGCGGTTCGATTCCCTTGTCTTCTGCGGGGGACATTCTTCCTGGGCGATCTGAGCGCAATATGTAATGGGATATGGGGTGGAAATTGAGAGGTGTGAACTTACTTTGCAGTCCTCACAGTGGTTTATGATAGAATACGGCTGTCGACAATCGTATCTGACCAGTATTTCGGTAAACTCGCATGTGATCCTCGTCGCAAGTGCGTCGGTTTCCAGTAGATCGCTTAGAAGTCTATTGCACTTCGCACCACCGTTCAGTACATCTTCCAATGCTTGACTATGCAAAGCACTAATTGCACTACGTTCGCAGCAATGTCTCAATCGCAACGCACGTAATTTGGTCTCAATGTCACGTGATGATTTTTTACAGATTTGTGCAGGACTAGACTCCTCATTATCGCCAATATAGTCAAGGCACTGTTGTTGTTTATCATTGAATCGACCCTCCATATTCACTTTATTCTCATTACTCTCCTTATCCATTGTGGTGACTGTTGCACAAGGTGATGGACACCGCGGTGGTCCAGGACCTTCATCCACCCAGGCCACAGGCAGTGTACCGGCTGAGCATTGACCCTGCAAAGACACGCCGAACGCACAACACACATGAACTCTGGCCTCTCTTTGGGCAAGACATGGAAATGGAGTCTGGCAATAACGTTTACTGTTTGCGCCATCACCAAATAATAATATGTAGTAAAATCATAAAAATAAGACTGCACGGCTCTGAGGAAATTCTCTCACTCTCCATTCACATTTTTTATCACACTCTTCAAATCTCACACAACTACACGCTCCTCGTCGTCCCCACCTAGGAAATTCATTGCGCTTCCCCACTTTATAGTGTATCTTTTCCGCTGCAGGGTCAAGAAAGAGGCTCCACGGATCGAGGGGTGTATCATTTCGGGAAAATCCAGCACATGACCAATGAAAGGAGTTTCTCAATACCACAAGAACTCATTTCGAACAGGACTCGCAAATTGCAGGTCTAGAATGCAGGTTGATAATAAAGGATTTTTCTGCAATTATGGTAAGATTATGCAAAAACCCCTTTTGTACAAAATGGGCGGTGTTTTCTGTCGACTAAATTTTGATATAAACGAATATTTTCCAGCATGAAATTCGACTTGTGTTGTGGACGTTTTTGCTCATATTCCCACTTTCACTCTCTCGTGTGAAATTTCAACTGGACCTTTGGCTGGAATTTGGGGGGCCTCTTTGAGCAGAAGTTTCAGCCCCAAAGTACAGTTATACATATGACGTAAAGGGGCGAGAGAGCGTGAAGAGAGGGCGGAGAACAGAGGAATAATAACATGCAATAAAAATAATAGTAAAAGGGATATTTGCAGAAGGAGAGACGGAATCAAACATTTTCATCCACATATTGAATTTTCCTGCTTTGGAGTTTAAGGGGGTGGCGCTTCGCAGGGCATATTTAAGCGAGAAAAGGGGTCGGAAAGTGAAATAAAGTGAATTGAAACAGATGACCAGGCGCCTCCACCCATGGGCTAATGGAAAGAAAATAAACGGTGGCGCTGAGGAGAGTGACTTTTGAAAAATTCACTTTCTAGAGGGGCTCAGATCCAATTTTGAATGCTCTTTTTCGACTTTCAGCAGCTTTGGGGGCGCACGCGAGTGTGGGGGCGGTTTTGGTGTGCGTGTGTGTGTGTGTGAGTGGCAAAAAGACATCATCCCTGAAGAGGGAAAGTTTGTGGGATGTTTTTTTCCCACTCGATCGATGAAATTTCATTTGTGGAGTTGCGGAAAGAAATGGCCCAGGAAGTGTAATGCAATTTCTCTATTGATTGCGAAGACACGATGCTTGAGGACACGGAGTGTTGTGTGTAGGAAAATTTCTCCGTGTGCGAAAGCAGAATTGATTGAGAATGGCGGAAAGTGTCAGCCGAGCTGCAGACACGGCCTCATTTTGCGGGGCCTTGGATCTGGGCAAAGGTAGGGTGGCGCTTTTTGGCGTGCGACACTTGCCAGCGATGGGGACAGCAGACATAACACGGTTGGGAAAAATCGATACTTCCTATTGAATAACCACAATCAGTAACACATTAATGGGAGTAAAGTGAAATCATGGCGACACACAGTATCCAATTCTCATATCAATTAATACCGCACTGGGGGTACGGCGGGGTGGGTATTGTCACCATGGGTGCCTGCAAGGGGGTGGAAGACGGCAATTGTGTAAGCTAATTGCGTCTCGTGAAAAATCCTTGCGAGAGGCGCGAGGGTCGATACTTGTGAGTGACATTCAACCTCACGAAGAGCAGAGTGTCTCTCGCATTTCACTTCACCTGCTTCCGCACACAATTGGCATGTTCTACTTTCCCTGGGCCTAGGCCCTCGGCCTGGGCTCCTGGCTCGAGCCTACACCCCAGGCCGAGCGCCTGGGCCACTAGGCGGCGCGGGCATGGCGAAGGGGTGGGAAAATTCTTTTGTCACTTGACGGATGATGTCGGAGAGAAGGAAAATCGCTGCCGGTGGCCATTTTTCTTCCCTCGCCACCTCCAATCACCCCCACGCACACACTCACGCTCTGTGGGGGCGCGCACGGGGAGAGTAGCTACGCGCGGGGCGCCAATACCTGAAGATCCGGTGCCGAGTTGGGTTGCGCCAGGTCGCAGGCCGACAGCCAGGGGTTGATCTGTGTGAGGGCCCCTGTGCCGTCGTCTCCACCTTTGCCCAACTTGCCCGCAAGACTGGGACTATTTAGCTGCTGTGTGGTGCCTCGCCGAGCCCCCGAAATAAACGCAAGCGCCATCACGACCAGCCCGGGTCCTGGCCGCATATTGACCTCGGGTTCGGCGGCGCTAGCATGGTGCAGGCCCGCTTGAGACGCACTTGCGACTCCTGATGACTTCGGGGCTCGGGCTCATGGCCCCATCCTTCACCGTCTTGCCCGCCGCGTCCGGGTTGTCCCTGTAGCGTGGTGGCGTTTAGTTGGGCGACGTGTGGCCGTCGCTCCCACGACCAGAGCTGGCAACTGGCGTTCGGGCACCAAGATGAACGGTGGCACTGCTGACAAGTATAGACCGCGCAGCCATCTTGAATGGATTCACCAGCACACACACTCTTTTCTCACTGGCCACTGCACTCGCCTGGCTCCGCTGGCCCAACCGTCGGGGCCCCTGCGACCGCGACTCAATGCACTGGGGGCGCGCACGGGGCGGATGGGAGGACTCGCACTTTGGCCCGCCGCGAACCCACCGTAATCAGCTGCCGAGGCCGAGGGAGATTCGTTGGAGTGGTGAGCCTGGCCGTCACACGCTAGCACAAGGATTTTTATATGACGGTTTTGCCTTAAAGGTCCGTCAAACTTTTCATTCACACTCGAAACACGGTGCGCATTGCGAGATGCCGATCCCTCAGATTTTTTTACACAGTGTAGCCCCAACCGAGCGCCACCAAAACTGTATGGAGCTAGATGGCGTGACGGCCGTGCGCGCGCACCGAATCGATATTGGCGGCGCCGACGCCCCACTGGTCATTCGCCGAACTAGCAACGCACCTTCGCGGCGGTGCTGGTGTGTGTCTGCTCCCCATCGGTAACCTAATTCGGCTACACACACCGACGTAGGGGCCGCGTAGCTGGCAACCCCCGTCTGCATCCAGGCGCGATGGACGCGTAATCGCTGGCCCAGTTCCCCATCTCGGCCCGTGCACCAGACAGGGAGGGCCGACAACAGATGATTGCTCGCGCGACATTCCTCGAATTCCGCCACCCCGACCAGCGCCGCATAAACACTTCAAGTGGCCATCGCACCTACTCCACTCGGCCTGACACCCCCGCTCTCAATTGCATCAAATGCACACGGTCGTAAAGCATGCCTCTTTTTTCCACCTTATCGCACTGCATTTTACGACTTGGCAAATATTTCCATTCTCCGCTCCGATAGCGTTCCGTTCACCTCCGGCGCTATTTCAGCTATTCCCGCTGTGCATTAGCCGGGCAGATGAATTCCAGTGCGCTATCGCACCTCTTATCGGGTCAAGCTGGCCGAGAAGGAGGCCTTCTGGACCGCAGCAGCGCGCCGACACTGCATTCCTCTCCATTGAGTGCTTTGGCGCCGCGGATTCAAAGGCGCTTTGGTCTGGTAAAGTACAGATGGCAGTAATGAAGGGGCGATTAAGTAGCCGCATTTTTGATATGATACTCAAAGCACGCGTGTTTCTTTATTGAACGCTTGCCATTGTCAGCTCCAATTCTACTGCTGCTTCCTAAAGTATGATCCTATTTCAGAGATATATCAACATAAAAATGATATTAAAATTTACGTTTACGCTATTGTCAGTGTGATTTTGTGGAAGCACTGAAAAGATTAAGTCCTGTTGTTATACTTAATATCCTGATTATGTATATTGTACTTCTGGACTCTTCAACTAAACAAGGCGGAGTTTATATTTGGGGAAAAGGTGGAAAAATCGAAGGTACTCCAGTGCTGATGAAAAGCGTAAAGTCAGGGCAGAAATCAATGTAATTTTTATAATTCAAATAAGATTTACGATCCATTAGCTAACGAGAAATGATGACTCCTTATTTGAGGTCACCTGATCTGACTGCAGTGGAACTGCATTAAAGTGCGCCAAAACAGTGGGAAGATCCCTCGATTTCCTCTGGAAGCGTTCGCTCGCGATCGCAGCGACGGCGGTGAGCCTGTGTGAGCGGCCGGTGTGCGCATGGCGCGTGGTTGTGTTGCGAAAAGCGGCCCCAAGTGGCCGTGGATCGGATCGACGGCTAGCGCGCGAGACGGTGCGATCATTCGAGGTTCGCGAGTCGACCCAGTCGGACGTTGAGTGGGAAAATCCCTGGTGCTGAGCTCTGCGCCTGAAGGAAAAGCCGCGCGTTGCGTCACGCGAGCTGATCAGGTTTCTCAAGCGTTCTAAAAATACGAATTAGCGAAAATTTTCGTCAAAATCCACCGCCTCTGCCCACACTCGCCGTCGTGCGCAACCGATAAAAGTGTCCAATTGAACGTTTTTATTTAATTTTCGCCGTATTTCCTCCGAGACACCCGCCATCGTTTGTCCGGGACGACCAGAGGGACGTGCAGATAGTCAGTGTATTCCTGTGCATATTGTCAAAGCAACGAGTTCTCCGCCCCACTCTTCAGTGTGTGTCCCCAGCCACCCGCCGTTCTGTTATCAGTGCATCGTTTGCTGGCAGCAAGAGTGTTGTGTGTGAGAGAAGTTCTATATTGTAGCAAAACGAAAGTGGGAAGTAGCCAGCAAAAAACTACGATCGACTCCGGCTTAAGGCCCATTAGGAATACAACACACACGATCATCCCCAGCCTCGAGACTTTGGCGCAAGATTCATTGAGAAGAAAATCAACTTGGTGCACATCACAGCGGAATTCAAGGTGAGAGACAAATCTCATGCATTTTATGCACACAGCATCTCCGCATGAATTGCAAATCGCAGCGAGAAAATTTTCGGTTCGGCCAAAAGGACACACGATCGTGGTGTTATATAAATAAATAACATAGTCTCTCGAGAATGTATACCTTGTGTGCGCGATGTTCAGTGGCAGGGTGAGAATTAATCTCGCGCTCTGCAGTGCAATTTGCATACGAATTGCACACCTTCTGACTCACACTGTTCAATTCTGCGCGCACAAATTCGTCAACTTCCTCAGAAAACCATCATCATCGGAGTCACATTTCTCGCCAGAGCCAGGAATGACTCTTTTTTGCATGTGTACAATTTCCAATTAAAATGCCGCGGATGAAAATGAAATTTCTGACTCACCGCAACAATGCTGAAAATGAAACTTGTCCATCGCGGATCATATTACCAAAACACTGTCGCCGCGACTCACTTTGGCGGCTTTTGGTCTCCCGCGACACAGAATAGAGAACATGCTGAATTCATGAGTGCTCCATAAATTTCCATTGATTCTGTTGGCAATGTGCAGACTTTCTAGGTCAATTTCTGCTCACATTTCGCGATCGATGATCGTGTGAGAGTATGCAGCGCCGCGTGCACTCTAATTGCGGTCACTGATGCGTGTGACTTGACTTCGCCTGGATCGAGGATAGGCCGTCAGCTAGATCTGGAAGGACGGCGCTTCCTTGGCGAGTCACTGGCCAAGTTCAACGATCTTGCGAGACTCGATTCGATATCTTCGGGATCATCTGATAGCCAAGGTCAGGATTGCCATTCTTCTCTGGCTATTCCACTTGCACATTTCCCAGGTTTTCCCTCTTATCTGCAGATTTGCGAGCCACGCTTCTCCTTATCAGGGGAATTTGCAATTCGCCAGAGCCTCTCAAATAGTCTTATCGGACATTTTGTGTGAAAATTCAGGAGGGCGATTCGAGTGTGTGTCCACGGAGTGAAAAGTTGTGAGGCAACAGATGAATATGGCGTAACGTCTAAATTTATCCCCAATATTGTGGTGTTTTATTTTCGTAGATCATCCGCACGGTACCACTGTTCATTTAATTCTGAGCTGGCTTCTTCGGCGCTCTCCTGACGCTCGACTCCTGACCAGTGTGAAGATATCTTTCAAAATCCCATCACACAGCGCGTCTTCTGGCCACACTTTTTCCGCTGGCTCGTGAGACAACAGGTGTGTGTGAGTGTGTCTATTCCCATGTCCTTGACATCGCAGACGCTATATTAAACGCTGGGCATCGCTCGAAACGGGTGGGTGGCTATCGGGAGATTCAAGACTTAATTCACTCTCTTCACGCAAAAGTGTCTTGCAATTTTCAAGCTCACGAGAAGAAGTGCGCGTCCCCCTCTCGACACTCTTTAATCTCAATCTTCCGTCCCAAGATTCTCGTCTTGCATCGCTGATTTCATTATTACATTCTTTACCGGCCGCTTTTTTACTACCTGCAATCGTCTTTTTGTGCGCGCCTCCGTCTCAGACATTCATGGGATCTTGGGCGACAAAACACGGCATTTCTATGCCACTGGATGGAGAGAAATTCATGTTCACCCTATCTGACCTAGACGGCGAGAGAGGCGGAGAAAAATTCAATAACACTGCGATCATCTCTCTATGCCGAAGAGTGTGACTCATTCCCTCATAAATACACCTCTTCGGCCGTTTGTTTGCCCTATCAATCGGCTGTGGAATCCCAAGAGCAGGCCATAAATCCTCCCCAAAAGCGCCTTCCAGCCTCAAAATCTCCGTTAATTTGTCAATATAGTGTTTTATGATTTTTCTGGCAAAAATGCTTCGCGCACAGGAAAAAAGTGGATCTCTTTGTGCAGCATCAAGTCATCCACAAATTAATACACACATCAGAGAGCATTGCGGATTAAAGTGAAGAAGTCGCAAAAACATTCGGATGTTTTTACTCCATTCCTCATTCGCCATCACTCGCGATGGACTTTTATTTGTGGAAATTATTTATGAAGCATTCAATGTCATAATTCAAGTGGTTGCCACGAGATTTAACAATAATATTCCTGTGAAAATCATCATGGAATTAGTTGCTGACTTTGTGATTCCCTCTCTCTTTCGCTCTCACACGGCGCAGCATCTCTTTCTTATGCTGGACTTCATGTGTGTGTTTGTAGAATTCGTTTTTACACAGGCGACTCGTGGAATGTTCCGCGTAATGCAAAACCTCATGGCTTTTTGCGTGAGAAAAGGCTCTCTTGAGCCCCCGTTCGTGCAGGATTCTCTGTATAGTTTTCTCAATCCAGAGATTGGCAGGAATTTTTTCACATCATTTCCCGCGTCAGCTGAAGATGAAGAGCGGGCAAGAAAGGGGGTTTGACTCTCTGTAATTTATAGTGTGCGGAATAAAAGTCAGGAAAATGTCATAAATTGTTGATTATAGCACAGTGGTGTGCAAGAAATGAGCCAGCACTTGTCCGAGGGCAACAATCTGCAAACTATAAAATATCATAAAGTGGAAAAATATCGATAGAATTCGATCTATTGGAGTATCATAAAATGGAACATTTATTGGACAAAGTCTTGATAAGTTTTTCTGCTCAGCCACGCGAAAGTCAACGCAGAAAAGTCTGTGTGTAGAAACAAGTGTGGAAAGTATTTGGCTTGTGCTAAAACTGTGAAAATCACTTGCAACATTGCGTGTGAGGTTCTCAAAATAGAGAACATATCCATGGAAACTGTTCAAGATCGCGAATGTCGTACAATTCTGGGGATTTGCTTTGAAGTTTACCAGCATAAAATCATAAATTGTGTGTCGAGAAAACACCTTGTGGAGAATGTTTTGAGCTGTGAAATATTGTGAACATTCTATGTCAACGAGGCACATTTTTGCGTCAGCATGTGAAACATCATTACAAATTGAAATTTGCAAGCACCGAAAAATTTCGTAATGCATCCGAAACACGTGCAAAGAGTGACAAACAAAGAGCCTCATTGAGATGGTTGAGACAAAGGATTTAGCCACATGCTGATTCCTTAATAGATTGCACGCGGATTTGGCCAAAAGTCAATCCTCCAAATAAGCATCGGCCAACAGAAAGTTGATTCTTTTATCTCAGCAGCGCGATTAATTAAATTCTCCCCCTAACACAATGTGCTATTTAGAGGTGAAGCCCGCAGAAAGTATGGAATTGTTAGCGGCAAATTGCATTCTGTGCGGTGAATGAAGGCGATATGCAAATGTGGACCATGTAAAATAATACCATTTTCGTTTCCGGTTACATTTTATATCGATCATGTTCAGTGAGTCATTAGGTAAAACCGCAAATTGATGAAAAGTTGGAAATTTTCGTGTCGTTGCGACCTTTTAGCGTCGTCACCATTGAATTTCCTCATATGATGCTGTCACATTTCATTAGAATGTCATTAATTTTACACAGAATTCACACCGAAATTCCATGGAATGTCTCTCTTACGTGTCGCGGAGCAAATGCGCGGCCGAATTGGGTGGTTTTGGTCGGCTGTGGCGTGCCTGGTTGACTGCATGATCGAGATTCAGTTGTGCGCAGGAGGAGTGACTGGGAATCTGTGATGCTAAATTCTCAAGACAACCACTGGTCAGACTCTTAAATGCGCTATGGCTCAAAAAATCACACCTTTCGCCAGCCAAACACTCCCTACTGTGTATTTTTTCGTGATACTCTGGGTGTTCTCTCCAAAAGACAACACTTGGGATCAACATTTTTATGCCTCTCTCATTCTCTGTTCATTCTCAACAAATTCCCAGGCACGATACCGATAGAGGCGGTGGAGGAAAAAAATTCTTTTATTATAATAAATTTACAACTTAACGGATAGCGGATTTATCTGTTCCACGTTCAACGCTATCACTCTCATTTGCTTGTGTGCGGTTGGTGAAGAGAACCACCTCAAATCAAAGTGTTGAAGTGTTTATTTGGCTTCGGCACTAATCTAGTTTCAATTTTCATCGGGCGCTTTGGACCGCACAAGAGTAATTAGACGGCATTCTTCTGTTGCAGATCAGCAAATGGCCCAATTAGTCACTGTCCGACTCAACAGGGGTGATGCCCAGCCGTGGGGCTTCCGGCTGCAGGGTGGCAAGGATTTCGGAACGCCACTTGTCGTGCAGAAGGTGAGTCACCTAGCTGATAAGCACTTTATGGGACACTCAAGTTGTGATACGATAAATTGCGCCTGGATTTACAAACTTTCCATTCCCTCAATTCCAAAGCCACACTGATAATTGGCAGCGGAAGTTGACGTTTCTCCAAAATAAATCCCCATGTTTGACATATTCTAAGGCTATTTTCGTTGCGAGAGCGTCGCGATCGTGGAAGGTGTCTTGTTGCAGTGGAATTTCCTAATCAAATATACTTTAATTCCATGATTAATTACACTCATAAATGTCAGTTAATCAAGATGTAGAATTTGCAAGAGCTCTTGAATCGCCTAAATACACTATATTTGAATTGGCACTGAGAGAAAGAAAAGCGAAAGCATAGAGGAAAATCCATGGGGAATTTATGTGGTAAATCTGCATTAGAACATAACAATTGCATGAGAAATCCAATTATAGACCGTGAAAGTTCTACAAGATTATCAGAAGAATGATTTCAATCTGGGGAAAACTTTTATGCGGTTTATTTTAGATAATTAAAATTCCTCGAAATATTTGAGTTTAAAAAAATGCATTTGCATTATTTCTGCATCTTGAGCGATTTTCTCGTTATTCGTGCGCGTAATTAGAGAGTAAGTCATTAGCAACCTGTTAAATTAATTATAATTCTGGATTTATTGAAGAATACTTCCGCTTCTTCTCATTCATTTCATTCCAGTGGCTTATATTATGAAGATATCGTAGTTTTGGCTCGTTGATTTCGTTTGGCGTTCCAGCGCGCAAAACTCACAAACACATTTGCCATTAGCAACATATTTGGATTCATTGTGCTTGCAGAGCATATTTTAATGGCCATATAAAAGTCTCAATTTGGCATTTTGGCAAATGGCACAGAAACAAGTTCAGCGTTCAGAGATCAAAAGGTTCTCGTGCGCTTCGGTGAACTATTCTGCACACTCGCAGTGGGATAAAATGCAAATATTGACGTTGTTCCATCTTCCAACGATTCGGGCGAATTCAATTGTTATCACAGCGCCACATGCTCGTATAATTGGGGATTTATGGGGTGTCAAGTGTGTGTGAAAGTGGAGGAGAAAAAAGCGAGGAAAGCACTCAGTTGACAATCTCACTTGCGGGATTCTTTGCCCGCCAGCGAGAATGTTGACAATTCTGACGAGTTTGTCTGAAATGTACAGTGAATTTATTAATTTCTTGGCACAACATCGGCCAAGAGCCTGGTAAACAGTGGTGGCGTCAGGCGATCGAGTGCGAAAAAAGCGAAATCACAGCGTCTTTTATTTGTGGCATTGGCTGTAACTCCATCGAGAGATGGTGATTTTTTGAGGACACTCTCGCCACTTTTAACAGTTGAGAAAGGAGCACTATATGTTCTGGTGTCTCTGCGAAGAATTTTTGGCAAGGCAAATGCACCTAAGAATAGATGTGAGAAATTTTCCCCCGAACTCTCCTTGTCGCCTGAAAATTTATACAATTTACAAGTCTCTCTCTCTCTCGCTCTCCTGCCAATTCAGCTCCGCACCGACTTCGATATGTATACATTTGAGCGATTTCAAACAAGATTCATTGAAAATTTGTATACAGACTCCACCCAGAAATCAGAAACACATCAATCTCCCGCACATTTCCCTCTCGTCTGCCTTTGCCGATGATTATTGCCGATGAGGAAAGGCGCATGAGATGCACAGAAGCAATCACTCGACTATGCATTGAGATAAGCTGGGGAAATTGGCTTTCGAGAGATTTTTTTTTCACCATTACTTGAGCCCTTTTGGGCGATCTGAAAAGCCCAGATTTCGGCCGAAACAGAAGTCCATTACTCGCAATTGGATATTTTGAGATGTTTTTGGTTGTGCAATCACTCGCTTATGCATATTTTCATTTATTGCTGCACTTTTAATGGGTCATCATACAAATTGTGCAATTATTCTGCACGGTAATTAATACGAACATTTATTGAGTGTCATTTGAACCGCTCAATGGAATTGGTATAAATATTTTCGATGGAAAATTTTATGCTCGATATGCAAATTTTGCAACAGTGAAGGAGAGTGAAAATTATCAGTCGCGCTCTGCCAAAATGTTTCAATGCTTGAGCCACACACAGAGCTCGCTGAAAGAATTTACCCATTTTGTATGGCATTGACATAGATTTGCTTTAGAATTAATATTTTCAAACTGAGAAATGTGTGTAGATTAGGTTGAATGTGATTCACGACGGAGGAATTTTTAAAGTGAGGGATTTTGTGAGAAAATGTCGATATTCTGGGTCTTTTATTTTTACCATCATCTCGACGAGACGATTTTTAAAGCCATCGCGGCGTTGTTTTGTCAATTTGCTTAAGGTAAACAGTCGAAAGGCGAGAGAGAATGGCCAGATAAGTCGTGTGATCGATCAGCTAATTGAAGGAGTAAATATGAGTGATGCGCCGAGACTTTTGCGGTGTGTCCAAATTGTGTCATCCTCAATTCACGCGAAGAATTTCACCCGAGTTGATTGAAGGTGCATTAAGGTGAAACTTAATTTACTGGTGGAGAGATGACTTTGTGAGGTTTAATTTTTAATTCACCCCGCGCGAAAGATGTGAAAATTGGAGAGCTGAAGATGAATCTCGTGTGCTCCACATCCTCAATATCTTCTTATATATTTTTTTTACGAGCCTGTAGGATACAAAGTGACCCAGTTTCTCGCCCTTCTGCGACTGCTTGGATTCTTCCGCTCGTAAATTTCCATTCAAGATTGGTGGTGGCGAGAAAGTGATCATGCAAGATGAACTCATTTCGCACGTACACCAAATAAAATGCAATTCCTGTCCACCGCATGAAGAAGTATTACAATGCACAATTTCTCAGGTCATTCTCTGCGCGATGTTTGCCAACTGACATCGTCAATTCACCTTCACACGCGGACGCACGATAAGATGAAAAGCAAACACGACGAAATGGAAAAGCAATCGCTAAAAATGTCTACACAAACATCAATATTTCACGTTGGGTAATTACAAGAAAATTGCTCTTTTTGCGCAATTCATCTTCTCTTTGGAGATGTGGTATAAATACGTAAATGCATCTCGACGATCGCGCGGCAAACTTTCCCTTCACCCATCATTTGACGCACTTACGCCAGGCTTAATTGATATTTGATAGGTTTGAGGGAGAGAGAGAGAGGAAAAAATTATGACGATTGAGCGCAAATTATACACTTGTTAATTGTGAAAAATACCTCACGAGTTTACTAAATGCTTGTAATTTTGGCTTATGAAATCATCTGGGATTATTTTGAGAACAGTGGCGATCTTTTGTGGATTTCAATGAAGATTATGTAGAGTTGGAAATAAAATCGAGGACTACACGAATATTGTGCATACTTGCTCGAGCTTATTTGCTTCTCCGTGAAAATTTAATCTTTGCCATTGAATAAGTCAGTGGCAAGTGTAGCTGGAAGTCGAGAGATTGAGTGTCTCGTGCCAGAGATCCTTTCTTTCCTTATTCAATTGTGCACATGTGAGTGGATTTGTGAAAGGTCACGAGAGTACAATCAACATACCAAACACGCCCCGGAGTCTTTCGACAAATTAAATATGTATGACCGCACATTAGGTGGAAAACTAAGACAACTGGCTGAGCAGTGATAAAATCAGATGGAAGTGGCATTCAATTCCTTGTGACTGAATAATTAATGCAATTTCGGTTCATTGGCAAATGATAATGCGATTATTGTCTCATTTGTCATCCAATTTCTTTCACAGTCAAATTCAATACAAGCACAGGAGTTTTATTGGGCTAACTCCGTTCTAAATCCAATCGTCTGAGGTTCATTAGTCATTTTGGGTGATAATTAAAAATACGTCGACATTAAATATTTAAAGAGGCACTCTTGCTGAGCGACTCATTTGTGATGATTAATTGGCGAGTCGCGCGCGCTATTGAGGCACACAATATAAGAAATGCGCGCGCGATCTTTTCTCTATGCTCTATAAGTTTTCCCTCCTTGAGCTGTGGCCATTTTATGAGATGGTTCTTTTGTCAATAAAAAGAAAATTTATTTATTCAGCATGAGATGAAATTTATCTCCTGTGGAATCACTCTAAAGTCGACTATGGCGTTCATTTAATATTCGTCCCCCTTTCGCGTTTGTCGCGTCTTCTGGCGAAACTCCTTCACATTCCCAACCCCACATGTGAAGCCAGCGTGTAGTAAACAAGAATTAAAATCTTCGCCAGAAGAAATTTGCGGCTTATTTCTGGATTCTTTTAGTATATATCGTCCTCTTCGCCACTCTGCATGTGTAAATATTGCATGGGGAGAAGAGAGTGCAGCGTACAATAAACCCATTTCACAGTGGATGTGTTTGTCTCGCATGCAAATGCCGTGTAAAAGTGAAAAATATCGCCATGGCATTAAATAAACCACGGTGGGATCGCAAAAAACCGCCACTCTTAACGGTGTGTCGCATTTAAGAAAATGACCCATCTCGTGGCCACTGATCTGACCATCACAGAGTGCACTCTCAGGTCTTATGCAGGTCAAGTGGGCGGAGCGTCGAAGTGGGCGGAGTCAGGAGACGCGCGTGTCAATTCAAAAAAATACTCCGAAATATGAGTTCTTTGGCATTTACTGATGATGCCGCGAGTATTTTGACTATTAATTGTTTATCCAATAAAGTTGATTTACTACGCTGTAGAGAAGCAAGTAATGTGCCAACTCTGGGTCAAAATCCGCAAACTGGTTGCCGTGCGTAGAGGCAGATGACAAGGGGAGTTTAATAAAAATTTCGTCGCGGATTTCAGCGCGCAAGGAAGGTGTGGATGTGCACGTTGATAAAGAATTTGCCACACGAGAGCCAAAAAGTCCAGCAATAAATACTTCTTCAGCACCAAATGTCCAAGAATAACTCCGAATTTCGGGGCCTCATGTGTCCGCGCGTACTTTTTTATTCACCACGAACACGCAAAGAGCCAAGGAGTTATACATACTTTCTCCCGTTGCAGCATAATTAATTGACAAGGTGTTTAATGACAGCTCAATGTACAGGTAATCGCACAATTAATAGCTGCTGCATTAATTTCCTTATTCGCCATCTCTCCCAAGCACACCCATTTCTGGGCTGTCGAGCAATCTCGTGATTAGAGATCGACACACTGTTTGGCATGGGAGACTCAACTTGGACTGCATTAAAATTCAATTTGCTCCATGATTTCCCTGAGAGCAAATGCTGTGTATTTTGCTGGGCTGTGGATGAATTGAGAGTGCCAGCAGAAATGTTGCCTCAGGGAGTTTCTTAAGACATGGGCCAGGCATGCAGCAATGCCGCAAGAGTCTCGAAAATGCCAAATACTGGTACGTCTTGGGGATTAACAAGTCGAAGAGTGAAGACACTTCCTGAATAATAAACGCGTTAAAATTGCGATGGCAATTCAGCAGGGCGAGGGCGAAGTAATTTTATGAGTAGCTGATATAGAAATCATTTCGATTTCCTATTCACACTTAATTGACACTCAATGATTAATAGCTTTCAATACATTGCTCATTGTGGTTGATTTAGGGCTCTATAAGTTGGCAGTGGTACAAAAGTGAGCTGATAAATAAGGAAAAAGCTAATCATCTTTTTTCTTCAAAGGCATCTCAATGGCAAAAATGTAGAAAATCGAGCTAAAAATAGAAGCTTTCGGGATAATTTTGGCAGAGTGGATTTTGTCAAAGTAACATGAACTCCTGTTTTAGGTGGCCGGCGGAAGCATAGCCGCAAATGCAGGACTGTCAGCCGGCGATGCCGTGATTAAAGTGAACGGCCTGGAAGTGTACAATCTGCGCCACAAGGATGCCCAGGACGCCGTGGTGCGCGGCGGCAACAACTTCGAGATCACCGTGCAACGCGGCGGATCCACGTGGAGGCCTGCCGTGACGCCCACTGGCAGTCTGCCATCACCCACGATCGCGCCCGGCGGCATGGCGCCTGTCACGCGCACCTCCTTGGCCGCCAAGCCGCAGGAGGTTCAGCAGTTCGGCAGTGGCTTCAACAGCGCCGCTCGTCCCTTCGCCGTAAGTCCGCCTCGAGATCAAGAGGATCGCAAGGAGTCTCAGTGTTCTCTCGCGCAGGTCAATGGCAGCGAGGGTGTGAAGAGCATCGTGAACAAGCAGTACAACACCCCGGTGGGCATCTACAGCGACGAGTCCATTGCGGAGACGCTGTCGGCCCAGGCGGAAGTGCTGGCTGGCGGAGTGCTCGGGTGAGTTGAATTTGGCCCATCCACAAGTCTGTAGATTTACATGAGAATGCTATGAAGAACGGTCGATGGCAAGGGGTGTGCAATTCACCGAGCAAGAGAATGAATATTCATTGTATTTTATACACTCAGAATCCTATTCATTCTCATGGAATTTCATCGCAATTTTAACTTACATTTTGGCAGTCTTTCATTTGATTTACATTTTAAAATCTCATCAGATAAATGTGTAACATCTCCGATAACCTGTGAACTCATTTCTGCGAAAAACACTTGAAATGGCAGCGATATTTTGTGAATTGTGCACCCCTTGGCATGGTGAAGGAAGACTTTTCTCTCCACTACCAACTCCACTTTCTATTATTGTGAATTATAGACAGAGAGGATGGTCTGGCAGGACGCACAATTCGCAACCGTACAGTCAATTTGCAATAAAATAGAACAGAAATAAGACACGAAAAAGGATAAATAGGGCCTTTTGCCACCCCCCTTTTCATCTCTATCAATCCCTCCATTAAAACACCGTAACACCTAATCGTGGTGTGTTGTGAACGTTAAACACAATTACTTACCCATGAGAAGATGTATCGGCGGGCTTATCGAGGAAAAACTATTTACTATGACCAATTTTCTGTCTTTCCGCCACTGGTGTGCTCACGAAATCCCCACCGGAAGCTCTTATGGCTCTGGCGAAGCATAATCATAGCTTCGTATTCTCAGTCCTCCTTTCGTCCGAGAAAGTGTGGTGGATATTAAAATTTTATTATACGAAGTGAATGTTATTTGCTTTGAGATTATTTCATGCAGTATATGAGATCACTGAGGGAATTAGAATAATTGGTGTGGGTCTGTTTTGCTGAGCAAATACGCGTGTGGCAAAATGAAAATATTTGCAGAAGCAATAAAATGTGTCAAAAATCGTGACGTTTTGCACATAAATGTGATAAGAGGTAATCACATTTTATGGCAATTGAAAATCACAAGTCTGATAAGCCCGTCGTGGTGGCGTATGTTTTCTTTTAACTCTCTTAGATCTCCTCTCTCTTATTGAATTAACACTTGACGATGAATAACTTTATTAATTGCGATAATTGTGTTTAACGTCCACTTAGTTTGGTAACAAAACAGCAATATTATCGTGATGAAATGAGCATAAACCAAAGCTGTAATATCTCTTTTGTGCTCTTCTCTTCTCTCTCTCTTTTTGTGGGGCTGCAAAAACAGGGTGAACTTCAAGAAGAACGAGAAGATCTACAACTCTGCCAACTCGGAGGTGTTCAAAATGCTGCAGGAGGCGGAAAATGACCCGAATGAACCAGGTGAGGGGGAGTGGGTGGCGATTTTGGGGGTGGGGGGACAAATTAATCAATTGAACACTCGACCATTCTCTCCCTTCGGCGTGATCATAAATGTTTGTTTGTACATGACAATGTGGACATGATTTGCAGAAGAGTCCTCAACATTCAGTCCCACACCATATCAGTCATCCAATCAGCAGCTCTCGCCAGTTGGCGGTGTCACCAAGCATGTGACGGCTCCCGTGGCCCAGGCCAAACCTCCCGGAACGGGCGGTTTGCCAGCCGGCCAGAACATTTGCGCCGAGTGCGAGCGCCTCATTGTGTAAGTTTATTCGATAAACATCCATTCCCAACGCGTGGAATTTATACGGACAATCAAACGGTGCGAATGTGGAGTCTGTCTGTGAAACTAATACCTCATTCTCTCTCCCTGGACGCTGAACTAACTAGAGAGGCGCCCCTTTAAATCTCTCTCTATATAATGTCACACCAGAAACAGAGACACAGTGGAATTTGCAGGTCGCCTGGGTGGAATTTGGGCGGGAAAGTGCGCCATCAAATGATATCAATAAATTCTTTTCTCTGCCATTTCTCTCTCCCCAACCCGGGCTGAAGCCGGTGAGTCCAAGTACTATTGGACCGCGAGTCATGCGATCGGTGGGCAGGCGACATGCACTTCGCCCTTTCTCTCGCCGGGAGCATCTCATCGGCCCAGCCATCCCATAAATCTGCAGACCCTCACACAGCAGGAGCAGACCACCAGCTCATACTCGGCCTCAGTGTCCTCCTATCAAGAGTAAGAGAGCCGCGCCGGACTCATTTCTCATCGTCTGGCCAGAAGACATTGAAGTATATATTGTGTTGCATCTCAATTCTGTGGCTCCGTGCACTCAGTGCGCGCGAGAGGGAGAGAGAGAGAGAGAAAAAGGACTCTTTAGCTCCCCACTATCTCCCTCCCCGCCCCCCCAAATTCAGTTCTCCCTGGAATTTTGGTGAATGTTTGTTATGTGGAATGACTGTGAATAATTCAATTTGCCTTTTCGAACTCTTGCATCCTCACTGACCGGATGTGTTTTCGTGTTTTAGAGGCGTTTTTGTGAGGATCAAGGAAAAAAATTTGCACGTTGACTGCTTCAAGTGTGCCACATGTGGCACACCGCTGAAGAATCAGGGCTATTTCAACATTAACAATAAACTCTATTGTGATATCCATGCGAAATTGGCCGCCATCAATAATCCACCGCCCGGCACGGAAGGATACTTGCCTGTGCCAATTAAGCCGTAAGTATCACACTTCACTATCATATTGTCTCACCTTCGACGGCAGATAAGTTTTGTGCGGAGATCCTAATTGACTTGAACTCACGTCCTGACAGTCTTGCCTTCAATTCACATTATTATGTCTTGTCAGGCAAAATGTGCAGCAATTCCAATATAAGAATTTGCTATCCCAGAAAGATTCATTACTCACAATGACGTGTTAATTGAAGCGAATATAAACTTTGAACACTTTTCTCTTTAATTCAGTGACTTTTTTTTTAATGAAAATTTTCATTTGAGAGCACAGACGGAGGAAAGAAATACTCCAGTTTATTCGCACACACTTGTTGCCAAATTGATGAATAAACTCTGTGCATTATCCTTATTACACTTGATATACTTTTTTCCGCTCTGAGCCGCACAAATGAAGCCGAAACCTCCCCAGAGTTGCTATGGGCAAATTAATGATGGTGCTTTATGGCAAAAAGTGCACACAGAAGCTCCATTAAACGTGATATCGTAGTTTTCTCACATATAAATTTCATTGCACTGGTCTGGGGAGGCACTTTTACGGCTTCTACAGCTTGCAATAAAGCGCCTCCCCAATTCTATGGGCATCTCCGCGCACACATTCTCAGGATAAAGATGAAAATTTTACGGGGAAGTTTTCCCTCCACTTCATGCTCTGCTCCAGTGGATACTCTCATAACAATCATTTCACATTTCACGATGACTGGTGGCTCACACTTGAAGTGCCATTTGATTTCTTTACGATTCCTTTGTTGCTTGTTGACCTTGTTCTTGGTTGATGATCCTGGAGAATTAAAATGCCTAGGAGTGTCATTATGTTCAATGTTCCTTTTTCTTGTCGCAAGGTAAAAGAAGCAAAAATCACGAGGCGAGTGTTTGCTGCGGGAAAAATGATCACACTTTCACTAAATTGCTAGTCAAATTAGCATGTTGGAGATTCACATGTCGCTTCCGTGATGTTGAGGAAGCTGTGCTTGGTTTCGAATGAGGGAAATTGGCAAGTGCCAATATTTACATTATTCGCTACCTTGTCACTCGCGATAGTTGGTATTCGAGCGTTGTTTTCTGGTTGCTCCAGCTAATTACTCGCCCCGTGATTGCCATTCCATGTAAGTTACTAAGCCAGGCTAATTAATGCAAATGTTACGGAGTGAGACGCCTTTGTCAAAGGAAGTATATCACTTTCTATAGACACGGTCTTTCATATGCAATTCGGCTTCTTTCTTCGCCTTTCTCGTGTGCGCGCCCCCAAAAGAGAGCCCACTTTGGCGCGCGCACACAGAAGTCAAATGGCTTCTCTGGCAATTAAAATCTGGGCTGCAAAGTGCTGTGCGGATATCTAATGGCGAATGTTTACACTTCTGCAGGAATACAAAATTGAGTGCCAGCACCATTTCTGCTGCTCTCACAACGCACCACGGAGCGAATGCTGGAGTCACGAATGGGGCTTCTCTCGGGTCGCCGCTGCCGGCGGCCAACAATGTAAGTTGCTTCATGGGGACGCAAATTTGGCGTCAATTAACTCCTGATTTGCACATGCTATTTTACATTGAATTGCCATTTTGTGCTTCCCGTGTTTATTCTCTTTTTGTCTAACCCTTTTACCCACACCCTCGCCAACCACCCCCCAAAAACACTCCCCAAGCGTCCGCTCTTCTTGTCCTCCCGAACATGTAATTTAGCCTCGGTGACTAAATGTGCGTTGCTTCCAAAATTTGCAGACTAATTTAACTTGTGCGACCAATTTTGCATCAAATAGCTGTGTGTTGCCCCAAGCATTGAGTTCATGTGAGTCGACACCGAAGAAATTGTCGCCCATGGCGTCAGTTGGGGTGTCCCCGATTCACTCAAGGCAAGGCAGTGATCTCGGGAGCGCCAAGAGTGACAGTGATATCAATCACAAGAATGTCTGCAGCACTCTCGATGCGGACACTCCTGGCAGATCGTACCTCGAGACGAGCTTCCCTGGCACTCACGCTGGGAATGATGTAACGGACGAGGCGCCCAAAGTCAATGGGTTTCCCCATGGGGATTTTCACTACAAGACCCTCAGCGGAAGTGTCATCCGGAGTGTCCATGCTCCGGGTAAAGGCAAGAGCATCAGCTACAAAGTGAGTACTTCGCTGCATTCTGCCCGCGATGTTAGTTGTCCGATTCTTCACTAACAATTCTAGACGATTAGAGTTAGAGAATGTAATCAAGATTGGGGGGAAATGAAGAGTTTCACCTTGCTAATCTAGCCTCTGTGCAATCTTTCAGCTGAACACGAACATCAGTGGGCCGAAGCCATTCGGATCGGGTCCGCTGTCGCCGCCAAGCGCCGGCCCCAAGAGCCCTTCAATCTATCCGCCGCCCACGAATACCGCGGCGTGGACCGCGCCAAAGCCGGTGCCGACGTTTGAGGCGCCCAAAGCCGCTCCATTTGGCTCGGCCACCCTTCCTCGCGCCACTGTCGGATCAACTGCTCCAGGTTAGTAGCGAGATTTGCGCGATTGATCAGGTGTGAATGTTTCTGCATCTCTCACAGAATCCTCACGATCATTAAAAAGAAAAACAAATTTAATTGTCAGACGAAGAGAAAGTGCAAATATTTTGGGCTTAGCGACGCGCCCGGGGGTTTTTGGCTGTGAAGCAGGAAGAGAGAGAGAAAGAGAGAGAGAGGGAGGAAAATTGATGACACTCTGCCAGATGATTTTTATTGAGTGCCACACCACGTGGATGGGCAATTAAGAGGGCTGTTAATGAAAATTTCAATCCCACGATGATCGCCCGTGGCGTCCTTTGAGGCTTTCATCATCTGCCAAAATAAATAGAGACTCTGGGCGAGAGTTTTTCACACAGAGATGCACAACATTCAAGATCAAAGCTTATCTGAATAGACATCGACTCTGTGGGCACCTCTTCGAGTCACATTCCTGTCGCGTCGGCTAATTAAGCGTTTCGGGGGCTTTCCCAGAAAGTCCCTCGCCAAATCTGATAAGGCCGCAATTAATTCACAAACTTAATTTTCAAATCATCCGCCAATACCAATTGCCAGTCAATTTATTCAGTCAGATTGGCCTTTTCCGCCTCAATTGGGTGACTCTGGAAGGTCCTCGCGGGCACCCTTCCATCTGGGAGTCCGGGAAATGTTTGAGGGGGGATTTTTAATTAGTGGGGCAGATGAGGCAGAGATACATATTGAGAGAAGGAGGGGGCTTTTGAAGTGCTTCATTTTGACGATATTATTGATGTGTATTCCCACTCCTAGGGCGGTTCAGCACATTCAGACCTGGATTTCATTTAAACACCGGTAATTGTGTGACGAATGAGAGCGCTTTTAGTGACAAATATGTGCCTTTCTCTGAGCGCAAAGCCTAAAAGTGCGCGCTTCTTGAATGCATTGTTCATGCCACATGGTTTTTCTCCATCCTCACTGTCCAAAAATGGTTTCTCACTCATCACAAGTCTGCAAAATATAGTCTGCAAATCCCGAAGAGTGTGTAGGGCTGCATTTTGTACATTTATTGTGGTTTCTTGAGAAGAGAGGCATAAATAAAAGAAATTTCACCGTCTTCAATAAATTGGCTTTCTGTCCTCACTGTGAAGAACTTTTCCTATATATTCTCTCTAATGTACAGTCGTGTGATCATGTCTTTCATCCACTCATCATCCTGTCCACATTTTCATCAAACTGCGTGTGTGTGTGATTTTGATTGAAGTAGCGAAGATGCGTAGAGTTATAAGTAGTTAAGGCCAACCGAATAAGCATTTAATAATGTTAATGAGCTTCTCTGCTAGCTTTACTAAAGCGCATACTTTTGGTTTTCTCTTTAATCCAAACCCGCCTTCTTAAAATGCCTTCACACCTAATTTATGTTCTAAAAATACAAAAAAAACAAACACTTCACACTTTGCCCAACGCTTGCAATCTCGTGATCCGCGGGCGACGGAATGAAAGACTTGGGACCAGAGGGAGTGCAAACGGATGACGGTGGCGAGCACTTCATGTGGCCGCCAGCGAGCGCTGTGGCGGAAAGCGCCCCAACGGCGACGCCTCTCTACGTTCCGCCGCCTGGCACGCAGCACGTCATCGTGAAACCCATGGTTGAGAAGCAGAGCCACTCGGCGCCCGACCTCAGCTATGGCCAGACGGAGCTGTCCAGGATAGCGGAAGTTGTAGAGATGGAGAGCGGATCCGAGAGTTACACTTCGACCAGCGCAACCACGACGACATCCGAAGAGATGGCGCACCGAATGTTCCACACCCAGACCTCAGTGCCCAGCTATACTGTCTATGAAAGCGCAGATTCCGATGCCAATGAGACGGATTACGCGATGATGCAGCATCACAAGCAGAGCATCTGCTCTGCCGAAGTGTCCTCCTTCGTGTCTGAGACTCGCGGAGCGCAGTACTTGGCTGATACGCTGGACACAACGTGTCTGGTGGAGAGGATGCGCTCCTTGACGCCCAGACCTCCATCGCCTCCGCCAATAAAGCCAGCCAAGCATGTTGAGTTCTCAATTCCGACCGAGGAAGCGGCGCCAGCAGAGGTGCACGAAGTCCAGGAAGTGACGCAAGTGCAAGAGAGTGAAGAGAGCCAAAACATCCAGCAAATCTCTGCTGAAGCCACTCAAATAGAGGAGCAATCGACCCAATTCCAGCCCATTGAAGTCCCTGAATCCAAGCCCCTGCCCCAGTCGGGTGTGACGAATACTGTGCCACAAGAGTGGGAGAGCGCCATGGTGAAGGCTCTGAAAACAGCCCCTGAAACTCCCTATCACATCACAAGTGTCCAGCAAGAATGCGTTGAGGAGAAGTGCGAAAGAGTGGATGCTTCTCAAAGCACCTCCACGACCACATTCAAGAGTGTTGAGCTTCCGCAGTTGGATGTGTTGGTTGAGAAGCCAGCGGAAGGCACTATCATGTCGTCCTTGCTCACGACTGTGCCGACAAAGAGTGTGAAGTTCGAGCCAAAGGTGACCATGGAGCCAATTCCCTTGCCTGAAGAGACCAAGCCATACTTCCCGCCGCCGATTGACATGAAATTCGTGGCGGACGACACGATTCCGGGAAGGAAGTCGGGAATGTTGGAGGCACTGATCACAGCGCCGGATCGTCCATATTCTCCGTTCGCGCATGACGTCTCCTATCAATTGGAGGATCTTCCGCGGCCCACGGAGAAGATGACGCTAAGGACGGCTCTGACAGTGGCTCCCGACCGACCCTTCACTCCGGTTCTCTTTGACTCGAACGGCCTGGCTCATCCCAAGGACGTCATCTGCTCCACATCTCTCGAGAGCGTTCAGACCTCCGAACAGAAGTCCAGCCAATTGAGCACAAGTCAGACGAGCGCCTTCCAATCCGTCAAGACCTCAAGCCATGCGTCTCAGTTCTCCGCCTCGCAGTCCTGTCGCCAGGAGTGCCGGGAGACTGTCTGCCATGCCATGTCGGCGGAAGAGAAAACAGAAGCCCGTCGCTTGGTGGACTCAGCAGCTGTGGTCCTTGAACAAGGTCAGTGCTATGTCGATGATCATGAGAAACGCATCACATTTCCACCACCAAACCCAATCATGCTGCGACAGTCGCGCTTCTCGAACCTGCACGCACCCGAGAACATACCTGTGTACCAGAAAAAGATCCTGCAGCCGATACTGCCGCCGGTGTCGCCGCAGCTGAGGGAGAACGTCCCGCTGGCGTTCTTCGACGCCGGCCGGGAGTCCCTGCCACACGATGTGGCCAAGCCTGTGGCCATCAAGGCGGAACAAGACAGACAGGCAGACAAGCATGCACATTGCGAGACATTCGCCCCAGATGCATCATGTCCAATAACCATGACTTTTCAATCACTAGATGGCATCGAGAGTCGTGCTGCGGACGTGCCCACGGCACCCCAGACCGCGTCCCCCGCGCCCCATCCGCGCCCCTTCACTCCCTCGCTCATAAACAAGCCCGCGCCCATTATTCCCTACTACCAGCAGAACCTGGCCGTGTCCGAGTGCGATCCTCACTTGGGCGAGATCTTCGACCCCAAGCTACGCTCCCCGTCGCCCTGTCTGCGGGAGAAGAGCCCCGCGCAGGGCCCCCCGCCCAATCCCCTGCGCATGCAAGCGCCCCGCTTGCGCGAATCCGGGCAGCTCGGCGCGTTCTCAAGTGCCCAGGTGCAGGCACAGAGCGTGTTCCAGCAGAAGCCCGAGGCGCTGGAGTGCCAGAGAATCGGTGACACACTCCAGCAGACCCGCACGAATGAGGCCTCCCTCAGTCGCTCGCTGCACGCGGCGCAGGAGAGCGCCAGCGCCACGCAGGTCGGCAACACCCTCGTGCAGAAGCGCTCGCGCGTGGTGGAGGAATTCGAGCGCACGCAGACCGCCAAGACGGTGGAGATCCGCACCGGCGGCGCAGGTGAGGTCGTGTCGAAGATCACGGAGGACGAGATGCCGCCCAAGGGCATCGTGGCGAGTCAGACGCGGCGCTTCTCGCAGGAGGGCGTGCAGCCCAAAGTGACCTTTCCGGCAAGTATCCCTCTGGCGCCCATGCACTTTCCTGTAGCCGGCGCTAACACGGTGGCTCCGCCGCCGGGCTTCAATTTCACCTCCTCTAACGCATCAGCATTCGCATCCAAGACATCTTCGCAGCTGACTTTTGGCGCCAAGAGCAATGCTTTCACTAACACAGATGCCCAGCCGCCGGCTCCGCCGACTAACAACCCCAGTTCTGCCATGAGTGACCCCTCCCCTGATGCCAGTGCAGGTCCGAGAGGGGGTGCCGCCGGAGTGACCTCTGCGCCGAAGCGCGGCCGCGGCGTGCTCAACAAGGCCGTGGCCCCGGGCGGCCGGATCCCGCAGTGCGGCTGCTGCAGCCAGCATATCAGGTGATGGACGCGCGCCCCAATGTTTGACGTGACGACTAACATTGTGGCGTTGATTGAGGCTAAATGTTGTGTTTGCGGTTGATTTGTCTGTTTGATGTTCGATTGCAATCCGTCCGCAGTTTGCCAATGCGGCGCATCAGCTCTCTGATTGCCGAGAGAGATTGGTTACACTGGAGGTAGTGTGAAGAGCATTGTGAGATGTTGCATTCTCTGCTGTGAATATGCTTTTTCTGGCTTTCTGAATCAGCACAAGGTGATGGTTGTATTGCAACGCTTACGGGGATTTGGGCTTTTATTGGAGCTTTTCGTAGAATATAAGAAAAACGAGTTACTTTTTAACTTGAATTGTGATCTTTTCGGGTTAAAACACAAGAAATTGAGGAAAATTGCCTATGAAAATGCGCACCTATGTTTCCTTTAGTGCTTGCTGTGAGACGAGCTTTGGAATAGAATGATTTTTTCTCTTGTATTCCTTGCATCTTTTGCTAGCAATTGAGGTAGATTTCTTGAGGTGTTGCATTGGTGTGCGAAGTGAAATACTTTCCTTTGCACAAAGTAATTCACAATTGACTCAAAATTGGTCTGTAAAAACTCGAAAATTATGGTAAATTCCCCACCTTTCGACGGCAAGAAGATTGACATGCTTTTCTTAGACGAAAAGCTGGAATTTGAATAGCACGTGAAGTGGTCTATTTGCAAGAAATAAATTTACACAAATTCACAATGCATAGAATATTTTGTGAGTCTCACGGCAAAAGCTCTCCTGCACTTGAGGAGCCAGAAATTTCGGGGAAGGGGAGATTGAATTGAGCGCAAGTGCTTGAGATTCGATTTGGAAATGCCTCATGTGACACATTTCAGCCTCTCCGCGACACGAGACGCCGTCTGAGATGCTGGAGAAGTCCGTGCAGAGCCTGCGGGTCAGCGACCGCGAGGGCTTTCGGCAGCGGGCCGGGGAGGTGATCACTGGGATGCTGCAGGCGCGCCTGGAGGGCAAGAGGGCGACGGATATCAATCAGAATCGCGTGCCCTGCACTAATGGCTTCCACCTGGAGTCTCCCAAGGGTTCACCCCCGCCCGAAGACGCCGGCAAAGGCGCGCCCGCCTCGAATGGCCACGAGAGCGGCGCCGAAAGCCCGCCCGATGATGTTGTGCGCTATCGCAGCAAGACTAACAAAAACCTGAAGCCCGAACTAATATCGCATGCTCGTGACCGAAGGTCGTACATTGAGAAGGAGTCGCTAACCAGGAACGTCCAGGACGAGCCGCAGGAGCGCCACGCGGAGGAGATTGTCAGCAATCTCGAGAATGGCAAGCATCCCGTCTGCTGCGTGTGCGATAAGAAAATCGCCAGGTGAGTCCTGGGGATTATCCCAATCCCATTCCCAGAACACTCGGCTCAGCGCCTCGCAGGGGGAATTATTAAAATTACATTGTACACTTCGACCCTCCCTTTTGGCGTGACTCAATGCCAAGGAGGGAGAATCCATTGAGAATTATTCATAAGAGAGATTTCTCGGGTGAAACACTCGACAGAGGAGTCAATTGGGGAATCTTCCGACGAGTGGGTGTCATTTCGGCCGAATTATTGAATCATTAACACCTTCTCGGCACATAAAAGTCTCATTGAGAGTTTAAACCTCAATCAATTTCACATCTAGAAACCTCTTGAGCTCGGAATCCAGTGGTTTTTTATCGTCTCACCTTAAGTGGTCCTCCTCACATTCTCAAATACATATTGTAATGATTGCAATAACACACAAACTGTTTATTTTTCATGGATTTTTGTCATTTTTGGAGGTTGAGAGTGTCTTTCGGAGATGTTCTGACACACTCGAGGAGACGAAATTATGAATAAATTAATATTTTTTCTCCGAGAAAGCTTTTATTGAGGAAACATTTAACGAGTAAACATTTAATTCTCCTCGAGATAAGCTTATTTGAAGCGAAAATATGATGGCAGTTAAAAAAATCATGCGGGATTGAAATACTTTGTTAATATGCAAATACTTTTATGAATCCCAGTGAAGATATTTTTGAGTCATTTTGCAATCAAGTTCATCCCGATCTGTTGACTTTCAGGACTTCTTGCCTCGTCATCTGAGATAACTTGCCAGATAAGTTCACTGTGGAAACTAATTTTGCGTGTTTTGCTGTGTTTTCGAGCCACTAACTCACTCTTGCCCTCCAACGTTTGCCTAATTTTCCACCTGTTTTCACTATCAGGGGTCCTTTTATCACGGCGCTGGGCCGCATTTGGTGCCCGGATCACTTCATTTGCGTGAACGCTGACTGCCGTCGTCCTCTGGCGGACATCGGCTTCGTGGAGGAGAAGGGCAATCTCTATTGCGAGTACTGCTTCGAGAAGTACATCGCTCCGGCTTGCAGTAAATGCAGCGCCAAGATTAAGGTTTGTATTGCGATGTTGCGGGGCTGGAGCAGAAGGAATTCATGTGACTTTCGTTGCAGGGCGACTGTCTCAATGCCATTGGCAAGCACTTCCATCCGGAGTGCTTCACGTGCGCCTACTGTGGCAAGCTGTTTGGCAACAGTCCGTTCTTCCTGGAGGAGGGAAATCCCTACTGCGAGGCGGACTGGAATGAATTGTTCACGACCAAGTGCTTCGCCTGTGGCTTCCCCGTGGAGGCTGGCGACAGATGGGTGGAAGCCCTGTCCCACAATTACCACAGTCAGTGCTTCAACTGCACCGTGAGTGTCCCTTTTTTTTGTGGTGAAAATGTGGCGGAAAAACCGCTGATTCCCTTGCATTTTCCCTCTCTTTGCAGACTTGCAAGAAGAACCTCGAGGGCCAGAGCTTCTTCGCCAAGGGTGGCCGCCCTTACTGCAAAAATCACGCTCGCTAAACACGCCATGCCGCCACACTGGGGGGAGAGATTGTCTTTTCCCGCTCTGGAAAACAAGCAAAAAAAAACCCATCTTAGCCAATGCACCCGAGAGAGTCACGCGAAACGTTTCAATTGCCGCAGCCGAGACACTCGCTCTCAGAGCAACTTTTAGTACATATAAATCAACATTGAGGAGAATGAACAAAACCACGAATAATTTGATAATTTGCTTTGTACAATATATACTATTTAAATGAGATGCAGCGCCAATGAGAATGGAATTCATCATTTTACCGTAGGTGTAATTGTTTTAAGTGAGAAAACAAGCATATTTTACATAATTATTTTAATCAAAAAAAGAGATGAAATTTACATTATAATCTTTCAATTGACTAAAGGATGTATTTATGATTTTACATAGTGACTATATTTGTGTAGAAATAATTGCCGAAAGGGGCGATCAGAAAAGATAATTTCACAGATTTCCACGTGAAGTGGTGTGATAGGAAATAAGTAAAGAGAAAGAAATTGGATGCAGGACAAAAATCATCGTGGAAGAACAGAGAGAAATCAATATTTATCCAGTAAAACTTTTTGTTCACTTCTTCTTCTGTTACATACAATATATTTGTGTAAATGAAATTTGTAATTTGTGTGAAGAATAAAGGACTATATATGATATACATATATATGAACTTGTGGAGAGAAAGTTCACCGCAATGTTGGCAGAAGTGCCCTGCAGAAAGTCCTGTGGAATTCCATGAGAAATATGTTTCGAATTAGTTATGTGGCTTCTGAGACAGCAAAACTTCTTTCGCCCAAAGTCCTTCGAGGAATCCACAGAAGGCATTCCGGCTGTGTCGACACATAAACCCAGAATGCATTCGCTCGCTGTGCAACTTTCACTGCAGCCGCAGGAACTTCATTGTAGTCCAATAGAGATTTGCGCAAATTCCACTTTTATCCCAGGGAAAAACTCACCACGTTCATTGCTGGACAGCTGAGAGCTTTTCCAACTGTAATCCCACCCATTGAGGATTGGTCAATAATTAATAACTCACTCTCGCCGAGCTTAAAGATTTATCCGGGCGATTTCCACAAAGTAGGTCGGCTTGTGAGACGTGCAATTTCCACGTCAAATTTTACACCAACTTTCACTAGAAGCTGTATTTTTACACAAATGTTCTAAATACTGCGAAACATGGAAGAAAATAGAAAATCTCTTTAATACATCTTTGTGATTTTTCAATTATTTCTTAATTTTTAATTAAATTTTGATTTATATTATTCATACTGTCAATATTATTGGCTTATCAACTTTGGCAAAAAGAGAAAAAGTCACATATTTGCCTCAAGCTATTTCAATTCAATCAATTAATCCATTCAATTGCTGATACGCCTTAATTCTTCAATGGTTTCGCAGACTCTGAATTCCCAAGTTATCAATTTTCCTCAGATACACCTGAAGCTGTATAAGAAGTTGTCTGAATGATTGATTGTTATATTGAATAGTAAATGACAAAGATATCGCACGAGATTACATCTAATTGTTGTATTTCGGTGCACAAGTCGGAGCACTTTCTCTCTAATCAATTAGAATCTCCGTTGAGTGTGACCATTTGTGGGAAGTCTGGAGATTTCCCCACAGGAATTGAATGATCTGCTGAAGTGGGCAGGAATCCGTAAACATACATATTGGCACTCAAGAACGTTGTGTTCATTAAGTAGATGTCAACCCAGAAGTCGTAAGACTGACCCAAAACCGGGAAAGTTAACGAGCTGAATCTCTAGAGTTAGAAAAGAAGATTGTTCAAAATTCTGGCTGTTTTTGTCCTGAAAAACTTTCTCTCACCGGATCGATGTTCACGTGCACGTAAGTGATGTTGTTGCCCGGAACGCCCTGATGAAACAGTCGCAGAGAATGGTTCTGGTAAGTTGGCGTAAAGCTCGTGGAGTTCTGACTGAAGCCCAATAGCGACTCGCCAGGAACTCTATTCCCAATCCCGATCCAAGTTTGTGCAATTGTGAGCGCCAAGAAGGCAAAGAATAACACAAAATAAAGGAACTTCATTTTAGAACACTGTTAACTTTCGGTATGTTTGAACAACTGGCGATTTGAGCGATTTCTGCTGGTGTTTTATACAAACTCTGTGGACGATTTACCTTATCAAGCTCGGTTCAAAATTCTCTTCTGACGCAGAGAAGCTATCAGAATGATTGATCATGTCTTAAGCAATATTGCAGACTTAATTTGAGAGACGTAATAAGCAATTAAGTGAGTAATTGTCGAAGATAATCTCGGAAGGAAATGTGTGTTAAATCACTGAATTTAGCACTGAATAAAAGCAAACTAAAAACCATACTTTTTGCTGCATTTCCACCAAAATGCCCATATGAATGATGGCAATTGCAGGAAAATTTATCCAATTTAGCGTAAAAACGCGAATGCAGTCAATTGGAATGCATTTGTGGACATTGCTGAAAAAACGCACACAATTTCCGAGCAACAAATGGCGCATGACTTTTCGTCAATTGATTTATTAATTCTCTTTCAACATTATTACACAATAATCTTCTCTCTGTCATCTCTCTCTCTCTGTCTCTTTCGTTTATCAGGCACATGGTTTAGTTGTTCTCCTCGACTTTCTTAGAGGGCTCTTTGTCACTATCTACACGCCGCCGGCGCACGGCGGCTACAGATGCGCCAGGATGTCCATCTCGCTGGTGGCATTCTGCACGCTGGCGTCGCACGAGCCGGAAATCGTCACAATTGTCACGAGATCGTCCTGACTCAGTCCATCCGCCGCGGCCGCCGCGCCACTGTCGGCGCCCTTGGCGGCCTCTTCCGTGGCGTCCGCCGCCTGACTATTTTCACTGACTCGCGGCGCCTCCGCCTGCGCCAGCTGCTGCTGGTGTTGCTGCTGCTCCGGCGTAATACTGACGTCCGTGGTGGCCTCGGGGATGCGAGAGCCGCCGCGGCGAAGCCGGCTGCGCGCTCGATAGCTCGGCGGCAAGCTGTGCTCGGAGGTCTGCGCCGCCTGCTGCCGAGAGCCTAGAACGCTGGCGGCTGGACTGTTGCAGCGCAAGGAAGGCCTGCAAGGAGAGACACGATGAGTGTGCAGTTCGAGATACAGGAAGAATGGGCAGTTTGCTTTGCCGGCCATTTATTCAAAGCCTGGAATTGAGTATATTCTGTGCTAACCCGAAACTGCCCCTGTTCTCCTCATTTTAAGGTGAAACCTAACAGTATTCCAGCAATTCCTCCCCAGAAGAATGCTGAAATTCCACTCCAATGCCGCACTTCCCAATTTATAGCTATGCTCCTCGGGGAGCTGTTGCCGTTTGTTAGCATCTTCGTGACTCTGTGAAACCGTCTAATTGTTACATTCGTCGAAAGAATGGAAGCAGTGAGTGAAAGAAAAATCCACACAACTCGAGAGAGACAGAGAGAGAGTAGGTGGATGGCTAATGGCTCCATTTATGCTGCTTATTAATGGTCTTCTTCTCCCGCTCGCCGAATAAATTTCCGCAATAATTAAAATTGTTGCTACTCCGCGAGACAATCGGCACAAAAGTATTGACTCGAATTTGGGTCACGCGAGAAGAAGTGAGGAGTCAGGCCCCGAGGGTTAATTAGGGGTGTGGGGCGACCCTTTCGCGAAGGGTCGCTCTTTCAGGGCGCATTACACCCGACAATTGGAGACAAAAGACGTCGTCCCACGGGCAAAGTTGGGGATCTCTTATCTGTGATTAATGCAGCTCTGATCGGGGCAAATTGTAAATTACAGTTGGCGGTTTGCGGGGTTGCCGAAAAAGTGGTCTGAGAGACATTCTCGTCTTAATTGAAATTTATAGCATGACATTCAGGACAATAATTTGCATGAACTTTTCACCCCCCGCCGCCCTTCATTGCCACCGTTTTCGGGGGAAAAAGGGCGCGCATTATATGGCGAAACCCTGCGGATTCGCCCCCCAACCCTTCTGCAACCAGAATTCCGCTGAATTCACACTCACACGAGGGTGCAGACAAAACCCGCACCGCCATTAATCATCCTCCAGGGAATGGTGTGAAGAAATTCCGAAATTCACCACTGCACAGAGCCATGCACTTACCTCAGGAGACTTCCGGCGTCCGATCGATACGTGGGCGGCGGGGAGGCACCCCGGACAACACCCGCCTGGCGATCCCTGTCCAGGAGCAGGAGCCTGCAAGGAAAGCGACAGCGTGGCCGGTTATTTATGGGCACAAGAAGGGCGCACTCAGATCGCACACAGCACCGCCGCAGCGGGCGGAGGAGAGCCCCGAGAGGCGCCCGCGGGAGTGGGTCAGGGACGCTGGTGGGCGTCTGAGTGCAATTGGCAAGTGATGAATTTTATGGCTCTGTCTCGGCGTTAAAATTGAATTTCGATACACGAGGAAAGAAATGTTTATTGCCTGACAATTCTATAAATCATCCTTCCTTCCGGGGTGTGTCTCGGGACAGAGTTGAGATGGCTATGGATAAAGATGAATGAACTTTCTATGCATGAAATCCTTACAATATTCATCAAATTGTGGAATTCAATAAACAATTGAACTGTCCAGAAGAGAATTCGCATTAAAAGGACTTCGAATTATTAGACGCTGTTCCGCAATCAAAGCCTTCTCAACTCTGTCCACTCTTTTGCAAATCTCGTGCATGAAATATTGCCATAAATTGTCCCAATTGGCACCCACTAAATGGGAGTTCTAGTGCCAAGTCAGGCGGAGATGCCATAAATACTGAGGGCGCGGCCGGGATTCCTTACCTGAGTCTGTACTCCTGCATGCTGGCTTGGTAGGAAGGCGGCGGCGGCCTGTGCTGAAACTCTGGATAGAGGAGACCGTGCGGGGCGCCGCGGCCACTGCAGGGCCGCCGGCCGCAGCGATCGAAGTCCGCGCCAGTGCCCAGGCCCAAGCACGGTGGCGCTCCCGGAGCCGTCATCCGCCACGCAGCTCCACTCACCGTCACCAGAATTATGCCAACGCCTGCAAAGACACACAAAGTCAGCGCTTCCAAGGGAAGAAAATCCAATTGGAAATAGTATAAAGCTCAGTTGCAGTTATGCTAAACTTGAGACAGTCTCAAATTATAAAGATCGCGCCGAATTCTACTCTGAGCTCATCCTCTTGCATGTTTCTCGGCGCAAAAAAGCCAAATATGCGACGCTTTTCCACCCTTGGAAAACACATAGCAAGGGAGCAGCCCAGAGTAAACAGTGAAAATCCATTACCAGATTAAATTACGGAAGTGGTGATACACCGAGTTTTTCCTTTATCCAAATGTGATTCTTCACTCATAATTTTCAAGAGTGTGTGTATGCCCATAATGGAAATATGAGGGAAATTCCTAGGGCATAAAAATACACTTTGAAAGATATATTGGGACACCAAAAACACATTTGAATTTGATTAATTTCAACGACGCTCCGCCTCAGAGGGAAAATGTATTTGAAAATAGTCTTTAAATTATTTACAAAAGACTCTGCTCTTCTGTCTTCTTTCTGCCTCCTCGCTTTTTTATGATGCCAAAGCATCATCATCCACCCAGATGAGGAGGGCAAAGGAGCGGATTAATGGTATTTATTCTATTTCTTCCGCCATAATCTCGTCTGCAAACGATCTTGTGAAGGGAGCAATAGAAAAAATGGTGAATGAATTCATAAATATTATCCATCAACCGTTGACTTTATTGCGAGACAATTTCTTCCCATTCCCCTCGTGACTCAGAATCTCTTAATTTGCTTCGAGCACATGAATTTGCGGAAGCTGTTTCGGTCTCCCAAGTGCAGTTTCTGTGGTTACTCACACTGAGTGTTCTTGAGGATGAGATGCATACAGAACTCTGTGGCCGCATTCAATTACCTCCTTCATTTGGTATTTCAGGCATCAACAATCCATGCATGGTGAAAATTACAGCATTTTAGCTACTATGTCACACATTTTGAGGTAACTGAAGGATTAAATAGACTGTCTCATGTGCATGCATTTTTAATGAGCTCGTGCTTCATTTTCCGAAAGCGCTTTTCTGGATGCTCCTCCAAAGCTGCGTGCACGGAAAATCCCCCGGAAATTCCACCCCAACCAGAAGATGATGAGAAAGTAATCTCTCGTGGTGTCACTAATCCTGTTTTCCAATGAATCTACAATAAATTGAATGAAATTTTCATCACCCCTCCATCTCTTATTTCCTAAATATCACGATAGAAAGAAAGCGGTGGGAAAGCGGAAAAGGAGAAGACATACATTAATACAAACGTGATGCCTGAGAATGTGATGAAAAAAAGAAGAGAAATTTCAATGGGAAAACGATACGTATGAGGATTTGAGGTGGATGGACGCTTAAGTCGGATTTATTTGGCAGAATGTGGAGCCTCGTCTCCCCAAAAGTTGAATTCCATTCCACGTGAAGCCACATGAGTTTCCTCGACCCAAATAGTTTCGCCCAGTGAGTGAAAGAAGTCGATTAATCTTATTTGTAAACAGTCGTGAGGAAACATAAGGGAAAATTGTGCACAATTGAGACTTTAATTCACTGGGTTGAAGGGTGAATTGAGAAGAGTATTGTTCCTTGGGAAATGCCCAGGGAAAATCACTTTTCTTCCCCCCTTTGGACCAATTCAATTTATTCATATCAATAATTACGAGTCATTTAGCGAAGATCGATAAAGTCTTCGTTGAAACTTTTCCGTGAAAAGTGAGAGGGAGAAAGTTTTAGCAGATCAATTTGTTTGTTCTGCGAATCATGAGATTTTATTCCCAGAAAAGTTATTACCTTTGAAGTTCGCCCCAGATAATATTTTCGTCGGGAAGTTTGTCAGTTGAACTTATTTGGCAGGAAATATGTCTGAATTTAATAAGCGTCCCTGGAATTACTCTTGAAGATACTTGAAGGGTTCGGATGAGGGTCCGTCTTCCGTGCGGAGCGAATTTATAGTTTCCGGATGCGGGAAGAGTGGCAAAACAATCAGGTCGTGGAGTATTTGCGGGGCATCAATCAGTCTCAGTGAGAGGAATGTCAAAAGTAATCTTCTTATTCTGCTGAGGACACACACCAGTGCCAAAGAGTTGAATGGGGAGGGAAGAGAAAGCATATTTATCTGAGGCGTGGGAAACACGAGAAAACTCTTGATTCAGCATCTTCTGCACGTTCCAATCCGAAACCCATTCAGGGGCTGAGGAATGTTAGATCCTGCCGAGAGATTCCTCAGAGCCACATTGGGAGGCATTTATTGCTACATGGGGATATAATGCGAGGTGGTTTTTACTGCGAGATGGGAAAATGTCGTTTAGCAGAATGCCAGATGAAACCCTCCAGAGTGTAATCCGCCCCCATTTTTGGGACTGACGAGCGAGTGAGGCTCACTCTCGAGGTGTCCCTGATTTTCTGCGTATGCCCATTAAATTACACCGCGCGCGCGTTCCGCACACACAGACAAATGCAGCCCTGCTTATCCTTGACGAAAGTAACCTCACAATTGATTAAGATGTTATGGCTATAGTGCAAAGTTGTGAAAAAAGCTCCCCCGCTGAGGCGAGAGAGAGAGGAAGAGCTCACGGAGGAAATCCCCGAGTGAAGCTTGTGGATTTGATGGCTCAATTTAGAGGATGGCATTATCATTGTAAATTCCCCATCAAAGCCCTGGGATCGACACACGCGACATATCAAGTTGCGATATAATTTTATATCAACAATATCGCCCCACTTGAGCACCAGCGCCTTCTGCAGACAGTATTAGTGGCCGAGTGGGACTGGTGGCAATCATTTATGCAAATCCATTTAACCCTCACACTCGCCGAGTCAAGAGCAATCCTTAGTGACCCAGGGGGCAAGTAGATGCCGCACATTGTACCCAATCCACCAAATGGCATCCTCGCTTCGGCACAAGATTGAAGTGTGACATCTCGAGCCCCCCAAAAGTTCCCCACATGTGGGGGAAGAGTAAGTGACAAGGGATGTATCTTGGACTATTCGCACTTGCGTGCGGAATACACTCCATTTGGCCTCATTTCTCTCGGCAACTTTAAATTTAATTCCGCCCGTCTCTGGGGTGCTCTTAGCCGCCCTCACTCATGATAATCTCCCAAATTGATCTCGTCAGTTGGAGCTGATGGGAGGCCTTTCCATGAAAAATGCAAAGGTGCCGCCGCACTACTGCCGAGGCGGGCGACTAGTGCGTGTGAGGCTGATGTTTATGATTTAATAATTTACTCTCAGAGGTCACACTGAAAGTGGTGAAAGGAGATTTAGGACGCGAGTGTAATTTAAATGGAAATTCTGTTTATACAGCAAATGAAAACCACACAAGAATGGTTTTTCACTATTACAATAACCATCATCATATATATGTGCACAAGAGTGGACGGTAGATTTACTTTTGCTAATCAGCAGAATTCTTTCAACCCTTGTCAAAGTTTGCCATGCTCTGCGAAAATAGAGAAATGGCACCCTGAGTGGGCGGGGCTAGAGAAGAGGCGGAGTTTAAAGTATTCATATGCAAAACAGCAAACAGTATAGTGTAGACTGTTTGTCAATGACAATCATTTGAACACTAAGCTTCAACCCTGAAACGTGTCAAATATGCAAATGCAAAGATTTGATTGAAATATTCCAGAAATGAAATTTTGGGCTTCAATTGAACGCCTCCTCGCATAGTGTCTCTCGGCGCTCTATAACGCAGAGTTTCCATAGGGATAAATGGCAAACAGTGAAATATTTGCTCCACGATGGGTGCGAGATAGAATCAATTTTGTACACTTCTGCCCATTCGGAGAATTAATTACAGCCACCACCCAAAATCCTATGTGTTCGTGCTCTGAATGGCGATGCTTTTATTCTTTGTCTTCGGACGCCGCGCCACCCCTTCATTTGCCAATCAAGCCATTTAAATGTCATCATTTTCATTTATTTCACGGGCGGCAAAAAGTGTCCCTGGGGCGGATTCTCACCACGTTTCACGCGCTCCTCGGCTTCCGTGGAAGAATGTCACGTTATGCAATCAAGTACACAATCCCATTTCCAGCGGTCAATAAAAATTAGTCCGGACGGCCAAGGTGTTGAGAATACGGGGCGCTTCTGCAAGAGTGGGCACACAGCGAGAAATACACGGGAGAGCTTTTAAAAAGCTCATTTTATATTCCGATCTCGATTGAATTGTTTTCCCTCGTCGTCACGAGAGGAAGAAACTCATCAGAAAGTTCAATTTTTGCAATATTCCTCTCTCCTTTCTCTGCTCTTTTTCGGCGTACAAGCAGTGAATTGGGATGGGAGTTAAAGTCCACACCATTTAATGTATTCTTTTCGATAGATAGGAGAAATGTGCATTACTGCACCTGCAAAGTTCTCACCCTTCCTCGCAAATGCTTCAACATATCCCATGAAACTAGCCACTTAAAAGCTTTGAAGGGAAAACAGCACAGACTTTAATCTAATTTGTAGCGAAAAGCCACACACCAACCATAATTTTCTAGATAAGATAAATATTTCTGTAAAGAATGAAAACACATTTGCAAAAATTCCACCACTAATGCACTCTCCAAACGTTACTTTGCATGTTTGCAAAACTCTTTCGCGCACGAAATTCCCCCATTTTGCCCAATATGAATTATCGTGGAAGCCACAAAGTGCAGCAGATGCTGAAAATTGGCAAATAAAAGACGGTCTCTGGGCGAAAAGGGGGGCTTTTGTGTGCCCGCCCTTTATTTGCATGCGCGGTGTTTTCGCTGTGGGAGAAAGAGCAAAAGCTCACTTCCGCTTCTCGCGGCAACCTGCCAAGAGTTGCACTCTGCGAAGGGTCAAAATGGGGGTTCACACCTGTCGCGACTCCTGGAAATTGCATGCCATTCACATCGCGCTTTTCGCTCTAGCTTAAGACAGTTTCGCCAGATAGCGCGAAATTCCTGACGTGCAGCGAAAAACTTCACCCCAAAGAAAATTAAAATAACGCAACGAAGCGAGAAGAGAAAAAGAATGGATGAGTTTTCGGGGACTTGTGAAATCCACGCGAGAGAGAACTTTATCGGTGCATCGAGTTTAATGAGTTCTCTGACTTGGACAGTGTTTAAGGTGGAGATTTTCCAACTCATTCAACTTTATTTATAAAATGCTGCCGGATTAATTCCATGTTAATTGATTTTCAAGTACTGGGAAAAAGTGATGATTTACCCGGCAAAGTGACACTTAATTGAATTTCACTCAGTGGTGATTCTCTGCGCCACGAACACCCCCGCAAAGACAGTTGGAAACTTTCAAGAAAGTTAATTACTTCCATATCATTGCCATCGGAAAACCCAAGAGAGTTTAAGATGATGATGATTCCCGAGCATTACCAATCAAGGCAAACTTTATTTTTAATTGACTCTTAATACCTCTTAAATGATTCATGCACAGCTTCTTTCTCATTTACTGTCCAACACAGATTCTCACCGCCGAAGAGCTCTCGCCAAGAGCACGTCTATTTATCATCGAACCCACGTGCGACAGGGAAAGCTTTGCCGCGCCGTGAGGGAGCGAACCCTCTTGCGATGGGGTGAAAAGGGCGTTTGTTTTCTGAGGCGTGAAGTAGCAAGACAAATCGGATGTGCCGAAATATGCTGCACATAATGCAAGCATAAGGAGCGCTGGAATGTGCAAATCGCGAGAGAAGAGCTTGCCAAGCCAGGAAAGCTAGACTAAGCCAGATTCGCTTGCAAATAACAGAGATTCTAATAATTCTTGAACTGAAGTGATTAATTTCTCAAATCACTGCACATTTTAGACCTTTGAAATTGTCATTATTTTGTTGATGTCCACTAATTAATAATCTTCTACAGCGCGAACATGAAAGCCCTTCATTAAGAATGTCTCTGACAAAATACTGTTAAGAATTCATGTGAATCTAGCAACATTCAGGCAACTTCCCACAATGATACTGATGTGAAAAGCGCCAAGAATCATCTGCTTATTGGCACAATTCGTCATTTTCAACCCAAACTGCGTATCTCTCCTTTGCGCCCTTTTCCTGTTGATTTATGCATAAGTTTTCATCCTATGGAGATTTTCCTCTCGCCGAGAATCGTCTTTTTCTGCCGCACAGTCATGAAAAATTTAAATTCTTCATATGCCGAATGGCGGGAGGCAAAAGAAACTTTTTTATTCGGAGAAAATCACTTTCTTATGGAGTTATATCGTCTTGAAATTTCTTATTTATGCATAATAAAGTGAGTTCGTGGTATTAAATAACACTCTTCGCGGCTGTATTTGACCAAGAAGTCAAAACACTTCTCACATCTTGAGGCTATTTCTGCCTTTCACACCACTCCTTGTGCACAATCTTTTATGCTTGGGCATATAACGAAAGGGGGGAAGAAATTTATTTCCTAAGAGTGAAAGACGGAAAATCCATTGGTCTTTTTGTCCCTCGGAAAATGCTCAAGCAGATAAAATGCGTGTGTGGAGCATCATGTAAACAGATAACATCATCCTATATACCAGTAATTTTCTTGCAGCATGTTTTCCTCCTCGCAATCTCGCTCTCGTGCCGGCCTCTCGCCCACCACCCCCCAAGCCACCCCCTCGCCGTCGATACACACGGTCTTCCGCTTCGTATCATGTGTTTTTCCATCGGGCCGTAGAATAAAAACGCTCCCCGGAGGGAGTGTTTTATCTTGATGAACAAAACAAAGTGATAATGGCCTGGCTGAATGGTAAATTAGGGAAAGTTTGGGATTTACTGCTCTCGGCAGTATCAAGTTGAGCCTCTGTCCAGCTGTGACGAGGATGCTCGCCAGGACGTGCACTCAAAGGCCTGGCCCTTGTGTGAAAAAGAAGGTGAAAAGCGGCATGAATTGAGATTGATGATAAAATTCGAGGCTCTTATCACAAAAAGGATTTCTCCCATGGTGAATTCGGTTTGCTTTGGCTCTTTCCAACCCTTGCGCTGTGAATTTTTTTCCACTTTAAGCAATAAATTTGTACTTCCAATCAAGAGATAGATTAGTATGTGGTTCGAGATGGTGAATTTCTGGATTTATCATCATCCGGTGGGAGTTTAATGATTCAGAACGCTATAACTGCGATGATTTATGAAACTATCTTCAATTTTGAGATCATTTCCTTGAAAATATCTCACATTTTGCTTGACATTAACTCTAAGCACATGAAAATTCATCAGTCTTGATTCTTTTGATTCGCTATCGCAATTCACAGTACACAAACCGCCATTCAATCTTCGCTTAATTACAAAGTTTTCTGTAGTTTTCCGTGAAATCGTCAATGTCTTGGCAAATGTAAAAATTTGCACAAGAGATTGTCAGTCATTTGAGAGGCGGTCATGACAATTTTCAAAGGAAACCTCCCGAACTTCCTGCTAAGTTTTCCCCCACATTTTCTCTGTCGCTGATTCGTGTGAAAATGCTCCGACGCTCACTTTCACGTGATCGGCTAATTGAAGAGCGATATCGAGATTAATTTACCAGAAATAGACTTTCTGCATGACATTCGCGATTGCGTGAGTCACCAATTGAACAGGTTCGCTTTGCGCACCTGATGGATTCTGTGTGAAAATCTCGAGTGCGCGATTTCTTCCTCGAATTTGATCCACACGCGTGGTTTGATGGAAGCCATAAATAACGCTTTTCTTTGTGCGCGCTCTGTTCGCCACATGATTTATGGCAACTTTTGTCAGCTCCTCAAAATTTCACACCACCAACGAGGAAACCAGCAAATTTCCCTGATTGGAATTTCCATTTGTGCGAATTGAACCATTCATCCCGCCACTACAAAGTCATATGAATGAAATACACACTCTGCGCGCGGAAAATGTTCTCAATGAATCACAAGGAGAGCTTTTCTCCTAGGGTGGAAAAAAAAGTTATAATTAAATTTCATCTCGGCGGTGAGCATTTTTGGACGCCCTGTGAGAAATAGGGTGACTCAGAATGATAAATAATGTAGTGAAAGAGGAGAAAATTGAAACAGTGTCATTCCGATCAATACACTTCATATCTGAAGCTCATGGATATACATAAATTTCTCACGGGGTTTGCGTGCCTTGAATTATTGAGTGTGGCTTTAATTCCATGGCGCACAGCATGAAGTGACAGCACACATAATAATAGTAAGAAACTGCGAAATTACAGTCATAATCCCAGACATGGACAGTAAGGAGATTGCAAAAGTTGTTGTCACACTTTTTGCCCAGACTCTCATCCCCTTCCGGCCTGAGAGCGTCTGCTTGGTATTCCATCGCCATATGCTGAACGCAGGCCATTTAGGCGCAATCACGTGAGATTTGCCGCTGAGTGGGCGACCGCAGAGGTGGAGGTAATTACTCTGACTCACCTATCATCAGGAGGGCGGCCGTCAAGTGGGAGGACGGCGGTCCGGCTAATCCTGTGGCGCCCAGGGCAGCTCCTCCGATTGCACACGCCACGCCGCCCAGCGCCACGACGGCAATCAGGGCTCGCAGCGGGGGTCCGGCGAACCACTGACCGCAGCATCCCTTGCCCGAGCGCTCCGATGGAGACCTGCAAGATAAATAGGACAATCATCACTTATTGCCTCTCTTCGCCTGCATTTTCACTGCATTTTCACTGCTCTCCGAACTTTGTGATTGCTAATTAACACTCGCAGTGGCTAAAAGGCCTTCAATTGGTCCAGCATTAGATTTAAAACTACTGCAGATTTAAAAGAGGTTGACTTATGATTTTTACACCCTATCATTGCTTCCTTTAATCCTATTTCTTCTCTCTCTCTGCGTGCATAAATAATGGATATCTAGAGTAGCTCTAGCTTTGATACACAAATTAATTTATATCCAAGACGCTCTTGTCTTGGAATTTGCTGTGGGATTAGAGAAACACCCACATTTGCTCGGTTTCTCAAATTTGTATTCTGTTTGTGCTGATAATAGATTTCCAATTCATCATTAGATTTGCCGTTGTTCTGTTGTTATTATGGCTTAATGCCAGAAATCAATTTCTCAACACAATTGACTGTCGCAGAATCAACATTATCAGTGTGCAGTTAATTGAATTGTGTCATCGAACAAATATTTTCTCAGCCTTTCGTGAGCTTCATTGGAGTTCATAAAATTCCATTTTGTCACGATGCGAGCGTCAGAAAAATTATTATATTTCATGTTCCTGGCCGCAGAGCAACTTTATTAACTTAATGTCTGCAATATAAAACTCTGGGCTGTAATAGCCCCAAGTGGATTTTCATACAGTGTGCGCCACTGAGAAGAAGGGTAGTTCCGGTGTGTGGTAGTCTTGCTCACCCGCAAAAGAAACCGCCTCGAGTAGTTTGGCGAAGGGAAGGAACTTCTCCGGAGCATAACTTTTGGAGGAAAAAATATTTTGCAATAAAAGCAATGGTGTATCTTTGTTAAAAGTTGTATAATTAATTCTCCGTGACACTTTCCAAGTCTTATTGGAGAGTTTTTAAGAAGTCAAACAGTTGAGATGTGCGTTCCTTCTCATGCTCAGCGGGCAATTAGTGTAATTAGTTACGGGCAAGAACTTGGAATTAAAAGCAGCCAGAATTGAAAATGGAGCTTTCATGATGAGAACAAGCTCACAAACTTGAAGAAATACTCCACAACTTTTGATTTGAGTAGCAATTTCACACGAAGAGTGTCTCAATTTTCACTTAAACTTGCTGGCATATTGAGAAAAGTATTGAGATAGTGAATTTGAAGTAGTTTTGTAATTTCCCTGCCACTTCACAAATTCCACTTAAGCGTCTTCCGCATGGGAACTTTGGCACTGAAATACGAGCAGTTCTTTTTCACCCCAGAGGATAATGCCAATTTTTTTTTGCTGACTGGCAAACCACAAATAGAATTACATTGTAATTGATTGCGAGGGGATTCATGGTGTCAAGGAATTTCATAACTTTGCATAAATTACCATGTCACGAAGACGAAGAGGCAGAAAGCGCCATGGTTACTCTGTCAATGTCGAGCTGTACAAGAGTGCAGACACGCCGCGAGGATGGGCGTCTGTTTTTCCACCCTCGTCGCGACAATGGATGCATCTCTTGGCAGCGAAGACTCCCGGGAAAAGCTCCAGAGATCTTCCACATAGTTAGGGGAACACAATGAAATTAGTGTCGGGAAGTCTTGTGCAGCATCAGCATTAGCTCGGGTGTCTGCGACCCTGAGAGGAATTGCGAATTAACTCGTCTTAAGTGTACACACAACATTTCACATCAATTTCCATGCTGAGCCTGCAACAAGAGATATCTCATCTCTCAACCAAACGACCAAGTTTTCCCTCTGAAATTAGCAAAATATCAAATAATCGCCCACCTTTTGGGAAATGTTTGGCTACTCAGCTCATACTATTTGCGTCTTCTTCTGCTCTGTTGCTCACCAACAGGTGAACTGTGCGGGGAATTTGAGTGGGAAAATGAGATTATAAATAATACAAATGGGGAAGTAAATAGAGTCAAACGAAAGGGTTCGGATTTTATATTGCATCTCTAGCTTTCAGTCACTAAAAACGCCCTCTCGGGAGATTGCAATCAATTTCAGCGAAACTTTTCCTGGGCAACACACGGCCAAAGTCAAACTGAGAGTCGCACTAATTGAAATTCAGTGTCGCACAAATGAAGAAATCTCATGACGACTGACAAAAACTGATGGTATCGCGCAAAAAGTCTCGGGAGAAATTTAATTGGACTTGTTAATCCCGGAGAAAAAGTGCTGAAATCTTCAAGAAATTTCAATTATCTCCTCAATGTTTTTTTTTGTCACCCTTTCTGCCTCGCTCTACTTATTAATAAATAATTGCACACTTGTGTGCGCCCTAAAAGTGAATTGCAAATGGAATTCTGCGAGGAGAGACACTCTCAGACTCCACTAAATGCTATCCCATATAATCTCTTCGCTAGAATTCAATTTAGAACGGTGCGGCTAAGAAGTGCGGGGCGGATGAAAAATTCGTTACATGGATTTCGCGTGCTGCTTTTCCACCGCGCGCCATGGAAGCGTAGCCGAAGAAAATTATGGTAACGAAATATGCAATTTAATTTCCATAAGTGCATCCATATAACAAAGAAAATGGTGACAGTGTGAAATAGTGTGCAAGAGCACGGAAAGAGAGATGTTCACCAAGAGCTGAACGTGACTCTGAGTCGCGTCTTCAAATTGACACAATTATTGCGAGCGATTTGACAAGGGAATCAATCTCGCAAATGCAATTTCTCGCCACAATTCTCATTTCCCAGGCAAACATCAACCCTGTGGCTGAAGGAATCAAAGAGTAAATTGTGCGCGGTATTTAGTGTGACAATAGAAAATTACTATATATATACACTCTCTCAACTTTGCTCCACACTTTGTGATCGAGAGCAAACACGAGACGCCCGCGCGTGAGTGTTTGCCAAACAGACGCGATGGACACGGAAGAATCTCATCTTGTGGCAATTCTCAGCACTTGGCATCCCTTCTATCACAAGAAAGAAATCACACAATGACAAATCGAGTTGATTTGACGACGGATTTCGTGTGGAGGAAGTGCAAAAAGTCCCTCAGCAATCAGCAACATCACGATCGTTTGTCATGCTGAAAGTGGTTGTTGTGATGAAATTGACAGTATTTTCGCAACATTGCAAATATGATGTCTTCGCAGAAAAAATACATCATCTTGTTTGACATGAAATTGTCTCTGAATTGTGAGGAAATCATAAACAAATATTTTATGTTGGCCAATGAGAAGTGTAATTGAGAAAAGTGACCTTCATTTAGGGCAACGATTGCGTCTTTTTTCTCTTGAAAATCTTTTGCTTCTGTCAGGGAAATCATCGTGATCACGCGCGACCGCTTGAAATTTCACACAACCATCAATTGAATTGGTTGTCTTACATTCCACTTCATCAACTCTGTACACTTCCATAGGCCTAAAAATTTCTCCTCTCGTGTCAAAGACGGGAGGCGCTGAAGAAGTGGGCAAAGATGAAAATATGATGAGGGATTTTTCTGCGCACCATAATTAATTCCCCACAGTGATAAACAGTGCGATCTGAGGTGAGAGTGAGTGATGAAATTAATAAATATTTGACGATGCGAAGGGAAAAAGTTTGTCAGAGATGAAGAAGGAAAAGTCGTAAAGATGCAAATGAAGTCGTCTCGGTCGATTGATTCATTTCAGGTTACGAGGTCTGCGCGTATCGCCAATGCATCGATGATGGTGAAATTATTATGCGAAGAGATTGATGATTGATTAATCATGTGGAAAAAGGCAATATTCACTTTTTACAAAACACCTCTTGTGTTATTGCCAGGTGAAAAGTCTCAAAAGTGTTTTTCATCCATTTCTCGGGGGAATTTTTCCACATGAGAAGATTATGGTAATTCACACAGTTCTTCAACGCCTGGAAAATTGATTACAAACCTCTTTCGCTGATTACTTCCTGATGAGGTTTTTGCCTTGTCCGCTCTTTTGCCAAATCATCCGTACACACAGTCCGTGGAGGATTGAATGAGGTTGATGGTGAAAAAGGCCAAAAACCGAAGGCCATCTCACGGGTAATTGATTGTTACATCACTTGGCTCAACTGATTTAGAATTCAAACAAGTGAGACACGCAGTCAAAGAATCTGAATAATTGCGCCTTTGTATAACAGAGATTATTTACCTGCCTTCAGCAGGTAAATTACTTAAACTGATCCACACCTCAAATTGGCACAGCATTATGATTTTCACACGGTCGCAGAGTTCCTCCTCCAAACGCCGCGTCTCTCACCAGAGAGATATTAAATCACGTTTCGCTATCATTCAGTAATTATTTGCGAGAATCAACTTCCTCAAGGGTAACCGCAGAGTAGCTAATCTGCTGACTTTGAACTTATTGCGACGCGACTTATTTGTAATACAATGAAGTGTACTAATCAATAATGCAAACTTGCTTAAACAGTGTTGCATATTGTGCATTCAGAGTCAACATAGATCTTTTGTTAATTCATGGTCTCTTAAGTTATGGACATTGCGCAGTTTCTTCGAGTTGAGACTCAAATAAAGAATCCCATTAGCTCCGCCCACTTCCACGCCCCGCCCTTTGTCAAACACATTATGACATCTTATTCTTCCGGCTGCTCGTCTTTCATTAAACCTGCTCACTGAGTGTAACACTGTAAAACTCACAAATTTATTATTAAAGTCCCATAAAAAAAACACATCTTCATTTGCCACGCGAATCATCAAAACGGAGCTTTAAAGGGTGGTTTTTGTACCTCTGCTGAGCTCTCGTGAAATCAGGTGTGCCAATTAAGACTGAAAAACATTACTCATAGCAAGAAAAGGATCACAAACACGAGTAATCGATATGGGAATATTGAGGCTCTGTGTGATTCCTGCTTTTTGCCATCAAATCGCTTTAGGTGGAAAATCAAACGCGACGGTTTGAGGGCGGAAAAACAGGCATTCCATTTCCATGACTTATGGATTCGATTAATTCGGAACGTGCAAAAAGCCTGCCTGGCAACGTGGCGACAAGAAAAATAATTGATTGCGCAAAATATCTCG